CCCTGATCACTGACAAGGTGAACAAAACGTCTGTCAGCTATAACCAGGCTTCCATAACTGTCATACGAAATATCCATGGGCTCCAAAATCGGCATTTCACCTGTGTATTTGAACAGTATTTCGAAGTTTTTGTTCATGACTAGCACCTGCCTCTGAGGAGTGTTTTCATCGGATACGCTTAGATCCAAAATTGCGATATTTTGAGAAACCCTACATTCGGAAATCTTGACTGGATTGTGACCATTGAAATTTTCCGTTCCTGACAATTTCGTAGAAATTTTCTTTCGGCCAGCAAGTGTGTATTTGGTGAGTCTTTGATTGGTTCCGATCAGGATGTGACTGTCATTGGTTGCACACAGACAAACGGGCATGTCGTTGGTGTAGAATTGGAAACGAAAAAATTGATTTTTTGACAGCAAGCAATTCATCACGGACCAATCGTCTGCGGAACAGGCCCAAAGGGTATGTGTGGTTGGAGAAACACTAATATCCATAATTCTCCGGTGGGAGCGCACCTCTGTGTTCACGAGGCCGTTCCTGTGCAAGAGAATTACACCTTTCGTGTCAGAAAAAGTCGTCCAAACTCTATCAGTTCGGTCGGTACATATGGTATTTCCAACGTTAGATTTGACTGCGACTTCAGTTATTACTTTAGCTTTTGGTAGTAGTCTATCTTTGGATGACACAGGTTCTGGCTGGGAAAGTTTCTCGTGCAAATGTTTTTTTGTCTCTGAACGTATTGATCTAGCTGTAGCAATGTCATTCGACTGAGTAGACCCCGACGAACCTGGAGATATATCAGGGATTGCATCTCTCTCGTGCAGATCGACATGCTCAAAGGTACCAAATGCTTTTTCAAGGTTTCCATAGAAGTGGTCGTTTGAAGTAAACCTGACTTGTTTTAGAGAAGGTTTGAATGGACATACAAAAGCATTAGGAATAGCAAAGTCGTAGATCTCAACATCACCTCCAGTTTGAAGGAACTCTTTACATTCTTGCAAATGTGTTTCAAAACTCTGCAGCCTTTTATGAAGTTTTTCCTTGAAATTTTTCAATTCCAAAGCATTTCCTTCTTCCAATACTTTATAAAGTCCTGTAAATTTTGCAATTTGAGCGTCTATCTCTTCTTTCATTCGGTTGCCTTGTTCCGTCAAATGTATGATATGATTCGCAAAATGTTCAGAATTATTTTTCAGTTCATTGTCTGTCCAATCCAACTCATTTCTGACTTCAAGTAAATCCTTTTTCTCTATATGCTCAATAAACTGCTGGATTTTTTCTTTCTTCCCTGCTATTTTGATACTTAGGTCTCCCAGAACGTGGTTTCTATGAACTGTATGTAGACACTGGAGACATCCAAGTTCATTACACGTTTCACACTCGAAAATCACCTGGTTTCCATGGTGATAAGCACAGATGGATTGACCTTTGCTCCTTACTGCCTGTTGACCTGCTGATGATAAGTCGACCATTTGAATCAATGTGTGTAAGTTAACATGTTCTGTCGAGGCAACACAACGTTGACGCTTTATACCTAACCTTATGTAATAAATAATACAATTTTAATCAAACAGGAATATAACAATTTTAGTAAATTTGATTGGTCAATGGCTTGTCCAATGGAAGCGATAAAAATAACAATGTTTATAGTCAGATGAGCGTACCTTCATGTTAATAGCCACCGATATACTAATGGGTGTGTATGTTTAACATCAATAATCTGATTACTGATAACCGAAAGGATATTTTAATTTAGACAGTGTACTAGCATATCCGTAATTGTTACTGATAAAGCTTCTGCTGTGGTTATGCATTAAGAATATATACATTTTGTACATAAACATTAATGATGAAATTACAGGGAGATCAACGTAACATCATACTGCTGTTTCGTCCTTCTATGACTCATCGGTGATGTAAGGGGCTGAAAAGGTGGAAATCCGAATTGTTTAAAATATTGTTGAAGCAGAATGGGAGGTGTGTTAACCCTTAATTAAACGAATTTCAAAAATAACAGAAGTACTGGTTACTTCAATAACTTTAGTAACGGGTAAAATCTGTATATTATGAACCCCAAAAAAACCATTACAGTCACCTTCAATGTTACAGCAAACCTCTGGGACTAAGAAATCCGCTAGCAGAGTCTACCGCCTTGTATCATGTGATTGCACCTTAACAATTTGGGTAATAAATAGAGTATGCCAAAAGTGAATTACACAGCATCATATACATATGCAAGACCACACACTTGTGTTTTTCTAACGAATCAGAAAGCCCGAAATACAAGTGTGTGGTCTTGCTTTTATCACATACCTTCGGTATTTGGTAGAGATCGATACAAAGATTTTATAAACTTTAATATTTTTTGCAAATACCGGGAACTTTTCGGTTCGCCATGGCAAGGGGATTCCCATAAAAAGTAGTTCCGGCTAGTAGGTAAATAGAACATTCTGTATTGCACATTTCATGGTCTGAAAATTGCTTGTATTACCATAACAAGATTCAACAGGTATGTGATAAATCTAGTTAATGGTACATAGCGAAATAAAGGTGTTTAGACTCAAGTCTTTGTAAAATAGTGATATGTCAATTCTTTTGCAGTAAATACATACACTGAATCGAACAATGAATGGAATCCAGGTCAACTCAACATCTGATGTTATGTACCATTACATATACAGTTTAACCTAGTTATGTCGAAGTCGATGGGATAGTGGGAACAAACTTCCGAGTTCGAATTCGAGTTAAATGAGTTTCCATGTTTGGTATTCATTTCTTTATAATGTTTGGTTAAACAGGAGACTATCTGAGGAAGTGTTTTTACTACACAAGATGATTTTCTGTCTACGTCTCATCGATGGTACTTATAGACAAAAAAAATCAAAATCCTTGCAATACTCTGTGACTGTAGATCACCGGAAAATAATTCATCAGCCGTGATATGTGTCACGACCTTAAAATATCACGAAAAACATGTCCTCATATGATCTAGTCATCTTGCAGTGAAATAACGACTTCACATACTTGTAAAAAATGTAACATGTCAAATGAACAATTGTGATGTCGTATGCAATGGTTTCAGGAATTATCGTGAAAGCAAAAATGACGGCACTTTTCTAGGTTTTATGTCCAAATGTGTTACTTATAGCAAGGAATATGGTATAATGAAGAAGAATAACAATTTCGCTGGAACTTATTTCTTCAAAATATATACTTATAAAAGCAATTTGCTTAAAAACCTTGATATATATTTCCATGACTTTTTCAGGTCTGGCAACATGAAAAAAAATTGTCATAATAATGGTTGGGTGTCTCTGGTAGAGGTGAAGACGATACACATGACTGCAGATGAGTTTAATTGGCGACAGTTACATATACATGTACTGCATATCACTTACATTTTGCAAAAGACATACACATTCGCGTTAATTCGTGAATTATCATACATAAAGCTAACAAATATTGATCAAACACATGCATATTGATATGTATTAATTCATTTGGTGAACTCATTTGTTTTTTAAATAAGTATTTACGAATAATCAGCTGGACCTACTTATAGTTAGTAAAAGCAATGAATCTTTTGTCAGACTGCACATGCTGGTTTTCTGTGTTCCGTCTCGATAAATTTGTTGATTCTTGTTCACGGTGAAACCTTGTCAGTTTCAACAATTTTGTTTCTGTATACAGTGGAACTTTATCAGTACCGATACTGTCAACCTCGATATACAGGGGTTACGCTCACTTTCGCTCTCTGAACCCCTGGAATATGTCATTGCAAAATTGAAGGCACGAAGATGGCTTTGATTGTTTGAATGGGCTCGGGTCAAAAAACTGACCAATCGCTAGGCTGATACCTGTCCTTTGAAGATTACAAAGGAGAGACGCCCGACTTCAAAGCCTGTCAATTTTTACCGTTACGTGACCGCGAGATTCTTTTGATGTACATCATAGGATCGAACTCGTCTTCTTGTCTCACCAACGAGGTGGCGCACACCGAGCCTTCAATTTTGCCGACATATTCCAGGGGTGTAGAGAGCGAAAGTGAGTGTTACCCCTGGATATCGAGGATGCGATACTGTGTGTACAATGAAACCACGTAAGTATTGCCTCTTTTATGGTGGCTGCAGTATATTGATTTGTACATGAAAACTTCAAAAGACAAGACTGTGGTGTCTGCCTTCATTAGTCTGGACAATTATTTTCTGTCTTGAGTATATCTAATTAGGAAAAAAGAGTTTCTTTAATCGAGACTTCCACTATTTCCAAGGTAGATGATTATGCTTAAACTCAATTTACATACAGAGCCTAAGTGGCAGACATCTGTTTCTCACAGACAATGTCTAAAATTATATAATCTTAATTAAAGAGAAATGTTTCTCACATAAAATATCTAGCCTTATATAATCTAAATCGAAGAGAAATTTGTTTCTCACAGACGATGTCTATCATGATATAATTCAAATTTAAGAGAATTTTTTTTTCTCACAGACAATGTCTAGGATTATATAATCCTAATCGAAGAGAAATGTGTTTCTCACAGACAATGTCTAGCATCATAATCTTAATTTAAGAGAAAATTTGTTCCTCACAGACGATGTCTATCATTATTTAATCTTAATCGTAGAGAAATGTATTTCTCACAATGTCTAGGATTATTTAATCTTAATCGTAGAGAAATGTATTTCTCACAATGTCTAGGATTATATAATCTTAATCGTAGAGAAATGTGTTTCTCACAGACAATGTCTAGCATTATAAAATCTTTATCGTAGATAAATTCGTTTCTCACAGAAAAGGTATAGCATATGATCTTAATTGAAGAGAAAAATGTTTCTCACAGATGATGGCAAGGATAATATAATCTTAATCGTAGAGAAATTTGTTTTTCTCACAGACAATGTCTAGGATTATATATTCTTATTTTAGTGAAACATACTAATTACAGTGGATAATTTTCGTAAATTAAAATATACAAGAAGGAAAACCGGTAATAATGTTATTACATATCTTTATTTTCAACAACAATTTTTGTTTAACAATGAATGCACAGAAATGTATACACAAATAGTATATTCTCTGTATGTTCTTAATGTCTTTTCCTTTTTCGATTTTGTTTTTACCTAGAAATCTGATGAAACAGACAGTATATTTCAGTTACTGCTTATTACTCTGCTGATGGAATTTAAATTTATTTATTTTTCTATTCTCTTCACCAGAAAATCTAATAAAGAAGAAAAATGGCACTAACTTATTTTGCACTTTCGTATTTTTTATTTAATTCAGGAATTCTGATTAAGACAGCAAGTGACATTTGAAAGTTTTACATTATACTCCTTTAATATCTTGTTGTGTCAGTGTTCTGCTCCACCAAAATTCATATAAGAGCTGGCTTTCTTGATAAATTGTCTGTTATATTCATTTTGGAATAATCACATCTCAATATTCATGCCAGATACATTTTAAGAGGTGGGCTGAATCTTACTTTGGGCTCAAAACTGCTAAAACCTGTTAGGAATTAACCCTTTCACCCCTAGATAACTTTCGTAGACTCTACCATACATTTGTCTGGGTGAGTCCATTATGGTCTACAGTGGTGAAAGGGTTAAAATCTTTTATCAAAGATAAAACTTTCCTCAAATCAGAGAAATTAAAGATATTGCCCAAACTGTACCTTCTGTTCTGTTACATGTCAATGCCTAACAAGATCACAGATCTAAAATATATTCCACACATATCAATCAGAATCACTGAGAACCATTTCTGAGGCCTCAGCCATGGGTTCTCCCCCTTCCCCCGCCTCCTGGTCACGACACTTGGAGTGCTGCAGTTCTCTTCGTGTCTCCGGTGTAATGAGACCATGTGAGTGTACGCGTAAAAGTTCTAATAAACTCTCCTTCTGTTCAGAAGAAATGTCCTCTTTGTATCGCTGTGCGAAAGTCAGGAAACACTGATGCCACAATACCGGTAATTCTCTCTTGTCAGACATAAACCTGAAATGTTCAATTGATGGATTGATGAGATTTAAACGTCCATCAACACAAAAAGGTGTTCTAAACAAAAGAACGATTCAAAAAGATCAATAGTAAATGAAAGGTAGATTAAGGAAACATGGTATGGAGGTGTTCAAGAGCAAAAATGTAGAAAAAGCTAGAAAACATCTGTCGGACATAAATGCCACCTTGGACCTGGGATTGACCTATAAATAGCAACAGTGACCTTGGCATTGACCTTTGGACCACAAAATACAAACATTTGACCATATCTGAGAAAATGACAAATGCTTATTTGTATTAAAAAGTAGGACTGACTGATACTTATTGACCCATCATTACAAAAAAGCTGGTATTCAGAACAATCAAAAGTTACATATCAAACCAAAACTCTAGAAAAAGATAAAAAGTGCCATGAAAATAATTTGTACTTCATCAAGCATCAAAACAAACAGGTCATACTAGCAAACAGAATAGGACCAAGATTATATTCTTTATGCATTTAACCAAAAATATACAATTTTCCCTTTGCACATTGCATTGTAAAGGAAATAGATTCTGTGTTTGATAAACACTCTTTTCATCCATTGGTCAATGCAATGCAATCTATGCTGTACACAAAAAACCTTTTGATTTGAAATTGATAAGAAATAAAGAGATAAGATTTCCTTATGTATCCTTTTATTATGTACTAATTCTCACCTGATAAAATGGAACACGATGGCATCTACCACTCGGTACGGTAAGGCGTACTTCTTATCCAGGAGGGTACGCAGAAATATACTGTTTGCTCCGTTGTAGTCCATCTCGGCTATTTTCAAGATGGCTGCAGCAGAGTGCAACATGGGTATGGAGTTCTTGGACAAAATACTTGATACGATCACTGCTTCTCGTAGGGTGCAATCACCAGCCTAAATTAACACAAACTGAGTCACTAAATAATTCACATCATAATGACAGCATGGTTTGACAGATTGGACAATATTCGGTATTTTATTTCTTTAATTTACTTGAAACAAATCTTGATGCTTTTTTTGCTCGACACTCTGCTATCTCGAGGTGTACTTACGTACCAAATCTGGTTACTCCATGTAAAATAATGTAGAAGATATGCCCCGGACAAACTCTTTGGATTGACAGAATTTGGACGGCCAGGTGAAGTGCAAACCTATAGTTCCCCACCCCAGACTGGGAACCAGTGAGGGAATTATAATCATGAAGAAACAAGAATAATTCCAGTAATTACAAAGAAAAACATGTTGTAGTAGATTTCCAGAGAGCTATCTGTCTCGGACCGCTGACCACGCTGACCACGCTGACACGAGGTCTTGTACAGGTGTAGGATAACATCACTGTGAAGTTTCTGCTTCTTTGATCCCAACTCCTGCACAGACAGCATGTGAGCTATCGTTGTCATTTTGTTAGGTTTAGGGGATTAAAGCTGGTCTTAGATCCCATGTAGTAAAGATGTGAGACACCCCACCCTACCATATTATCAAAGTGACTAATGTCTTTGGGCAAAAAACTTACCTCACACAAAGGTAGCAGGATTCCTTTGAAAAAAGCAGCTGGCTTGAAAAGTGATTTTTTCACAGCCTGAAATAGAACCACCAATTTGTGTTGCTATATTAGTGATATCTATAACATTCAATTAGGAATATATATAACAGCCAAATCACTCAAATTCTTTACTAACTCTAAGCTTTGCAGCTATCAGTATAGATTTGTACAGTTGTATACAGTCGGTTTACAAACTAGCTTTTTGAAAGATTATGTTATCTTACCATATATAAATGAAAATTCAATCTTTTGTATTCTGCAATGTCATCACGTATTCTTGGGTATAAAACAAGGTTGAAAAATCTGCAATACAAGATGTAGAAATTCATACAAATACAATATATATAATGCATTTCCTTCAAAACAAATATTCAGATTTCAAGAATGCAATATCTATCCCAAAAGTATCATAATCAACTACCGTAACACAATTACATGCAAATTTGATGTTACAAACACTTTTGTATAAAATAACAATGTGATGTCTTTGCAATGTAGATATACTGTGTAACCTGTGGGAATCTGAAGACAACCAGAGGATGTATGGAAATCGCTTCGGAAACTTATAATTTTTGTCTCTTTTCTTTAATTTAATATCTAACAATTGTCAGCTTTTATTTTGGGCTCATATAATAAATAGTGCTGCATTGTACAGCCATTGAACCAAAATAGTTGACATGTGACATTGTAAAAGGCTTAGTGCTTAAACTGATACTTGCTGTACATTTAAATGTGAATTTTTTATCATTTGGACTGTTCAGATTATTTTAGCGTGGTTGGGTTATCTTGTATAAACCATACTAAAGACGTGCGTGAAAGCAACAATAATGCCATCCTTGATACACCAGGGTCATGAAATCATTCTCCTGCTCAAGCATGGATTTTGTGCTCAAGCCTAATTTCTTTTTCCGTTTATAAATTGATAATAAAATCTTATTTTGTCAACAAATTGGGGGGAAAATTAAGAGACTTCCAGCGAAATACTGTTTTCAATGTTTACATTTTACTTTTTGATGGTTTGACATGATTTAAGTGAGTCACAAGAAATTTGGTTTGAGCACAAAATCCATGCTTGAACATGAGAACAGTTTCATGAATACGGGCCCAGGGGTTACAGTCACTTACGCTCTCTGCACATACTCCTGGAAATGTCTATCAAAAAAGGAAACGCTCAGTGTGCACCACATCGTGGATAAGATAAGAAGACCAGTTTGATTCTTATCAAACAAATGCCTTGGTAGCGTAACAGTGAAATTGACTGACTTTGACTGGGTCGTGTGTCACTCTTCTGTAATCTTCAAAGGAGAGGTATCAGCCTAGTGATTGGTCATGTTGTTTTTTACCTGAGACCAATCAAATGTCTATCTTTGTGCCTCCAATTTTTCTATGACATATTCCAGGGGTGGAGAGATTGTCAGTGAGCGTAACCCCTGGAGTATCGAGGATGTGATAATGCTACTAATGATGATATGTGCCGGTACTAACAAAATGGATGATAATATGAAATTGCCAGCATTTACCATGTACAATGACACTTACCTCTGAGCCATCTTAGCGTTTAGGTTGGACACAAATATTCGAGTGGCTTGGTACATTGCTGCCGCAGACCAGCTGTCTGGTTCCGTAAGGTATAAAATCTGGCAAAGGTCAAATCAAAAATGAAATTTATCAGACACATTCCCATATCCCAGTTTTTTGCTTTAATGAAATAATACTGTTCTCTAAATTAAAATTTTTAGCATTCAAAACAAAATTTTGAAACTGGGTTATTATTTGATTAAGAGCCATTTTAAGAGCTTGTAAGTGAAAATCTGTCTCATTGATATGGAAATGAATGAGTAACAGAAATTTAGTGGGAGTCTTTTTCCTGGTGTCCTCCAAACATTTTGTGGATAATGATTGACAAAGCCTACCTGTTCCCAATTACGAAGGTTAGGGACAATCTTGAAGGCCTTGGGGAGCTTTCCACTCCTGTAGCGCTGTAACACTTGTTTTATACTCTTGTACATGGTTACAACGCGCTCATCAAGCTCCTGCATCTGTACACTGGCATTGTCTGTAAACGAAGAAATCTGTTGACTAGAACTCTATTTCTTCCACCTCTGCACATGAATGATACACCTATCCCATGTAAACAAAGATATCTGTAGACTGGTACTGCTTGTAAACCAACTATATCTCAATTTATCTATTTACCAAGATTGATGATCCTACATGAAAAGTAAGGGCTACTCCTTTTAAATATATATATATATCGAAAAAAAAGGAAATTTACGTAAAAATCGTTTTTATGTTCCAGGTAATGAGTTGCAAAAAGAAAATCATTTATATCTAAAGTAAAATGCAGCACCATAAGTGTACAGCTTTGTTTTATGTCCAACCATCGACACTCTTGACATATACATGTATAACCCAAGCTGTTGAATGGTCTCACCATCAATCGACTCTGATTGTTCAACCTTAGGTGTTGAGCTGCCCGATCATTAGGGGACACCACTCTAGAACGACCTAAGTTCCTTTACAGCATGCTCATCAATGGACTGTGATCACATTGCCTACAATGTTGATTGGCCAACCATCAATGGACACGGTCATTGTATGACCTCTGCTATTGGCCTGATCATCAGTGGACATTGTCGTCATATGACCTTAGCTGTTTACCAGTAGATGCGTCAATAGTAGTCGTAGACTAATGTTATGACGTCGACAACGGCGAGATAAGTAACAGCAGACACAGTCGTCATTATAGGGCAAACAGATCAATATTTGATTATAATCGATCATCAGCCTATCACCAATTGTCATAAGACCTCTACTGTTATGAAGACGGTAAATCTCAAACAAACAAGTAAACACGTTCCACATCTCTCCGTTACCAGTGTTACGTACCTGACATTTGTGTGCGTATCTCTGTCTGTTTCTCTGTGATCTTCTCCTGTATGATGTCGGCCAGAGTGCGTCGTACCTGCGGCTCCTTAGACATGAACATCTGGAGAGCTGTCTCATCCCCCTCATCAACCTCCTGTCAGATAGACAACATGGTAATTACAGTCTTAAGGATCCCTGTCCCACTGCATGTAAACACTAGAGTTCCACTGAAGTTTCATACACATAGTGACCTCCCCTTTACTTCATTTTAGATGTAACTATAAGGTGTCTGTGCCAGGGACTACAGTTGTACAAGAAGCTAAGTTGTTTAGAGAAATCAGATTTTCATCAGGGTCAGGGTTTGAATTTGGATTTTTCATCTTTATTTCAGTAATTATATATAATCATTACTTTTTTTTATAAATGTTTCCAAAAGTAACAACTGGGGGGTGGAGACCCCTAATTTCTATTTTCAAATGTTCCAAAAGGTTAGAGTTTCGTTTTAGAACTGTTTTAGGTACTGGGATACTTATAAGGTTTTCAGGAATACTATTAGTCATGTTCTGTAAAGTGCCTTATATTAGAGTAATCTTGCAAAATGTATAGGGTACTATACAAATGTTGTATATTATTATTATTATAAATGTTCTTTAATCCGCTCCAGCTTAAATACATTTGTCTTAAAGCTTTCTAATATAAACATTTTGGCCTTCAAACATTGTTCTTTATCAAAACATGAATGTCCAGTGCAATAAACTCAGTATTTTTGGGGCCTTACACACTAGTGAGTCATACCTAAATCTTCATCAAGAAAAGCAAAATAACTGCTGGGTTTAAATTTTACTTTCATTCCAGACAGTGAAAACAAAACTTTTAGGAAATATTAAAGATATACAGTATATTGTGGACTGTACAATTGGAGCTCCAACCTGTGGTTTGATGTTTTGCTTTCCTGACCCAAACTTACAATTGTTTCATAGCATTCGTCTGTATCCGAAGTTTCCTCCACCTCCTCGTCCTCATCATCAGACCCATGCTGTAAGGATCTCCCCCTAGAAGCCCCGCCCACTGCTCCTGAACCGCCTAGGGAAACGGTCTTTTTTTCTGTTGGTTTTCTGAGAACACAAATATTCATATAAACATTTAAGAAGTCTATAATTGATCTAGAATAAACTGGAGCGTAACAATCTGCTAATCTAAGACCTTATGAATGGTGCCAGATATTTTGTAAAAGTAAAATATTTATAACTATAATGGTCAAAATAGAAGGAATATTGTTTGAGGAAAAATGTGACTAAATAAAGTAATTTGTATCATAAATTACACACAGTAAATATTTAATGGTATCATTAAGTAAATCTAGTAACCTATTAAAACATCTTTATAAGGCTAATACACAGACAAAGTAGTTATACTATGTGTGTAAATTGTCAATGCATACCAGTAAAGCTGGGTACACGTTAACACTAATATTTACTTTTTCAATCCATGTTCATCTTCCAATTCTTCTTGCTGTTTACGAGCTTGCTGTAGAATTTTCCGGGATAATTTGTTATCAACAAACTGAAAAAAATAAAAATAATGCAAGTCAACAACAGAACAAGATAAATATATAGACTTGCCAATGTAAGAGATTCTTAAATATAACAGATGAGAAGACGCATTTTTACCCAAGATATTTAAGGTCATAGGAGTGTATTGCTAAATGGAAATAGGAAGTACATCCCAAGTTGAAAATCAAATGTAGGGAGACATTATCACAATTGCCACATATATTCTAATGTTTAATATTAAATTGATGAATATTGTATGCTTATTATTGACAGAACAGTGTGTTCTTTCAATATTAAAGTATTGCAAAGCAATCCAGGCATTAATTCAGTTGTTTTTTAATCAATGAGTCATATGTGTCCATTTTTCTGTACTTCAGGAAACCGGCTACCTATTTCACTACTGTGAAGTTTTATTATTAAATGTCAATTTTTAATCGTTTATAGATAATTAATTTTACACAATTTCAGTATTTATGAAATTGATATACGTTAATGCAATACTAATCTATGTGAGTATCATAATTTTATTGACATTATTTTGCAAAAAAATTGTGGTTTTTTTTTTCAAAATTCACTCCTTTTTACATAAAATTCCATTTAAAATCCTTAAATTCTGACAACCTATATTTTTTGGTGGGAGAAATTTTTCTTTACTTCAAAGCAATATAGCTACAAATTTTGAATAAATTCTACTGAGAAATGACGACACAATCCTAATACCTTAAGGATAATTACTGTAACTGACAAATATTTTAAATGTATCTGAAGTGATGGGATCTTGACAATAATATTAGGTAAAACTACAGTAACTATGATACTAGGCCTGCAGGTATCACAAGCAAAACTCAATTTGTTTCTTCATTATTGATTCTATCAATGCAATTATTTTTTTACTCCCATCAGATACCCCTCCCCAATAGCAACCACATCTTGTCCCTAAACTGAAAAATTCTGTTATATTTTTTTCACTCTCAACGACATGTATATCATTATGAATTGATACAAGTTAGAGAAATACCTGTAATTTCTCTGGATAAGCTTGCGAGTCTCTTGGTTTCGACTTTCAAAACAGTTATCTTCCTTTTTGAATTGAGATCTCCCAATAGTGATCAGTCTTAACTAATTTCACTGGTGTCTAATTTGTGGAGCACTAGCCTACAAACTAGATTTTGGAAAAATTCTAAAAGCCCAACGTTATTTTCGTAGCAAATATTAAAATTTTCTTAAAATCTATTAATCAACAAAAAAAGGTGTTCAGAAAATCTTCCAAAGAAAACTAACAATTGAAAACCGTGAAAATAAGGGCAGATAAGGATCAACTTAAAATTAATTAATTTATCAATATATATGAAAAACATGTTGTGTCATAGTAGATTTCCAGCACACACGCAGGCATACACACATAGGGAGATATTAGCCAGGTGGCATAGGACTAGTAGTTAGAGCCTGATAAGGCAGCTCCTGCGAATTCCTCAAAAAATTGTATATTCTAATTGTATGTCTACTGTAAAGCTCTTTATGTTAGCTAGATAGGGCGCTATATCAAATGTTGTATATTTTTATATTATTATTTTGGTTGTCTGCACCTCAAAACTTTCCAATACCAAACGGTATCAGAGAATTCCACATTTTCATATGGTAGTGCGCTCATGCCCCACACTAGATATTTGTCTGTTGTAACTGGAGAAAAGAATAATGTAACTGACAGAGCGGAGTTTGATCCTGGGACCCTCCAAACACTAGAGGGATGCTCTACCAATTGAGCTACCTACGTCCTACGATCGACCCAGTCCAGTTCCCCTACATTCCTCCCTCCTGTTTCTAAATCTTCGCCCCTGAAGACACAACTATTTACAACACAAGTTTAGGTACCCCCTTGCTTAAGGTATACTCCTAAGTTTTGAAACAAGGGTGGGCAAGCTCACCAATTTTGTAAAGGGACAAAGAGAAAATGAAACGGCCAGATCAGGGTTCCAATCTAGGACCCTCTGAACTTGACAGACGCTCTACCAATTGAGCAACCTGGTCGCCGACGATCAACCAAGTCCAGTTCCGTTACACTGTCAAAATTTCTAAGTCTAGCTGCTGGTGTCAGGACCAGAGGAAACTTGGGCTATACACAACTAAACAGGACTAATTAGTCCAAAACATATTTTAAGGGTTCTACCATATAGTGACCACCTTCAACAAATTGAAGATTTTGTCACAAAGTTGGGTTTATGCAGCACAAATGACAGACTATATATATTACATAATAATTAATCACTTAGTTAAAGTTAAGAGAAGGAAAATTTATTTCGAGGAGAGTACGAGAGAGAGTTCCGAGCAAGCCAGTGATTGGGCAGCCCTCACCGACAAAGCTTGTTCGCAAAAGGGGGAAAAGAAGTCTGTTGAACTTGAAGTACATGTAACTAATTACTCTGCATCTTCAATTTTATAGGTGAAACAACTTAGTGCGAAACGACCCAGCGCGAACAGAATATTGTGTGAAACGACCTGACACCTATGCGACCAGGTAGCTCTATTGGTAAGAGTGCCCCTCTTAAGCTTAATTTACAGTCAGAATTTCAAACACCTTTGGTCGGGAGTCCTGGTCTGCTAGTTGAATTGTTCTTTTTCTGTGATTTAACTCTCCATCCCCTTTTTCGAAACTGGAAAAATCTAATTTTTAAATGGAATAGATGCATAATTGTTGTATATTCATATGATCCAGACTCTTGTGTGGGAGAAATGATCACATTAAATCACACATTGCGCCCCCCCCCCCATAAGGAAATGTCAATCGATTCACACCTCATCGTCGTCTTCTTTCCTTGTTCGAACTTTCACTCGACCAGCCTGTCTGATGGATTTATCTTCTAATATTTGGTCAGCAAGTGATTGGCCTCTATCTCCATCCCCTGTGGCCTTAGACACACGAATTTTCTTCGCCTTTCCCATTACATTTATAAATGCACGTGTTACGTTGAGTACCAAAACACTGAAGAGTTCCAATTCAAGGGGAGCGCTCATTTATGGTATTTTATAACAATTATTTCATTGTACAATTAATTTTGTTAAGTTTCCATTTTCGAACTGTATTTTATCAAAATATTTTGATATCATATTTTTCGAGCTTAAATAACAAATGATGAATTATTTGGCCTACAATGTATCACATTCAATGCTATTTTGGAACTCTTTTGCACTGAAGGCAAAAAAGCACACACCCCTGCTTGTGGGAGTTGAGGAAGGACTGTGTACTTTGTTATGGTCAAAAGACCATTGTTTTCTGCAAAATAAGATATGGCATCCAAAGACAAGCTAATGCTGCTTTTAAAATTACCATTTTACATGATATATTTTTACCTGGAAGCATTTGTGCGATCAGTTTTCCTCCGGCCATCACCCAAAGATGTGAAAGGAGACGTTGTATTAGTGACGGGGGCGGGGCATGGCATAGGAAGAGAAATTGCCCTTGAGTTTGGTCGGCTGGGCGCTAGAGTAGTGCTGTGGGATATTAACAAGGTAATGTTCAACTTAAATACATTAGATGTTTTGAATTTTTGTAATTTAATGAATTGCTGACAATAACACAGCAAAAATGTTTGTATATTTCAATTGGGCCAATACGAGCTTTAACTGTCTGACTGTTTAAGCTCATTTCCATTTCATGCCATCCGGATCAAGGTAATTAATATATGGTGACACAGCATGTACAAAGGTGTTTGAAATTCTGACTGTAAATTAAGATATATCATGTCATAAAAACTAAGGTGATTACTATAAAAAAGTAGTAATACCCTTGGTTTTTATATGACATATTTCTCAATACTGTTTATAATAATAATACTGTTACGAGATAATTTGTTACTAGTGTAAAAGATTTGGATTAATTAGATTGCCTTACAAGCGTCAGCTGTAGGAAATTTCCCTTAAGCTCAGTGGTAGAGCATCGGGCTGGAGAGCCAATGGTTGCGGGTTCGAGCCCAAGTGACGGCACTTTCTTTATCACTATTCCTTGTCCTACTACACTTACTTAATTTTATCTTATTTCCTGCACAGGTTCCTCTCAGGATCCTCTTCGCTGGACTCTGTAGTGTTATAATGTTCACTTCCAGTTGTTACACGTATTGTCCCTTTGTACATGTCCATCTGTAGTTGTTGTTTTTTTACTTCCTGTCCATTTCAGAAATTGTCAAGTGTGTTCTTGAAGCTATTTAATGAGTTGGCATTTACAAAGTGGGCTGGCAAATTGTTCCATACTGCTGTCATTCTTATGGAATTTTCTGTATCGATGTTCTTGTACATAAGGAATATCTTCATGAAGATTGTCCTAGTGTTTGATCTTTCTGAGGTGTCAGACCACATCCTTATCCTCGCACTGCTTTATACATGTGTCTCCTCGCACTGCCTTATACGTGCATCTCTATTGTGTCTCCTCGCACTGTCTAAGCCCTTATACATGTATCTCTATTGTGTCTCCTCACACTGCCTCATACATGTATCTCTATTGTGTCTCAATCCTCGCACTGTCTTATACATGTATCTCTATTGTGTCTCCTCGCACTGCCTCATACATGTATCTCTATTGTGTCTCAATCCTCGCACTGTCTTATACATGTATCTCTATTGTGTCTCCTTGTCTGCCTTATTCATATATCTCTATTGTGTCTCCTCACACTGCCTCATACATGTATCTCCTTTGTGTCTCCTCACACTGCCTCATTCATGTATCTCTATTGTGTTCTCGCACTGACTTATACATGTATCTCTATTGTGTTCTAGCACTGCCTTATACATGTATCTCTATTGTGTCTCCTCACACTTCCTTATACATGTATCTCTATTGTGTCTCCTCGCACTGTCTTATACATGTGTCTCTATTGTGTCTCATCTCACTGCCTTATACATGTGTCTCTATTGTGTCTCCACACACTGCCTCATACATGTATCTCTATCGTGTCTCAATCCTCTCACTGCCTTATACATGTATCTCTATTGTGTCTCCACACACGTCCTTATACATGTATCTTTATTGTGTTCTCGCACTGCCTTATACATGTATCTCTAATGTGTCTCATCTCACTGCCTTATACATGTGTCTCTATTGTGTCTCTTCGCACTGTCTTATACATGTGGCTCTATTGTGTCTGATCTCACTGCCTTATACATTTATCTCTATTGTGTCCCCTCGCACTGTCTTATACATGTTTCTCTATTGTGTCTCTTCGCACTGTCTTATACATGTGTCTATATTGTGTCTCCTCGCACAGTCTTATACATGTATCTTTATTGTGTCTCCTCGCACAGTCTTATACATGTATCTCCAGTGTCTGATCTCACTGCCTTATTCATGTGTCTCTATTGTGTCCCCTCGCACTGTCTTATACATGTATCTCCAGTGTCTGATCTCACTGCCTTATACATTTATCTCTATTGTGTCTAATCTCACTACCTTATACATTTATCTCTATTGTGTCTCATCTGACTGCCTTATACATGGATCTCTATTGTGTTTCCTCGCACTTCCTCATACATGTATCCCTATTGTGTCTCCTCACACTACCTTATACATGTATCCGCACTGCCATAAACATGTATCTCTATTGTGTCTCCTCGCACTGTCTTATACATGTGTCTCTATTGTGTCTGATCTCACTGCCTTATACATGTGTCTCTATTGTGTCTCCTCACACTGTCTGATACATGTATCTCTACTGTGTCTCCTCGCACTGCCTTATACATGTATCTCTATTGTGTCTCCTCGCACTGCCATAAACATGTATCTCTATTGTGTCTCCTCGCACTGCCTTATACATGTGTCTCTATAGTGTCTCCTCACACTGCCTTATACATGTATCTCTATTGTGTCTCCTCGCACTGCCTTATACATGTGTCTCTATTGTGTCTCCACACACTGCCTTATACATGTATCTCTATTGTGTCTCCTTGCACTTCCTTATACATGTATCTCTATTGTGTATCCTGGCACTGCCTTATACATGTATCTCTATTGTGTCTCCACACACTGCCTTGTACATGTATCTCTATTGTGTCTCCTTGCACTTCCTGATACATGTATCTCTATTGTGTCTCCTCGCACTGCCTTATACATGTATCTCTATTGTGTCTCCTCACACTGCCTTATACATGTATCTCTATTGTGTCTCTGCACACTGCCTTATACGTGTGTCTCTATTGTGTCTCCTCACACTGCCTTATACATGTATCTCTATTCCTTATACATGTATCTCTATTGTGTCTCATCACACTGCATTATGCATGTATCTCTATAGTGTCTCCTCACACTGCCTTATACATGTATCTCTTTAGTGTCTCCACACACTGCCTCATACAGTATCTCTGCCTTATACATGTATCTCTATTGTGTCTCTGCACACTGCCTTATACGTGTGTCTCTATTGTGCCTCCTCACACTGCCTTATACATGTATCTCTATGTATCTCTATTGTGTCTCCACACATTGCCTTATACATGTATCTCTATTGTGTCTCCACACAATGCCTCACACATGTATCTCTATTGTGTCTCCACACACTGCCTTATACATGTATCTCTATAGTGTCCCCTCGCACTGCCTCATACAGTATCTCTATTGTGTCTCCTTGCACTGCCTTATACATGTGTCTCTATAGTGTCTCCTCGCCCTGCCTTATACATGTATCTCTATTGTGTCTCACCACACTGCCTTATGCATGTATCTCTATAGTGTCTCCACACGCTGCCTCATACAGTATCTCTATTGTGTCTCCTTGCACTGCCTTATACATGTGTCTCTATAGTGTCTCCTCCCACTGCCTTATACATGTATCTCTATAGTGTCTTCTATTGTGTCTCCACACAATGCCTCACACATGTATCTCTATTGTGTCTCCACACACTGCCTCATTCAGTATCTCTATTGTGTCTCCTCACACTGCCTTATACATGTATTTCTATAGTGTCTCCACACACTGCCTCATACAGTATCTCTGCCTTATACATGTATCTCTATTGTGTCTCCACCCCCTGCCTCATACAGTATCTCTATTGTGTCTCCTCCCACTGCCTTATACATGTATCTCTATAGTGTCTCCACACACTATACTGTATATCTCCTATCTAAGAACCTTGCTGATACTGTATATCTCTATTGTGTCTCCTCACACTGCCTTATACATGTAGCTCTATAGTGTCTCCTCACACTGCCTTATACATGTATCTCTGTTGTGTCTCCTCGCACTGCCTCATACATGTATCTCGATAGTGTCTCCTCACACTGCCTTATACATGTATCTCTTTAGTGTCTCCACACACTGCCTTAAACAGGATCTCTATTGTGTCTCCTCGCACTGCCTTATACATGCATCTCTATTGTGTCTCCTCGCACTGCCTTATAGTATCTCTATTGTGTCTCCACACACTGCCTCATACAGTATCTCTGCCTTATACATGTATCTCTATTGTGTCTCCACACAATGCCTCACACATGTATCTCTATTGTGTCTCCACACACTGCCTCATTCAGTATCTCTATTGTGTCTCCTCACACTGCCTTATACATGTATTTCTATAGTGTCTCCACACACTGCCTCATACAGTATCTCTGCCTTATACATGTATCTCTATTGTGTCTCATCACACTGCCTTATGCATGTATCTCTATAGTGTCTCCACACGCTGCCTCATACAGTATCTCTATTGTGTCTCCTCCCACTGCCTTATACATGTGTCTCTATAGTGTCTCCTCCCACTGCCTTACACATGTATCTCTATTGTGTCTCCTCCCACTGCCTTATACATGTATCTCTATTGTGTCTCCTCGCACTGCCTTATACATGTATCTCTATTGTGTATCCTTGCACTGTCTTATACATGTATCTCTATTGTGTCTCCTCACACTGCCTTATACATGTATCTCTGTTGTGTCTCCTCGCACTGCCTCATACATGTATCTCTATTGTGTCTCCTCGCACTGCCTCATACATGTATCTCTATTGTGTCTCCTCGCACTGCCATAAACATGTATCTCTATTGTGTCTCCTCGCACTGCCTCATACATGTATCTCTATTGTGTCGCCTCGCACTGCCTTATACATGTATCTCTATTGCGTATCCTTGCACTGTCTTATACATGTATCTCTATTGTTTCTCCTCACACTGCCTTATACATGTATCTCTATAGTGTCTCCACACACTGCCTCATACAGTATCTCTATTGTGTCTCCTCACACTGCCTTATACATGTATCTGTAGCTATTGTGTTTCATCTCACTGCCTCATACATGTATCTCTATTGTGTCTCCTCGCACTGCCTTATACATGTATCTCTATTGTGTCTCCACACAATGCCTCACACATGTATCTCTATTGTGTCTCCACACACTGCCTTATACATGTGTCTCTATTGTGTCTCCTTACACTGCCTCATACAGGTATCTCTATTGTGTCTCCTCACACTGCCTTATACATGTATCTCTACTGTGTCTCCACACACTGCCTTATACATGTATTTCTATTGTGTCTCCACACACTGCCTTATACACGTATCTCTATTGTGTCTCCTCACACTGCCTTATACATGTGTCTCTATTGTGTATCCTTACACTGCCTCATACAGGTATCTCTATTGTGTCTGCTCACACTGCCTTATACATGTATCTCTATAGTGTCCTGCCTTATACATGTATCTCTATTGTGTCTCCTCACACTGCCTTATACATTTATCTCTATTATGTCTCCACACACTGCCTTATACATGTATCTATATTGTGTCTCCACACACTGCCTTATACATGAATCTCTATTGTGTCTCCACACACTGCCTTATATATGTATCTCTATTGTGTCTCCTCACACTGCCTTATACATTTATCTCTATTATGTCTCCACACACTGCCTTATACATGTATCTCTCTTGTGTCTCCCCACACTGCCTTATACATGTATCTCTATTGTGACTCCACACACTGCCTTATACATGTATCTCTATTGTGTCTCCTCGCACTGCCTCATACAGTATCTCTATTGTGTGTCCTCACACTGCCTTATACATGTATCTCTATTGTGTCTCCTTGCACTGCCTTATACATGTATCTCTTTTGTGTCTTCTTGCACTGCCTTATACATGTATCTCTTTTGTGTCTCCTCGTATATGCCTTTATCCTTACTCTGGATATTCCCGGTTAGTATTAATGTGTGTCATGAAATAATAAATCAAAACATAATTATCAATAGCCATATTTCATCAATTGTATATATATCCATTATTTAGAGGTTGAGCGATGTATGAGTAATTATGTATGTTTAATTATTATATAGGTTTATTTGTCCACGACAAGAAATAAATATATCCTTAACTGGAAAGGCATGGAGTGTTTTTATTGAGAACCTACGTTACATCTACATACTGTGCAAATATTAATTTTCTGATGCAGCATGCTGATGCGAAAATAACAGCAGGCAAAGTGAAAGTAGTATACAATTTGATGTCCTTTGTAAAGAATTCTGTCATGGATATCAAACTCCATAACAAATTATGTCAAATATAATCAAACTAATATCTCCAGAATCTCCCTTTATGATGGTGTAGTCCACCTGTATTTTGACAGAGTGGAAATGACTCTGTGGCTGCTGAAATCAAAGCTGCTGGAGGCGAGGCACATCCTTACGTCTGCGACCTCTGTAAGACAGATGACATCAAGACAGTAGCGGCCTCGGTAAAGAGCAATGTAGGCAATGTAGATATCCTTGTCAACAATGCTGGAATTTTATATGGAGGAGAGATGCTCAAAATGAGAGAAGAACACATTCGCAGGACATTTGAAGTCAACACTCTGTCTCATTTCTGGGTAATAAAGTTTTTCTATTAACGTACATAGGTTGCATTGCTTGAGTGGATTTTGTGGAGAGTGTACACCCTTCTTCTCTTGCATGGAGCAGTTGGTCCCTCACAGTGTCCATCAAATTTGTTTAAACAGTATAGTAATAAAGGGCTGATAACACTGTAGTCTCCAGTCATGTGTGCGTGTCATATTGATAACATCATCATTTTTAGCATTGTGAGCTTATGCCATACCACAGCGTCCATCGTCCGTACGTCGTCCATCCATTGTCCGTCCGTCAACTTTTCCTTTAAAACGCTACTAGTCCTGAACGGCCAAGCACATTTTGACTAAATTTGATCTGGAGCATCCTTAGGCAAAGGGGACTCAGTTTTGCATAAACAGTGAGTGTGACCCCCCTGGGGGTAGAGAGACAGGGCCGATTATTGGAAATAGAGGTAAAACCTTTAAAATCCTTCTTCTACCATAGAGATTAAGGGATTTCATCCAAATTAAGTCTGGAGCATCATTGGGCAAAGGGGACTGAATTTTGTAATAACGGTTGGTGTGGCCCCCCCTGGGGGCAGAGGGGCGGGGCCAAATAGGGGAAATAGAGGTAAAACCTTTAAAATCCTTCTTCTACAATACAGATTAAGGGATTTCAGCCTAATTTAGTCTGGAGCATCCTTGGGCCAAGGGGACCCAATTTTGTATAAACAGTTGGCCCCCCTGGGGGCAGAGGGGCGGGGCCGAATAGGGGAAATAAGAGCAAATTCTTCAAAATCCCTCTTCTTCTGTAGGTACGACAGGATTTTTTCCAAATTTGGTATGAAGCACCCTTTGGTGAAGGGGAACCAACATCGTATAAATGGTTGGCAGACCCCCTGGGGGCAGAGAGGCAGGGCCAAATAAGGGATATAGAGGAATGGCTTTAATATCCTTCTTCTGTTGGGATGAAGGCATTTTGACCAAATTTGAACAGTAGCATCCTTTTCGGAAGGGAAATCAAGTTTGTATTCATGGTGGGTTTGAAGCCCCTGGGGCCTAAGGGGCAGGGCCCAATAGAGGAAACATAGCAAAATCTTCAAATCCCTTCTCCTTCTGTAGGAATGACAGGATTTGATTACGGTAAATTTCGGACGAAGCATCCTTGGGTGAAGGGGAACCAATTTTGTATAAATGGTGAGTTTAACCCCCCTTGGGGTTGAGAGGCGGGACCCAATAAGGGATATAGAGTTATAGCTTTAATATACTTCTTCTTCTTTTGGGATGAAGGTATTTTGACCAAATTTGAACAGTAGCATCCTAATTGGAAGGGAAATCAATTTTGTATCCATGGTGGGTTTGAACCCCCTTGGACCTGAGGGGCAGGGCCCAATAGAGGAAACATAGCAAAATCTTCAAAATCCTTCTTCTTCTTATAACAGGATTTTGATTAAATTTGGGATGAAGCACCCTTGGATGAAGGGGAACCAATTTTGTATTTAGATAGAAAAACAGCTTTAAAATCCTTCTTCTTCTGTAGGAATGATAGGATTTTGTCCATATTTGGTCTTAAGCATCCTTGGGTGAAGGGTCCTAATTTTGTATCAACGATTGGTCTATCCCCCCTGGGGGCAGAGGGGCGGGGCCCAGTAGGGGAAACATACCAAATTCTTTGAAATCATCCTTTCACTTTATGAATGACAGGATTATGTCCAATTGCATATAAATATAACCCCTAACTAACATGTAATACATGTCCACTTCCAGTAACATCTGGCTATTCTTACTTCAATTTTGCTAACATTTCCAGGTCAGCAATACAGGCCCTCTGTGCCTCTTGTTTAGCTCTGCCTACAGTTTGGTCCAAGTGCATTACTTTATCATGAAATATTTCTGCGCCATCTGAACTGTTTCAACCGGGATATGCGAATGCTGCCTAAGATCAATATGTCACACATATATTTGTATATTGTTCTTATTTCATAGAAACTTTCAGAAACATTAAAAATAACTGCCTATCTCAACTCTAAAAACATTCTTGTTGTTATACTTAACAGATGTATAATTTTGTTTGGCCTCAGTGATCAGTTCACGTGTCTTTTTGTATTCATTTTAAGGTCTGAATCTGTTTTGACATGTTACTGTACCATATTTGACCTAATAACCACTCCATCTGCCTCCGTCCCTTTTCTGGTCGGAGCATCCGGCCATCTCTTTACCCTAATTAATTTCAATTGCACTTTACTTTAACAAAATGTATATTTTCAAAATTTTATAAACAGGATTTGGCAGTTTCTCTATTCGATACAATCTCTCAAATTGTTATGAGACCAGGGCACCATTCAGGTTAAATACAGATTTTTTTTAAATTTATTTTACATGTTTTTTACATTTTTTTTATTTTTTTTTACAATAAAATTATTTTGTTTCATTTTATTTTCATTTTACACTAAAACGTTTTTGTTTCATTTTACATGTATTTTACTGTTTTTTATTTTATTTTACATGTATTTTACACTAAAATGTTTGTTTTGGTTTCATTTTATGTATATTTTACATCAAAATGTGTGATTTAGTTCTCTTATTTTGATTTATTCAGACCACCAGAGAGTTTTTGCCAGCCATGATTAAGAAAAAAAAGGGTCACATTGTTACAACATCATCAATGTCTGCAAAGTCAGGCACTGCTCTTCTGGTCGACTACAGGTAATGGATGGTCCCCCGAAAAAATTATGATCTTCAAAATATTGAACATTATACATACTTGAATGTACATGATTTCCTGTAGCACATCAAACCCATGAATATTGAATTCATCATGGTTTTATGATATGAAGAGAGTGTAAAAATGTTTTGTGTCCATCACACATACTGTACATATTGTAGTGGGACTAGACTGGGTCGATCTCCACGACCAAGTAGCTCAATGGGTAGAGCATCCATCTAGAGTTTGGAGGGTCTTTGGTTTGAATACCAGTCTTTGCTGTGTATTTTTCCTCTCCAGTTACATTTGGTGTCCAACGAAATATACCCACAGAAGGTGGAATAGGGTCTCGTGTGTCTTGGGGGCCGAAGACTTTGTTAAAGGAGGGAGTAATGTAGAGGAACTAGACTGCAGGGTTGGTCACAGGCGACCAGGTAGCTGCATTAGTAGAGCATCAGTCTAGAGTTCTGAGGGACCTAGTCCGAATTATTCTGATGTTTTATCGACTTTTTTCATATCGGTCTGTCGTGACTATGAGGGACCTTGGTCGGAATCTTGATCTGGCTGTGCATTTTCCTCTCCCGTAACATCTTATTAAAGCACATTATTGTTGATTTATTGTAAAAGAAACCTGACTGCGGTCAACGATGTAGTCAGTATTACTGTCGTCTTGGGGTTATACAGTGCTAGTCAAGGGGATTATTGTTTTTAAATATATAATTGATTTATTTCCATTATGTTCTTATATAATTATAAGTGTTCAGTTCCATGATACCATGTTTGTGTGAGAATATATATATATAGAGTGGATTGTTCCAAAAATTTGAAAACCTGATATTTTCGACGCTGTTGCAATTACTCCCTCGCCCCATATATATTTACAAAAGTGTTAGCCTGAGTTTCCTCTGGCCCTGACACCAGACTCTGGCCCGGACACCAGACTAAGACATTTTGACAGATATATGTCTTACACCAGACATCTATCTGTCAAAATGTTTAAGTCTGGTGTCAAGGCCAGAGGTAACTCAGGATAGGGAAGGGTGTACATTTAACTGTATTGTTAAGAATACCCTTTCAGCTCCTCTAAGTACGCTGCCTATGGGTTTGCGGAGGCTATGGAGGAGGAAATGGACAGACTTGGTCACAGCTACATCAAGTTTACCACAGTGTGTCCAATGTTTGTAAGCAGTGGACTGGTCAAAGCTACTACCGATGTGTAAGTCAAGTAAAACGTTTTCTACTATTTGGCCAATGGTTGTTGACTGGTTTCATGAAATCAGGGACTAGTGTATAAGTTATGGTAGTTTTGTATTATACCATGCACGTATGACGAGACGTCAAGGGTGTACGTATATTTAGGGATCTGCTCATTTGTACAGTCTTGTCCCAATTGCTTCACCTCTCTATATCTGCAGACTTCCTTTCTAACCCAATTGTCACAAAACCTCTTGTTCAAGTACATGTTTTGACCTTCTGCAGTCCAAATCTAGGTCATTGTTACTATAAATAGAATTTGATGAAATTCTTGACGTCGCTGCTCTACAGACGTCATTTCTTTTCTGATTGTCACAAAACTTCACACATGTGTTCACAAACATCACCTCCTGTATAAGTTTTCATTTTGATCTTCTGCAGTAAAAAATTTGCATAAATTTCTTAGAACTTTGAAGTGCGAAGGTAGTTGTATTGTCTGCGGTGCCTAATTTAATCTTGCTTGGCTTTTAGTCAGAATGTCATTATACCATATACAAATGTATGTAAAATACTTCAATAATTTAGAAGGAGAATTTTCTATGGATGAGTACGAGTATAGGCTTTTTGATCTGTACACAACATGAGTGGGGCTTGGTAGCTTTGACATGAGATGCATTCTTTGTTACAGAGATGAAAAAATGTTGACACCGAAAGAGGTTGCCTTGGCAACTGTAAATGGAACTTTGATGAACAGGGCAGTTGTTACGATTCCAGACCATTTGGCATTCTCACTGCGAGTGGCAGCGTAAGTTTAGCCAGAATTACCTGGTGAAATTTTTAAAAGTTTAGACAATTTTGCAACAATAACACATGTACTAACCATATTTATATTGCAATAAGCGGAGGGGCCAATTTTAACATGTAATTTGAAGTAGGGGTGGGCGAGCTTATTACAAGAAAAAGCATTAACAATTAGTTAACGATTTTTTTGCATTTCTGTTGAACTGAATAAATATAAGGTTGGACTTATTTCCAGGCATGGGCTCATTGCAGAATGTGAGCTTGTATATCACCAGTGTGAGCTTGTATATCACCAGTGTGGGAGTATTTGCATGTATATAATACATCATACATTCACATATACAGATCTGTAACAAGCCTCGTGAGCTCCATCTGGAGGTCTAAGCTCTCACTTCTGATATATAAGCTCTTTTTGAGCTCTTTTATAGTCAATGTATGGATTCGATGATTCAATGTTCCTGATATTGATTTTGATATCCTGTTGCAGGTGGTTTCCACGGAAACTAAATTTGTGGCTGAAGAAAGTGGGAAACCTAGGAATTCAGCCACAGTACACCCCCTCAAAACAAGACTGAACTGTTTCCATGGAGATACATCTGTTTTTGTGATAGTTTTGGTAATAGCCGTAATTTTAAAATGTTTACAAATAAAATATACACATTTTTTAAATAAAGTTGATATTTTATGTTCTGAAAATTAACAAGTAATATAACAGACATAAGTTGTCAATTGTGATGTTACAATAGACATAGACAGTGAAAAATTAAAAAAAATTGATGTCAGGATCTGCTAGAATATTAACTACATTTTCTTAAAGTTCTTCATTAAATTGGTACATGTGTTGTTTTGAACTCCTTTTTTGTGCTGCTGTCTTTCTGCGTTTCAAAAATATGACTTATGACTTTTCACGCATTTTCAGGAAAAAATATTTCCAATAATAACAGTTTATTATTTTTGCTTGGCCTTTTTTAATTCTGACGCAACAAACCAGCACATGATATCTTCTTAGATTAATCGTTCGTGTTGGCCAGGATAGTAACGCAGTAGAACTGGACTGGGTCGGTCGCCGGCGACCTGGTAGCTCAATTGGTAGAGCGTCCGTCTAGAGTTTGGAGGGTCCTGGGTTCGAACCCTGGCCTGGCCGTGCATTTTCCCACTCCTATTACAATAGCATACAAGCTAGGGGGTCTTTATATACATGTAGGAAGGAAAACAGAACCTGATCAGGGATTACGATCCTGGCCGTCTTTCTGAAAGGCGAGTGTGTTATCCGGTGTGCCCCCACCATAATAGAACATACATTTGTATAAAGTAAAAATATCAGCATGTTTGAAAGTTGACCATAAAGACAATTCAGAGGTCCTTATGTGATGAATGTGGCTTTTAAACACAATTCTGTTGTTCATATTTATTAAATTATATCACTTTATTTTGAGATCCGTGAAAAATTAATGATCATGTTATTCCCATGTATTATTATGACTATAAAATATGGTTTTTAGATACTGGATTACAAAACATTATCAGTGGGAGGGTCTTGCTCCTGTGCGATTGATAAACGACTTTCATATGTTTTGATCAATTATCAAAATCCCTGGGTCCAGTTGTTCAAAAGGTGATTCGCTTAATCAGTGATTAGCGTAAATTTTAATTTTTGTATGTCTTTAAGACACAACCACTGAATTAGTTACAACTTTCAAGATATCAAATATTTAGTAGAGTGAATTTACATGCACAATTGTGAGACTTTACCTTGTATATCGACAAAAGTATTAAAGGCTGAAAAACTGTTGTTAAACTGTGATTAAGCTAATCACCTTTTGAACATCTGGGCCCTGGTATACAACTTGATAGCCCTTCATTCCAGCAATGAATCCTCCATCATAAAAATAGATCATCTCTGCACCCCTGGTATATATCATGACAAAATTGAAAGCTCTTTACACTAAACCTTGCGGATGATACAGCTCAACACATCTGACATCTTTGATGAAGATGAAAGGAATCATGCATCAGCATAACGGTAAAATCAAAAGGCTGTGAAGTGGGGTGTAGAATCTCTGTAATTGTTAAAGGACAAGTACTTATCAGCCTAGCGATTTGTCAGGCTTTTTACCTGAAATTAATCAAATAACTTTTTTATGCCTTGATTTTGTCATGGCTTATTTCAGGGGTAAAGAGAAGAAAAGTGTATCCAGAGCAGAATCCTCGGATTTTGTGGATGTCTATCCTAGACATAGACCTCTTTGTTCTTCAGAAGAAGATGTTTAACCTTTTCACCACTGTAGACCATAATGGACTTATCCAGATCAATGCATGGTAGAGTCTACTAAAGTTACATAGGGGTGAAATGGTTAATGTCGTAACACAGATTCCTGTGATATTGAAAGTGGTACCCTTTAACACATTACCAAGGTCGAGCTCTTACTTGATAAAGTAGTTCAGACACGGCAAGACGATTTACCCAAAAAACACACAAAAACACCTCACCAATAGCGTTTAGCTGAAGAAATTATTTAAAATAAAATAGAATGGGTTTTTGGGTAGTTTTGGGTGTTTTGGGGTAGTTTTGGGTGTTTTGGGGTAAATCGTCGTGCCCGTTCCGACATGCCTGTTTCGTTTTGTCCCTCTCTTTTTAAAAATATTTGGCTTGAGTAAGACTATTTCTACAAGCACGTGTGAACTTTATTTTAAAACACCTGTAATGTTCCGGCAGTTTACATGTGGGAAATTGAAGAGAACGGGCATACTCTCCCTCATTAATAGGAGGGAGACTCTCATTTTCACCAAAATTTACCAATCTCCCTCGAAACTCCCTCATTCAAGTCCAAACTCACACAAACTCAAAATCTATATTGTAGTTACTACAGGGTGTGTGTAATGATCATAACAGGTACCTGTGTCTTAATTAAATGAACGTAAATGAATGCGTTATTTTGATACATAAAAAGGGAAAGACAAATTGCACACCTATGTATGAGCAGCTGTACAATAAGAGAAGTGTCCTGTCTATTCAATGTCCCTATTACTAGACAGGTCAAGGTCACATTAATATTTTGTATTGATTTCAAGTTTCAATTTCAATTTTTGTCAAAGAAATGAACGGGAAATCCTCTAATTGGCTACATTTCTTCACCCAGATATCACCATTGTCGTCGTCGTCATCATCGTCGTAATCATCAAAAAAGTGTGAATTCTGCAGACTGAATGTCAAAGGTCAAGGTCACAAGATGACTTAGTAACCGTCGTTATTAACATCAAAACCTCTCAAAGCAACTAAAGGATTAAAAGACTACCTTTCATAATACAATGTCATATACATGTTGTTTATGAAAGATCATCACTTAAGACATGATAAAGAAATAAAAAACATCATCTCCGACTTGTCGAATTCTTAAGACAAGGTCCCGTCTCTAACTTGTGACATTCTTTAGACTTGAGGTCAAGGTAACCAGGGACAGTAAGTTAACAAACTTAAGGTCATGGTTGTAGAATTTTCAGGAAACATTTTTATCTTCAAAAATGATAAACTCTTTTTTATTATAATGATATTTTATTAACAGTTTAAGTACGGCCGAAAAGATGCATAGCTCGTATTGTATTCAATAAGTACCTATGATTTTATTGTATTGTCTTATATTTTTACTTGCATCCACACTGTTGGTTGCTCTGAAGAACATCGATAATCACAGGGACCTGAGAATTTGTTACAGGTATATATGAACCTATACTGAAGTGTTCAGATTTATTAAACACACTTTGGGGATTTAGATCAATCAATCATATTGGTAAAAATGCTACCTAATGATGGTATTATAATAGATATAAACCCCTAAACGTGTAAAACTACTCTGCACATCAATTTAGGTTCAACTATACCTGTAACCGAATCCGGTTAAAACGGCCTCACTGCAGTAACGGCCCTAGTTAAAACGGCCCCACCCTAATATATACTGTATAGTACTGCAAGTACTACAAGTGCGTAATACAAATACATAACTTGATATTATGTTAATAAAGTTACATGCGCTTTCAAGAAATAAAGATATGTACATGTACAGATAAAAACATGATAATTGTGTTTGTGTTTTCATTGATAGTTGACCCTCCTCAGTCTCAACTACCTTTGCAATAGTACGCCATGACGCCAACCAGACATTTGACTAAAATGATCCGGAATCCGTCCACATTTGTAAACGGGATATTAAAACGCACCTTAAAATGAAAATCGAAAGCAACTATAACGTATAAATGAAACTGATAATGGTACACGCATGAACATATTATTGATATAAAGCACAACATTATTAAAACATATATTATAAACTAAAGTAAAAGTTCGATTTTATATTGCTCAATGGTAACGAAATGAACATTTTTAATGCACAACAATTCCGTGGTTGGCCGTTCATGGTAAAAACTTTTCTGTAAAACATGGAGATATATCGATAAAAATAATGATAAAAAGATAGTTAATTGGTATAAAAACAACATATATATAATGAAGTACACGAGTAAAGCATTATAAAACTATTTCAAATCTTGTAGGAAACATTTTAATCCTTAAACAGAATATTCGTCAATAATCCTCAAAATATTATTCAATATCTATATGTTATACTTCACAGAGACCAAAATTGCTTTAATGCGTCTTAATACTGTAGATTCCCGAAAGGCATACATTGTTGCGTTAATACACGAAATACTATTGCAAATTCAAAAAATATCAGTTACACTTATTCAAATACAAACACGGAACATGTAGCAATTGTTTATTTCGTGAATAAAAGTCATTATATGTATTTAGAAAACGCGAAAAAAAGAACTCGGAACAATTCAGCGATTTCCGGTAACAAACAAACCACTCGTCAATTTCGATTGCAGTAGATATGTTGGTTTTTTTTATATTTTTTATTGCCAATTCGGTATTTTTCTTAATTTCTAAAATAATTAATTGTTTGAATTAATGTAAAATGTATTGCCTCTGTAAGGATATAAATATATATTAAGATTGGTTATGTCAGAATTTGCCCTATAAAGAATATTTCGGTTATTTTCTTATGCAATATAATACTGTCATTACATGTATCTTAATATCATTACAGTACATTCAATAATATGCATTTGCACGCCGCTTAGATATAAAACAGTCAACTATTAAACATGACGTGAGTTTCAAGTTCATGAAGGGTTTTCTCGTTCCTCAGCAGTATCAAGGTAGATTTTGGCACCTTTCATTAATCACCAGTGATTATGGATTATACATTCCTTCCAACTATATGTGCTTGAATCGACTAGTCTATCCCTTTGAACAAATTTTCGGACTTGAGCAAGGCTACTTCTCGTATCAGTTGATAGCCTTGTACAAGTCCGAGATGATAACGGGGACAGGGGCTAATCGATTAAAGCCGTCAGTCACGTGCTTCGTACAAACACATCTGGTCATAAGTATTAATATAATTAATAAAGAAGTTTTCAAAAGAATACTTCTAGCTTTTACACAAACTTTCTTGATGACAAAATGATGTCTTTCTATGATTTCACACGTCTAGTAGAAACTACGATATACTAGATTTAATTTGTTGATGGTTGTTTAACTTTAACTCACAAAATCCTAAAAATATATATCATTAATAAAGAGTATATTTCGATATCATTTAATGTTCAAAGGGAGATTACTCTAATAAATTATGGATACCAAAATGTAATACTGCGAAATCACATATTTTCGTGGTGCAAAGTTTTCGCAGTTTTACCAAATTCGACCGAGGACGATTTTTTTCAGAATCTGCCATGCTAACATATGTTCACTGGCATATACATTTGATGATAAAGAATGCACTCGGAATTCACGAAAATACACCCCAAAGAAAATTATTTATTCCGCAGAATTAACTTAAGTAGGTATCATTGTGCACTCCTCCAGTACTAATGCACAGGATATATTAAATTCCACCAGCGAATATTTTAGAATGGAATTGGACAAACTGATTCTATCGTTCTACATGTCATAGAGGTGTTATCCCTTCTCATTTCCGACGCTTTTGTTCAGTAAGTCACGGTTTATCCGACAGACTACAAGGGTTGTACCGGATTGAAGGCCTGTTGGTCCGGCGGAAGTGACGGAATCCCGTCATCGTCCTTGTCCTTGGTGCCATGTTTAAGCATGCTCGTGAACTCGACGTAATCAAACATGCCGCCAGCGATTGGGGCTCCGTGTAGGAGTTCGTCCACCATCTCCTCTGTCCACCGGTCGCCCATGGTCGTCAGGCACTCGCGCAGGTAGTCTTCGTTAATATATCCTATAACAGAGATCCACAAAGTGTCAGGAAAATTACAGCACTCGAAACACCTCGGACATATAAAATCATTTGAAATATGCACCTAAGAAACTTATTCGATAAAATGTTGTTTGGATTATACGCGGTATTACAAATGGACAATTTCCAAGCAAATCAAAAAAAAGGTTGCGAAGGGTCTTCTGACGCAATTCTGAAATAAATTGAGGTCCATGTGCAAGTTATGTATAACAGTGGTAGAAAAGTATGATTATGACAATATAAAATTCATATTTGTCATCGGGCGATAGTTCATTACAAGGATAAAAACGTTTTGAAACATTTTGTGTAGTGGAGGCCTCTCAATCCAGTGCCTATATTGCTGCTTTAAAGGCACATTATAATATTTATTTCCTTTTGCTGCACATAATACTCGAAAGAGGGTATTGCAGAATATCTAGATAGATATTATGCAAACATGACGTCATACTCCCGTGTTTTCACTATGACGTCACAATCAACGTGAAGTGTTCTTAACATTACATCAATATGTAACAAACGTTTATTTGATGCTGTTACGCAATGGGATAACGGAATGAAAGGATACGTATAAAATATATGAATATGTAATATTGTTTATTTGTATGTGTAGGCATTTCCAGTCGGGTATCTTCGGGTTTTTCCGGCATGTGAAGTTTTGTTTTTTTCCGCAGAATTCCGGAAATTTCCGAGAATGTGCGATATATTGGTATTTCGAAAACTAACCTGCATTTCTGTCATCGAAACAAGCAAAGGCGTTCTTAATGACTTCCTCTGGGTCGGTCCCGTTTAATTTCTCCCCGAAGAGTGTCAGAAACATGGTAAAGTTGATTGGGCCCGGGGCCTCGCTCACCATCTTATCTAGGTACTCATTGGAGGGATCCTTCCCTAGTGACGTCATCAGGTCAAGAAGGTCATCCTTGTCGATGTAACCGTCTCGGTTTTGGTCAATCATGTTAAAGGCTTCCTGGCAAATGACAACTTGAAAACTTACCAAGTGAACATAAAATTACATTTAATCGAGATTCAGCATACGCGGGAAATGTTTTCTACATAATGACTTGTAGTATACTCGGTTGTATCCCTTTATTTTACAAACATATAAAGATCCAGTTAATTTATCACATAGCTGCTGAATCTTGTTATAGTAATACAAGCAATTTTCAGACCATGAAATACAACGTTGTCTTTACTTACTAGCCGTAACTCCTTTTTATGGGAATCCCCTTGCCATGGCGAACTGAAAACTTCCCGGTATTTGCAAAAATTATCAAAGTTTATAAAATCTTTATATCGATCTCTACCAAATACGGAAGTTATGTGATAAAAGCAAGACCACACACTTGTGTTTTTCAAACGAATCAGAAAGCACGAGTTTATTGCGCGGACGAATATATATATTCACGAGTGCGCTGAGTGTGGTCTTGCATATTTATATCACCTGTCTGATCAGAATAACACAATTGATCGTTTATTTTATTTGCAAAATATTTGATCAATTTTGATAATTTATGCCTTTTTCTGCGTTTGTTGGAAAATTGATAAATATCAGAAATTTTCTCAAAATGTGTTTTAATTGGGATCTAACAAATGAAGGGAGATAACTAATGAATTCACTGCAAGGCCTCGTACTTTACGTGTTCAAATATAACATGGATATATCAGAAACCGTCTGACCTCATACTTTGGCCTTGACCCTGAGTACTGACCTTGAACTCTTGTATTTGTGCCTGGTTAAACATGGCGAACACATTTGATGTGTATCTCTGGGTCCGAGACCGGTGCTTCTTCTTGGATTTCATCGACGACATTTTGTCTTCTTAAGATGAATAGACTGTGGAAAACCCCAAAATACAACAACTTTAATATAAATGGATATTTTGAAAGATATTTAAATCACGGACCAGGCACATTGTAAATAGATACATGGGAACTTGATTCACGGACCAGACACATTGTAAATAGATACATGGGTACTTGAATCACAGACCAGACACATTGTAACTAGATATTCACGGACCAGACAAATTGTAAATAGATACATGGGTACTTGATTCACGGACCAGACACATCGTAACTAGATACATGGGTACTTGAATCACGGACCACACACATTGTAACTAGACATTCACGGACCAGACACATTGTAACTAGATACATGGGTACTTGAATCACGGACCAGACACATTGTAAATATATACATGGGGACTTGAATCACGGACCAGACACATTGTAACTAGACATTCACGGACCAGACACATTGTAACTAGATACATGGGTACTTGAATCACGGACCAGACACATTGTAAATAGATACATGGGCACTTGAATCACAGACCAGACACATTGTAACTAGATATACACCTTTTGGGGGTTTAACGTCTTCGCGACAGGTAAGGCTATAAGAAACGGTTGCCTTGGGAGACACCGCCAGGAAAGAAGAGTAGAGAGTTAAAAAAAGAAAAAAAGAAAAATCCCATTTCATTAGGGACGGCAGATCAATTTTGTGTTCTAATGTCCTTTTTAAACAAAAGAAAATCCCTGATTCTAGGAAAGGAGTTAGGAGACAGCAGTCTTCTTTAAGTTATATGATGTATTTATTTCGTGGTCACTATAGACTTCAGGACACTGATTGCCGAAAACAATTAATGTTCGACACAAAGCAGAAAACATGGCCATTCAAAGCTTGAAACACATTGAAAAACACCCCACGATAAAAGGGGAAATGGTGGAAAAAAAGACAATTAAATATGTGCTGTTCTTGCATCCAACACAAAGACGCTTTCTGATAATGTCATACATTAAGGACTACATGTGAAAATCGAACCCAGGTCACCAATCTAGCGAGTGTAAGGCACGACAACTCTGGGACTGAGAGATTGGCTAGCCACGCGAACCGTTCACAGGGATCTGATAATTTGTAATAGCTATATTTTGACATAAGCTAAGGTGTTTAAAGTAATTTTACACATTTAAGGGTTTAGGTCAATTATCGGTAAAAATGCCACCCCAATGATGATACATGTACAAGGTGGCATTTTTACCGAAAATTTATCTAAACCCCTAAAATGTGTAAAATTACTTTAAACACCCTAGCTTATGTCCAAATAGAGCTGCAACAAATTATCAGGTCCCTATGGTGCCACTTGGGTTAGACGGGTGTTTTCAATGCAAGAGTTCTATTTTAGTACACTGTATCCCGTGAGAACTATAGCCAGTGGCGTGGTTTAGACAGATAATTTTGAATTATCCTCTTGTATCTGGATTTTTTCCAATTGTAGAGACAGTGATATCTTCTTTACTGTTTTTAGCTCTTGTGATTCATATTGCAGCAAGTGCCTGTGGTCTAAACAACTGTCCCTGTCTATAAACAATTCGCCTTTCCGGTATACAGTACATTGTTACACAATGTACGACTCATAGACAGGGTTTTTTATATTCATATGATATATGTGTTTATAACTGCCAGTTGCCACATTGAAAAGGCCACCACAATATATATAAAGTATCTTTGACATCCCGTACGAGTTGCGTTTAATTCGGTAAAACATGTACCTGTTGGATATTTGGTTTAGCCTCAAAACTGGGAGATGCTGTTTATTACTAAACGACAAACAAATCCCGGAGCTGTTAAATATACATTGCACACTTGGAATCTCTCACGTGCCACAGACAAGAATTTTACGCCACACTATATAACGTTATCAGTAATTCACATTCAGCAGGATTCCTTCATTGTAAAATGGTATTGGTCACCCTGCATACAGAAAGATAGGAACATGGGAACACTATATAACGGTATAAACCACCTCATTTATAGCAAGATAAGAACCACGGGACACTATATAACGGTGTAAACCACCTCAAACAATAAGACACTATATAACGGTATGAGTCACGGTAAATACAGCAAGATAAGGACCATGGTATCTAGACCGTATAACGGCATGAGTCACGATAAAAACAGCAAGAAAAGAACCACGGTTTATGCACTATATCACGGTATAAGACACGGTCAATACAGCAAGATAAGAACCACGGTATCTACACCTTATAACGGTATGAGTCACGGCAATTACAGCAAGATAAGAACCACGGTATCTACACTTTGTAACGGTATGAGTCACGATAAATACAGCAAGATACGAATCATGGTATCTACACTATATAGCGGTATGAGTTACGGTAAATACAGCAATATAAGAACCATGGTATCTACACTTTGTAAAGGTATTAGTCACGCTAAATACAGCAATATAAGACCCATAGTATCTACACTTTATAGCAATATGAGTCATGGTGAATACAGCAAGATAAGAACCATGGTATCTACACTATATAACGGTATGAGTCACGGTAAATACAGCAAGATAAGAAGCATGGTATCTACACTATATAGCGGTATGAGTCACGGTAAATACAGCAATATAAGAACCATGGTATCTACACTTTGTAAAGGTATTAATCACGCTAAATACAGCAAGATAAGACCCATAGTATCTACACTATATAGCGGTATGAGTCACGGTAAATACAGCAAGATGAGAACCATGGTATCTACACTATTTAACGGTATGAGTCACGGTAAATACAGCAAGATAAGAACCACAGTATCTACACTATATAATATTATCAGTAATCCACATTCAGTTGGATTCATTCATTGTAAAATGGTATTGATCACCCTGCATACAGAAAGATAAGAACCTGGGAACACTATATAACGGTATAAACTACCTCATTTATAGCAAGATAAGAACCTGGGAACACTATATAACGGTATAAACCACCTCATTTATAGCAAGATAAGAACCTGGGAACACTATATAACGGTATAAACCACCTCATTTATAGCAAGATAAGAACCTGGGAACACTATATAACGGTATAAACCACCTCATTTATAGCAAGATAAGAACCTGGGAACACTATATAACGGTATAAACCACCTCATTTATAGCAAGATAAGAACCTGGGAACACTATATAACGGTATAAACCACCTCATTTATAGCAAGATAAGAACCTGGGAACACTATATAACGGTATAAACCACCTCATTTATAGCAAGATAAGAACCTGGGAACACTATATAATGGTATGAGTCACGGTAAATGCAGCAAGATAAGAACCAAGTTATCTACACCATATAACGGTATGAGTCGCGATAAATACAGCAAGATACATGTAAGACCTATGGTATCTACACTATACAGCGGTATAAGTCACGTTAACACAGCAAGATAACAACCACGGTATTAACACTATAAAAGGGTATTAGAGACGGTAAATACAGCAATATAAGAACCATATTATGTACACTATATCACGGTATTAGTCGCGGTAAATACAGCAAGATAAGAACCACGGTATATGCACTATATAACGGTATAAGTCACGATAAACACAGCAATATCATAACCACGGTATCTACACTATATAACGGTATAAGTCAGGATAAACACAGCAATATAAGAACATCGGTATCTTCACTATATAACGGTATGAGTCACGTTAAATACAACAATATAAGAACCATAGTATGTACACTATATAACGGTATTAGTCGCGGTAAATACAGCAAGATAAGAACCTCGGTATATGCACTATATAACGGTATTAGTCACGTTAAATACAGCAAGATCATAACCACGGTATCTACACTATATGTATAACGTTATGAGTCACAATTAACACAGCAAGATAAGAACCTCGGTATCTACACTATGTAACGGTATAAGTAACGGTAAATAGAGCAAGATAAGAACCATGGTATCCACACTATATAACGGTATGAGTCACGTTAAATACAGCTAGATAAGAACCATGGTATCCACACTATATAACGGTGTGAGTCACGGTAAATACAGAAAGACAAGACCCACGGAACATACATAATACATATATTAGTAACATTATATACAGCAAAATAAAAATCATAGAGCTTACGATTAGGAATAGTTCATCCTCCTCATATACAACAAGAAAAGAACCATTTTACACTTACTATAGTACTATATAACTCAAACAGAGCAAGATAAAAAGCCATATGACCTATGCTATATAACGGAATTAACCATCTCCAGACCTCATATACAGCAAAATATGCAACTACACTATATAACCATGGAAACCATTGAACCTACACTATAAAACCATGGAAACCATTGCAACTACACTATATAACCATGGAAACCATTGCAACTACACTATATAACCATGGAAACCATTGCAACTACACTATATAACCATGAAAACCATTGCAACTACACTATATAACCATGGAAACCATTGCAACTACACTATATAACCATGGAAACCATTGCAACTACACTACATAACCATGGAAATCATTGCAACTACACTATATAGCCATGAAAATCATTGAACCTCCACAATATAACCATGGATAAATTTGAACCTACATTATATAACCCTCGAACCAATTAAACATCCAATATATAACCATGGAAACCATTTAACTTCCATTATATACATGTAACCATGAAAACCACCGAACCTACATTATATAACCATGGAAACCATTGACCCTACATTATAAGTATTAACCATGGAAACCATTGAATCTGCATTATATAACCATGGAAAACATTCAACCTACACTATATTACCATGGAAACCATCGAATCTACATCAATTAACCATGTAAACCACTGACCCTACATTCTAAGTATTAACCATGGAAATCTTTGAACCTACATTATATAACCATCGAACCAATTGAACATCCACTATATAACCATGGAAACCATTAAATCACCATTATATAACAATGGAAAACATTCAACCTAAACTATATTATCATGCAAAACATCGAATCTACATAAAAAAAACATGGAAACCATTGAACCTACATTAACAGTATTAACCATGGAAACCATTGAATACATAATAGAACCATGGAAACCATTGAATACATTATATAACCATGGAAACCATTGAATACATTATATAACCATGGAAACCATTGAATACATTATATAACCATGCAAACCATCGAATCTACATCAAATTACTATGGAAACCATATTGACCCTACATTATAAGTTTTAACCACGTAAACCATTAAATCTACATTATATAACCATGGAAACCATTGACTCACCGTTATAGGAATATGGAAAACATTCGACCTACACTATATTACCATGCAAAACATCGAATCTACATCAAATAACCATGCAAACCATCGAATCTATACACTATAAAAAAAAACAATGTGGTCTACACTATATAACGGCACAAGCCATTCTATACAACAGGATAAGAACCACGGGATGGGTTATTCATAAATATATGAATAAAAATATATCTAAAAATAGTTAAAATACCCATATTGTGCTGAAAATTCCAGAAGGTACACCCTTATGTTATGTAAAATTAAAGATTTTAGTATTATTGGTTTACAATTATGACTATGGGAGACACGTTTGATTGTAAGGATGAGAACCGGCTTGTTATGTTAGATCGGTGTATATGAGTGTTACTACAATGTATATCTGACTCATACTGGAATAGTTACATACCAACTTAACATTTAAAACCTCCTGTTCTGCGAGTGTGTATACAGATATTGATAAGTACACTCAACATTCGTAACTGTAGTGTATATAGAGGGTGAGTTAATTAACACTAAAGACACATCCGATAACTCTTAATACCAAAACTCACCTTTGTACGGAAAAAAGAAACTGTCCAAAATGTCTGACACAAACTCCGATTCTGACTGTACCGGAAACACGCAATTTGGATACGACGCGGAAAGGCCCGAGAAAATGTGCGATTGGCTCCAGATGCTGGTAATTTATCTCTTTCGGTTACCATGGCGACCGGCAGGGAGGCCCTCAGGCGGGGAATTCGTATCTTAGGATATGTATTGATTTGGCGTTACTGCCACTGATATCATGGTGCGTACGCGTATAGCTAGGGATGGCGGAAGCAAACATAATAAATTGTAATACATAATTTGTAATAACGTGCGGCCCATTTGATCGTTGCCATTTCTTAAAGGATAGGGGATGGCTCGTTCATTTGCATTTTCGTTCCTGCATAGTGCATGTTTTTTGTTGTTTTGTTTTTTTCTCCGACGCAGAACTGTTCAAATGTTTCATCGAAGGAAATAAACTTTATGAATAATTTGTTATATATATTTTTTCTGGCAACTTAAAAAAAAAAGAGGAAAATACGTCTTAAATGTTTGAATGTCAAATAGACAAACCTACTATTTCTACGTGATTAAATATGGAACACTCTCAAAAATAGGATTCAACGCAAAAAGAATGTAACTTATTTTCAAGACTTGATTTTGAATAAAGTTTGGGATGCGGCGTCTGCATATCTGGGTTACGTAATTTATGAACAACCTGATTAAAACCATGTCCTGTTATTTCTGACAGGCTTGCATACATTTCATCACTGAATCCTGTATCTACAAAGAAAAAAACTGTCTGAGATCAAATATAAATCAAGAAACTACATAAGTTTTAGTACAAAGGACTGGAGCACAAGCTATTATAACTTACAAAGTCACCTTCTACCAACTTTTCAAAAACACTATAAACGTCGAACCTCTTTGAAAAGAGTTGTTTTCAAAGTTCGTTTCACATGACCATAGTGCCGGGGTTGTGGCGCTACCGAAAAACAAAGAAATACGAGTGGTATATTTTTTATTTAAAACTCATAAAACCAATTTCCTAACCAACGCTATTTGTTATTTCAACCTTTTATGCCAGTTCTAAACGTTCCTAAATCCACGTCCACTATAAGGTTACATTCGCGAGTAGTCTAGTCATGAATCATGTATTTTACATACCAACATTCAAAAGATGGTTTATTAAACACTTAAGAAATATTGATTCATTGTTATGATGCAAACCCTCCTCAATCCAAGATGGCGGCTTACATAGATAAAGTGAGAAAAACGGGATCTATAGAGATGTCCTAGACTACTTTCGCGCATCCCGTTTGAAACGGTACAGGTAGCGCAGAAACGAACGCACTTGCCCCGTTCTATAAGCAGAGCTAAAAATGCCAACTTCGGAGAATAAATAACAATGTATCAAGAATAGTATGCCCTTCACTCGCGCGTCCACCGTATTACCTAACGTATCTTAAACACTACATGTGGCTTGGCATTGTTTTAGAAAGAAATAACGCAAATTAGCTATAGGCAGCATTTTAGGCTCGGTCAGGTACATCTGGACGGTGCCGAATTTTCATGAGGGTGAGCCTCTTCTACCATCGATAATCTTAAACAAGAGCTACGGTGTAACGTCACTGTACCCAAATCGGGACAAGCTGAATATCAAATACCATACTATCTGTTCCAAAAATGTTTTTTTCCCATTTTTCAGAAATAGATACTATCCACTTTTCCTCACATTTTTGATATTTCGGGCGCGTGGTACTATAAAAAGAACGCGAAATACATCAGAGTTATGTACATTTGTAGGCCCTTTAACCGGCGTTACTGTACCCTGAAAGGGAAACTCCCGGTACTTTGGCGAATATTTGGGGATAAACGATCAATATCGGCAGAAAATATGCATAGTTGAAATATTTTAGATTCAACGAGGGTTCTGATTAAATTTCTTCTTCAAACTAGCATTGGTTTTGTTAAAATAGACTTTTGAAAATGATATCCAAATAAATAGCGTCGCACGGCACGTAAATCAGGAAAGTCTTGTTTTGGTAATTATTCTTACCTTTAAATTATCCATTTAACGATAATCAACAGCCAATAAAGCTTAATACAGTTTAATTGTCATGAAAAGTATTATCAAATGAAAACTGTGTACATAAAAGTACTTCTTTGCATTGAATGACAGTTTCTTGGGCTGTTTTCCCACAAGTGTCCCATTTTGGGTACAGTGACGGTACTAGCCAGGAACATTCAGAAAAGCATCAGAAAGAGACGCTGGGGTGTGATTGGCAATGCACCAAAACCGAAATATAACCCCGTCACACGGGTTAACGTCCCCTGGATATATGAACGCAAGGAAAAGAGACTTACAGACTTGTTCTTAAATATGCTACTACCCATAGCTCCCGTGACGTCTCCAGAAGTCTCGGTCTTGGACCATTTTCTCGAACTTGCCCGGGTAATTCTAAAGCTCCCAGTGTCGGACTCTGGTCGTAGCGCCTTCCTTTTGTCATTGTGCTTCAACTTCAATGGTCCCCTCTGCATTGCTTATGACATTTATGTTTGGGATAATTATCGTCTACAAAGTTTTAGGTCGTCAAGCTGCGTTCAATGTGCCTACCGGATTTCATACCATGTTTATGCTATTAATATTTTCGTATTTCAGTAGAAACGGCGAAGGTATTGCTGTTACACTTGTTCTCATGTTGATCGCTTTTGAGAGCTGCCCTAGCTCTGTAGATGACTCTGTCGGTCAGTCTCTCGTACGAGATACTGATGATATTGAAAATATTCATTAAAACACTCATTAAGTCAAAGTAAGGTATACGTAGCATACACCCTTAAGTCAATGCAAGGTATACGTAGTATACACCATCAAGTCAAAGTAAGGTAACAAACATCCTCAAGTCAAAGTAATGTATAGGTAGTATACACCCTCAAGTCAAAGTAGGTTTACATAGCATACATCCTCAAGTAAAAGTAAGGTATACGTAGCATACATCCTCAAGTCACTGTAAGGTATACGTAGCATACATACTTAAGTCACTGTAAAGTAGCATACAACCTTAAGTCACTGTAGGGTAGCATACATCCTTAAGTCACTGTAAGGTAGCATACATCCTTAAGTCACTGTAGGGTAGCATACATCCTTACAATGTAGGCTACTGTAAGGTAGCATACATTCTAAAGTCACTGTAAGGTAGCATACATCCTTAAGTCACTGAAAGGTAGCATGCATCCTTAAGTCACTGTAAAGTAGCATCATTAAGTCACTGTAAGGTAGCATACATCCTTAAGTCACTGTAAGGTAGCATACATCCTTAAGTCACTGTAAGGTAGCATACATCCTTAAGTCACTGTAAGGTAACATTCATCCTTAAGTCACTGTAAGGTAGCATACATCCTTACAATGTAGGCCACTGTAAGGTAGCATACACCAGTAAGTCACTGTAAGGTAGCATACATCCTTAAGTCACTGTAAGGTAGCATACAACCTTAAGTCACTGTAAGGTAGCATACAACCTTAAGTCAAAGTAAGGTAACATACAACCTTAAGTCAAAGTAAGGTAGCATACAACCTTAAGAGACAAGCAAAATTGGTCATATAGACAGTGGGCTATCTAGTCACTAGGTGTAGGAAACCACTTACCTTCTGGGCCCCATCTGTCGAAATTCTGATTAGCTTACAGATTAATTAATGTTAAATTACAGAAGGTGATTTTTGAGAAATCTTTAGATTTACAAATACAGCAGTGTTTTTTTATCTTCAGATGTTACTATTGATCATTTTAAATAATACATCTCCATTTTTAAATAGAAACTTTTTTGAAAAATATTATACAACATTAAGATTACACATTACATTGTCTTTACTTGTAACTAATCATCCTGTCAACAGCTGGGCCTTAAAGCAATAGATATTTTACCTTTAAGTTTTTTTTCTTGTTCTTTGGGGGTGGGGGTTTCGTTCAACTGGATTCATGTTAAGAGTTTGTTTTTGTGTCTTTTTCAAAAGATGTTTTCCTGCATTCTTTTATAGTTCAGGAAATACGAAATACACTAATATCAATAGATATTAGCCTTTGCTCTGTATCCTTCAACTGTGATGCATTGAGAAAGCAAATGTTGTTGTGAGACTATAACAACATTTGAAATGGTAACGTCATCAATCTCTTTTGTGACATCATCAATTTCATTGTTGCCAACACTTGATTTTCTGTTCAAAGAACTATTGGAAATAACTAAATAAAGCATAAATAAAGCATAATTACTCTATACAAATGTAAGTATTAATAATGAACATTTTAGCAAATATTGTTATGTTCCTATAACACACATTTCTATTGCTGACATCAAATTTACATAAAGCCCTACCCGCATAACACTATTTGCTAAAACATTCACTGCTTAAATAATTGGCCTTCTTGATTTGAAAGCGAAGTTTAGGGACACTCAGGCTTCCAGAGATGTAATCCATTTGTAGTGCTATAAAGGAAACGATCACACAAAATACCACAGAAATAACAGTATTTACATTATTTTATTGGAGATTCAACAATTCACAAAATTTATCATGATTTTACAAATCATCATAAGAATCTCTGAAAACAACATTTTTACAACTAAACCATAGTCAACTTAAGCTATTAAGTTATTCCCTCATTTAATGTCCCAAGGGGGTGAAGTTGGAAATGACCAACAATATCTCCTTTAAAAACTTTTTTTTAAAGAATTTCAAAAGAAGATTATCAGTTATTTTGAATTAAGGTGGTGGAGATGGGGTACCGTTTGCATATAATAATTTTACAGTAAAAACCTGTCTTATCTGACCAAAGTCTATGTAAAAGTCAGTGCAAGTTTCTGTTACATAGACCTTATGTCTAAGCAATGCATCTTTAGTAAAAGATTTTAAACCATCCAAAATGAAATTATATGGAAATGTGGTTCTCCAGACATCAAACAATATGTGTGGAAATGGTAATTAACCAAGTGAACTGAAAGTCATTGAAAGTCAGCAAATTGTAAAACAAAGGAACAGTCGAAAATTAGACTTGTTTTTTTATTGTTGCAAAAAAAAGGAGTGTAGTAGAATCTAATTTCAATAGACCTAGCTTCAGCCTATAATGTTGTATTAAATCCCACATCTAATGAAAACTACTAAATAAGACCTGTGTATTCTGACCTTCTGTTTAATCTGTCCAATATTTTGTGTCCCACAGGGTTTCAGACTAGACAGGTTTCACTGAATCTATTTTTGTGACCAACACATTTCATTCCAACCCAGTTTAACCATGACCACCAACCAGACCTACTCAGTAACCAATTTTATGATGAATTAAAACAAATACAGTAATATTTACATATAACATAGGGCAAGGTCATTCCCTCTTCACATACAATATATATTTAATCTTTTCTCTGATTTTCTTACAAGTTTGGAAAAATAAAGATGATTGGTTTGAGTATTGGTATTTAAGCTTCTATGCAATGTAAAACTTTTGTAAAAGAATAGATTGAACACAGCCAGGATTAAAGACAGTATCAGAGTTCATCAAAGTTTAACTTATGCACTAGAATATTACCACTTACCCAAATAAGGAAAACTACATATATTTGGTGAATGACAGGAAAGAAAAGACAAACTCTACGAAGCAACAGGTCAGAAAAAGGTCAGCAGGTCAGATAAAGGTCAGCAGGTCAGAATAAGGTCAGCAGGTCAGAAAAAGAAGGCAAAAAAGAACAGAAAATGACTGAAAAAGAAAAAGTCATTGGATTCAGAATCTCCGTCACATTTCTATACAGTGACCTCCCCTTAATTTTGTTTTGGATAAAACTGTAGCACAGTTAGGCCAGGACACTTCCGCTGACCAGGTAGCTCAGTCTATGATAGCGCTATTATACCACTCTGAAGTCCAGGGTTAAAATCCTGGTCTAGTCCTGGTGACTTTTTACACTCAGAATGTTGGTTTTATTTTGTTAATTTCATTCTTATTATACTTTCATAAATGTCCCGCAAGGTTGTTAGAAATCAACAAAACTGAAACCATGCTGGAAAAAATATGGGTAGAGAAGCATGAATATCAAATCTAGTTTCATTCAATTTTTAAACCCAATTTAATATCATAAGAACACAATTTCGATTCTCTCCCTTGTTTTCAGATATATACGTGTACTGGTACATACATCATGGTCAAACCCTCATACAGTGCACCAAATAAATTGCCATGTATCAATTGCAAAATTTCCCAAATGACCATTATAAGGATAAAAATACACACAGAAATTTCTAAAACATTACACTCATGAAAAACTTGATTTCAGAAAGATCTCTGTTGAAAGACCAATCTTAGGACAGAACATGAAATCAGTTGTTTTCTGTTTCCTTGGAGACCTAGGCCCCGGGCTTTGGTATGACCGGTTCAACAGGCTTGTCTGTATTCAAATGTAACATTTTCGGGTATAAATCCTGGCATACCTGCAAATGTTAATGCAGGTCGTGCAAGGCTTTGTCAAGACTCGCCTGAAAGCAGCATCAGATTACTAGGTCCAACCTTATTCCATAAACGAACAACTCTGGTCCAATTTGTTCAATTGTTTGGATTGCGATAAATTAATGTGGCCCTAATATTTCTTACATTACAGCAGCTTTTAGAAAAAAAATGTTTGTAATTCTTCAAAATGGAGGTAGATCAACGGTAACTCCTTGTATTGAAAATCTACAGAGACAACAGAAAGTAGGATGCATCCCTATTTCTCAATATTATCATGATTAAAGTTGTCATTTTCTATCGCATTTTTCTCCAACATAGTGATATGAAATTTCGACAATGAAGATGATAGCATGTTTTGAAAATAATCACAACATAATCTTTACACAATAAAAATCCCATTTTTTCTTAAATTAACATTCCTTCATGTCATGAAAGTCTCACAGCTGAAAATGTATCTCTTTTAGAAGATTCCTTTTCCTGCTTTCGACGCTGTTGTTCCAAATTTCGTTCCCGACGCTCTGATCGTTTCTGTTCCTTTATGGCAGCCTCAGCTTGCCATGATAAATCTTCCTCACCTTCATCATTCCAGCCAGTCTGTCGGTCGTCCCATGTGCCTAACTCTGGTCCCTGGAACATCACAGAAAAAAAAAATGTTGGTCCATATGAATAATTTCAGTTCATTATACATTTATAAACACAACTTCATTAGTTCAACTATGTGTATGGAGGATGACGTTTAATGGTTTCCTATTGAATACCATATTTTGTAAGTATTTAAAAAAAAAAATTCAGGTTAACAAGTGATAAATACCTGTATATTTAAGTAATAAACAGCATTCTGTTCTGTGTTATAGGACCATAACACGGAACAGAATGCTGTTTTATGCTTATATTTACATTCTTCATTTTTTTTAAATTTTCATTTCTAATTTCGCAAAACATTTTTAAATTCATATTTCGGGGTGTTTGTTCAAATGGTAGAACAGCCCAAGGAATTGTGCACGGAATGTTGTCCTGTGACTTTCCCCCTGCAAAAATATAGTTCGTGAAAATCAACACAAAAATATTGATACAATTTCCAAACTTAACCAATCTATATAATCTATATATTCAATTAATATTTTATAATAGTCTTGCATAAAACAGTGAATATTATTGAATAATACTTTTTTGTTGTTGCTTATACTGCTTTCTAGTGCGGAGGGGAATAGCGATTCGATAGTTAATATTCGGACCTGTGGAGATATCACTATGCCTGTGTCATGGTCTTATAACATGGAACTGGTCTTGGTAGTTCACCGGTATACACTGTACTGTATACGGTAGTGGCAATTCAGAGCAAATGTAAATATTCTGATATAAGTGGTGTTAAAAGGGACAAGCCATCAAATTCTCTATATTTTATTTAAACTTTTAAAACCATCAAAATGAAAAAGTAACTCAATGGAAATTAGTAGTGTAATATTTCATGTCATAATATGGTGTGGTCCTGCATGACAACATGGCTGTGAACCGCATTGAATGGGGGACTCGACATAACTCCATCACTTTCCACTATTACTATCATAATAGCAAAACGAGAACAAATCTGTAAGACACAAATGGCCTAGTATTTTATGACAAAATTCTCTCAGTAAAACTATCACGTTCAATCATATACATAGAATTTTATATATCACTTCCAAAAACAATTGGTTCTTCCGATGGCAATAATCTTGTATGACCAATACAATAATCCTATCAAAATCTTAATAAAGTTCCAAATGATTTTTTTTGTTTATACTTAGAAGTTGTATTTAGAGTATTTGCCTGCATAAAGCATAATACATAACCTATTGGTACTGTATTACTGGTATTTTTTTCTCCTCACTTAACTCATTCACTCCTGAAATTTTATAATGAACTATTCCAGCCTTTGAATTGGAACGGTTCAAATGTGTCTTCAGGGTTGAATGAGTTAACACATGTATGCAGCTGCACTGGAGCCCAGCCATTGATACCCAAGACAACGTTCTGGTGAGATTTGACCGTAAAGCTGATGGTTACTTACAGCAGATAAAGGTACATCAGCAGTACTAGCCATAGCAAATCTATTGGACTGATTCTTCATCTCTTCTTTCTGTTTGATCAAAACCTGAAAATATTCAAGGATTTCATTTCATGTCACACATACCTCAAATCAAGTTCTCGACAATAAAATGAGGGTCATTATCACAGTTAGGCAAAATGTAGGTCAAGTCTGAAAACTGCAGGTCATATCAGCACTTTTCAAAGTCATCAAAATCAAAAGTATGGCATCTATACTATTAAAACTTGTCTTAAACTACCATGGTAGTATGTCTCTTCATAGGGCATTTCACTTCATATTTAAAGCTTTAACAAGGACTCAAACGCTCGTTTGTGTCAAAAAGGTCATTTTTACAGTTTCAATACTGGAATGAACAACGCAAATGAAGAAGATTCCAAAATCTAACTTCTTTTGAAAATTTTAGCATGACATGAAAGTCATTTGAAGACATACCGGTAGTGATCAAAATATATTGACAAAACAATAATGGAATTGTTGGCCAAAAGCTCAGGAATTGAAACAAAAACAAGTCTGAATACATTAAAGATTTATTTGGCCGCTAGGCCACTATTTATAATGTGTGTTTGCCTAAACCTGACCTAGGATTTAATAATTGGATAGGTAGGTGCGTGGGTGGGGAAAATATCTGATTTCATTTCACAAAGTCCTAAGGTAGAGCCATCGCCAAGGTGAGTAGTGGCGGATATGTAAGTTCCAGTGTCCTGTGCTTGGATATGAGAAAGTATGCAGGGCGATTGGAGAGTAAGGGCAAATCTAAAAGGGTACATCAATCGCAAAAAACTTGAGACAGGTTTATATTTTATTTCATAAATGTAATGTCACTTTTTTCACTGGTTTAATAAATCCTTAAAACTACATTTTGATTTAATGAATGATCTGAATATGATTGGTTTGGTTTAGGCAAACATTCAGTGCCCTAAAATATTGATAATAATATAAGCCATGGCCAATTTTCACTTTTAGTATCCCGTCTTATTTTCAAATCAGGCTTATTATCAAGATTTGAGTGTCTTTCATTTCATGAATACAAAAGTAATTTTTGTTTACCTTTTTTTGTCTCTTAATTCTCGGAGTCATATCTTGAAAATAGTCTGGTTCTGGTTCAGACAACTCATCGTGATCATGTGACAGTGACCTTGACCTGGAGTAATTGTGATTGAGTGACCTTGAATTACTGCTCTGATCTTGATCCCAATTCTCCCAAGATTGTAATTCAGGCTGAAACATAAAGATATAACAATGTTACAATGTTCTAAAGATTTTTTGACAATATGTTCAGGGGTGTTATTTGCTCGATGCTCCAGACAACCAGTAGTGCAAAAAAGGCCATTTGCTTGGGGCAAGTGTAATAGAATAGTTTCTTAAACTTGTTTATCTGAAAATCACTTTTATCTATAATAATGTTTACATGTTCAACAGTTATCTAGAAGGTGCCTATCCATTTTATCCTGGGAGCAGCTATTTCATATCCCTAAAACCTCATCAGGCCACAAACTAGATTTCCATCCAGAGTTGTCTTTCCTTACATCATATGCACCTCCAGATCAAGCATCAGTTGAGAGCTAAATGCCAGATTATTAGCCAAAACAAAATTTGACATATTTCAGTCATATCAATGCCAGGTCAACATGTCCATACACTTTTTGTGTACTAGTATCTGTAAATAGTTACAGCGATTATAATTCTCGTAATAATATTTGTGGGTATTTAATTTTGTGCAATCATTGACGAAAGCAAATTCTGTATTCACTAAATCATCCATCTAGCATTTAACAAACATATTAAGCATTCTATATCAAATTGAAACTTGTACCCATGGATATATACAGGCTTTTTTATGGGCAAATATTGGCCAGTTCCCCTCTCTAATTTTGGCATTATTTTACCCTCTTTCAGTTAAAAATTCACCCACTTGTAACAAATATACCACCACATGAATATCTGTCTTGGTTCCATTTTTCTATTAATTTTCCATCAGTTCCACAACTAAGTGATTTAAATTTCATTTTCCCTGTGTTGATGTTAATTGTCCCTGCTGATATTTTATAATCTTTTATGAACAATGAGAAACAAAATTACAGATGTGATACATGCCCCCCCTCTTGTACTCTCCCCCTGGATCCGGCCTGCAGCCCCTTGCTGGACGGGTCATGCACCTACAGTGCATATTTTTTCCTATTTCCCTATTTCAAAAAAGGGTACTAACTTTCTATTCCTGCATTAATCCCTGGTACCATATTTATCCTGCAATAAGCCCAGGGAGTAGACACATAATTTCTGACTCAAAATAGAGGGGTGGGCTTATTACAGGACAATGAAAAAATAGCACTGGTTGTCATATATATATATTGATCTGCAATGAGTGTGTCGGTTTAGTACCAGACATGGGCTTATTGCCAGTTAAATATGGTAACCAATTATAATAGAAACTAATTGCTTCAGTTAAGATGTCAAGACTCTAACCTGTTTTGGTGCACTCGGTGTTTGTGTGAAATCTTGTGGAATGCTGTAGTGATTTGTCAAAGGCAAAACAGTGTCAGATGTCCTTCTCTTCCTTCTGCAGAAAAGTCGTTTGAATGGAGAACATATCAGCAGCACAAAACCAAAAGTCTTCTTGATGATGTTCCATACGACCTTTATCATTTTGGCAGGAATTGCCTTTCCTGAAAAACAAATACAGTAGTTAAATGCTAATAATAGTCTTTATTATTTAAACTTAAAGCATACATATTTCAAATCTGGGATGTATATAATGCAGAAGGCTTGGGTGTCTACCTGTAATTCTGTTAGCCCGACGCCTTCAGATTTTATGAGAGCATTATCAATACTGAATATGAAAGTATACGTTGGACAAGTATTTTTTTCCCTAAATCGGTATGTTTTTAAAAAATGACACATACAAGGTAGAAAATTTCAGTTCCCAGAAACATTCAAATCATATGAAATATTTGTGTTTCATCATGTTACACTGACTTTTGCTTATATACATATATATATATACACACTGTTAAGTGTTTTAATTGCGTCTTACGACAATATGCAGTAGGACACAGTAGGCCTACAATGTATTCCTTACCTGAACCTGCAGGGTTTAACGACTTAATTAGATTTCATTTACATCCTACATTTGTATCTTTTATGTTATAATAAGGAACATTAAATCTGTCATGCCATTTTGCATGATGCTGTAAAGTGATGCCGGTTACACATCACGTGTCAAGTGACAGTGTACATGTCGTGCAATGCACCCTCCATACGAAAAACACCCATATACTGATTTGCTAAATTTGTACATACTCATTCGATTAACCAATAGTGAACTAGTTACCTGTTTTATACACAAATTATTTTCAAATTCTTCTTAACTACACCAGATATTGCATTTTATCTTTCACAATTTCTGCTCTCATCTGGAGGTTTCTTGTTTCTTCAACGTCAATTTGGTGTTTACTTCCTCCCATAGAAACAGACTCAGAGGCAAACTTTGCACCGACTTGGAGTTTTTGTTTCGATATGTGCCGACAGATGTCGCCAAAGTTGCTAGACAACAATAAACAGTATGGCGACTACCATGTAGGGACAGGAGATTTTATGAGGGTGTTGGTATTAGTTTCAACGGTTTAGGGGGATTTTTATTTTAGTGACGATAAAAAACACAAACATGCCGGTAAGTTAAAATGCAGAGTGAGTAATGGAAAGCATCGTAAATGTCCTGAATGATTGCCAGTTAAAACATACAAGGAAGTAAAATCAACTTGCTGTTATCCTTGTACGGCAATGTGCTTAAAGTCGCGCTATAATATATATGTAGCTAGTAGCCACACCCTGCACCTTTATTTTTTTGCATTTCCAAATTATACATTGACGTAAAGTTAGAGGGATGATAGCAGCTGGGTGATAGTTATAAAAGGTCTAGGATGTAGATGTCTGGGGCTAGAGCACATCGCTATATGAAAATTTGGAATTCTCAGATACCAAACGATGTGTTGCACTATAAAACGTAATCTGACTATACAGGACACCACTAGATCTGCAGGATTTGGTTGGTACAAGATAAGATACAAGATACTAGAAGGTTTATTTAAATTTGTACATGTTAAACAATAAACATTAGCTATGTAGAGCTATTTCTACGACAAAACATGAGTAAAAGGCATAGAAAATTACAAACAAAAACGAAGGATCACATCATGCATGTTAAATAAAAATAAAAACGTCTTAAGGGACTGAACAATACAAGTAAGAGTCTTGTACTCTCTGCTCGCTGTTTGCAGACTGATTGGTCTACCTATTGTGTATAGTCACTGCTATAACAAAATCTTTCGGTTGGTTTAAAAAAAAATCCCGATGAGTCTGTTTAAGACAGAGTTCACTGTATCCAGTGGCTTTTTTTTGCCTTTGTATGTAAATTGGGTAAGATATTGAACAATTTCCAGTGCAAATAGGGCATGATTTCATTATCAAGAAAGACCTCCAATTCCCTCTCAGTGAAAAACATTTTCAACTCTTAAAGTTTGGACACCATATTGTTAAGGGGCTGACTTCAGGGCTCCCCAACCCTGGTAGCCCATATCAAAATATTTATATATATATATACATCTGTGCTTGGAAACAGTATATATATCTACATATTTATGAAAAAAATGTCTGGGGGAATAAAATATTCGGAAAAAATAAATCTTCAAGTTAGTGATTGACTTACCAAAACTTGATCATACCTCAACCTAAGTTGATCATGATTTGCATAGGGCTGCAATTTCATGTCGTAATTAAATCATAATAAATTAAGACTAGAATATTTTTTTTAAATACCCAGTAAAGTCACTGGTATTGTAAGATACGGTTTGGAGTCAACTATAACCTCCTAATTGGGGCCCTGCAAATGAATGCTGGTGTAGTTATCACTTTGTTTACAAATCTAGTGTATGTAACACACATACATCCATAGATTTCTGATCATGTTTTACTTGTTTTTGTTACAAATCACAGGAAAATCTTCCACCAATCGATCGTGACAATAACGATCCAAATGGGAAATTCAAGGCAAGGAATTGGCAGAAAAAGGATGTAAAAAAGATGCATCCCCAACTAAGAAGTAAATACCTGGCAGTAAGTATTTAATATAAAGTTTAAGTATTAAGGATCCTTGTCCCACTGAAGGCGAAACACTGCCGAGTTTGTACATGCAGTAACTTCCCCTTGATTTTGACCGTAGCACTACTAAGCCAGGGTTACCATTAACTAGGGTTACATTCGTGTATCCCGATTGAAACAGTTCAGGTGGTGCAGAAATACTCCACGATAAACGAACGCACATGGACGGAACTGTAGGCAGAGTTAAAAAAATGCATAAATAACAATATACCAAGAATAATTTGTCCTTCTTTCATGCATCTTCTAAATTATATAATGCATCTTAAAATCTGCATCTGGATTGACATTGTTTTATTAAGAAATAACGCAAAATGGCAATAGTCTGCATTTTAGTTTTGGTCAGCGCGTCTGGACCCCTCAGTCTACACATGCTGAATATTCTAGAGGTCAGCCACGGTTCAGATCTGCGCCTGTCGTTTGTTTTCAGGTTCAACAGTTTCAGCTGCGAAAGGGATTTAGGTAGCTGAGATTGGTAGAGCTACACTATAATGATTTGTGGTCAAGGGTTAGAATCCAGCTCTGGCCCTGTTGTATATTTACACAAAAAATACTGTTGCTGATTTTTTTGTTTTTGTTTCATCTTTATAATTTTTCATAAAAGTTTCACAAAGACAGTATATAACCCCATGGGCGATGGCAACATATTTGATTTCTGGCAAATTAGACAGTATAGAGGTAAAAAAATCATAAAGACAACTTTAAGCAATTGAATACCGGTATAAACAAATATTTACTTTCATCATCATTTGGAGGCTACGTAATATTATGTACACTGTTTATGAATTCTGCAAGATGAAGTAACTTAACCGTTAACATTACATCTCCAGCATACACGCAGGCATCCACACATAGAATAAAGGCAAGGGTCAGATAGTGACCATTTAGACAGTGGTTAGTCAGAATGGTTGTCTTTTAAGAAATTATTTATCAGAACTGTAGTCATGTCGGAAAAACTTTCCAACACATGCCATAGTTACAGTTTTGGGTAGTCCCAGGTGTTACCAGGATCCTTAAATGATTTTGTTGGTGAATCAAATGTCCATGTTTCCATACCTGTAAATAATAAATTTGTTTCCAATTCACCATTTAAAAGTTTTAATCAATCAAAAGCTCGAAGTTTGAAAAAAGTTCTTGATTAGGAAATCAATCAATCAATAATGGTTTTAACCAGAAATATAAAGACATAAACAAAATTCTCATCAATTGAAATACTGGTACCTAATTATGAATTCATCTTTCCTTAACAGTACGAGGATCCAGCAAAGGAAATAACAGAAGCCCAGAGTGTAACAAACAAAAGGCTGTTGGATAGGAAACGCAATGAAATTAGGTACATCTACAATACCCAATTGTTAACTGGTAGGTGTAGCCCAGCAGCCAATGCTATCATGCCAGGGAAAATGGCTTGTGTACCATGATTTTGAGGTTTGAAAGATAAGCTGTTGATTTTCAAATAATCTATTTTGAAGTTTGTCCTCATAAGCTTGCTTGTACAGTGGTTAGGTTGAAATCTAAGAAATTAATCAGAAAAAAATATGTATGTATATTGACATTATGAAATATGCATTTAAAGTATATTTTCCCTACTCTTTCAATTTTCTTTTCATGAAGGTACCAATTTTATTATAAAAAAAAAATCATTGAAACATGTACTTCAGTCTTTTAAACTTGCGTGAACACTGCAGTGCACTGGAATTAACATTATTGTTCACTGGAGTTAACAATGTAGTGAACTGGAGTTAACAATGTAGTGAACTGGAGTGCACTACAAGGTGCACTAGGTACCAAGTTAAGTTTGCTCCCAACTTTAAATGTAGTTGTGCTGAAAAAAGTGTCGGCAGCAAGCTGTAGTAAGTGTTTCAACATTGGGTACTGGGCCTTAGCAGCCTGTTTGGTAAAAACTAATTGGTACTGTTAGTGTTCCTCACGACTCCAACATACACAAATTGCACCGACTCTCCCTTTAGATCTGGTGAAATTTAAAAGTGATTCTGTATACCAGGAATTTTTTTTCGCCCAGTCAAACTTTGGCCCTTCACCAGAATAATCCATATTCACCACAGTGCTAATTTCGCCTTCACATTTAATAACTAAATGTATCCATGTTATATTTTGTTTACTAATGTTCACTTTAGTGATAAATTCACCTTCATTGCGGCCGGCAAAACAGGTGAGAATTAAAGTGCAGCGAAAATTTCCCATGCTTGGGCTACAAATAATGTTAGCCCACCAGCTATGTGGCCATCGACCTCCTGTTATACTTTCAATTGTGTCCCACCAAAGCAAAGGTGGTATATAGGGATCGCTCTAATGGTATTGGCATTGGCAATCTGCATAAATGGTTTCCTTACCGTAACATTTGAAAGAATGCGTTAATTTCAGGGAACTTTCTATGAAGACATAGATACACATGTAATATCATTAACCAGTTTGTATTCTCGGCCAAATCTAAAAACCAGTATACTCACATTCATGGAATTCTTGTTCATTTGTATGAGTGGTTTATAGAATAAGAGCTTCTATGGTTTGAAAGTTGATTGTTAACCTTTTTCTTGCCAGGTTGAATGCTCCGCTGCCGGACGAGGAGTACGAGGAGCGAGAGAAACACGCTAAGCTAATTGGACAATTGAAGTAAGTCTTGAATAGTTTCAACAAAGTTTCTATACAAGTCTTTAAAATTTCATTGATCATGTTTTATAATATTTTAAATTTAATTCATTCACATTGTAACCTACTGACAGTGTTCTCCCCAGCTGGTTTTTGATCCGCTATGGCACCTATTTTTAACCCTTCCATCACAGTGAAAAATTGGAAAATGGAAATTATCACGTACAAATATATTCACATTTGACTTTTCAAATTATTCCTGGTGTATTGGCTCTACTACTGCCTTCATGATGTGTGTATTTGTTAACTATCTCAACACAAAATTTTCTGATTTCTGTTGTCTACGAAACTATGAAATTAATATGCAAATATAGATAAAAACAACAATATCTATGTTTTTGATATATATGCTTATGAATTAAGTATTAATCTTGTCCTAATTTAAAAAAAAAAAAATGGAGATTTTTTGCCTTACATCGTTGCTGTGTGAGAAATAAGTTGTTGTTTTAGACTTTGATTAATTGTTGCTGGACTCTGATGATTAATTGTTGCTGGACTCTGATGATTAATTGTTGCTGGACTCTGATGATTAATTGTTGCTGGACTCTGATGTTTAATTGTTGCTGGACTCTGATGTTTAATTGTTGTTGGACTCTGATGATAAATTGTTGCTGGATTCTGATGTTTAATTGTTGCTGGACTCTGATGATTAATTGTTGCTGGACTCTGATGTAACGTACATTGCAATTGTGAATACATGTAAAATGGACAACCATACAACAGCTATAGTTTCAAACACTGATAACTTCTAAAAATGAAATTGAAAGGCAGGAACAGGTTATGCTATACAAAGATTTCACAGCAAAATATCATAGGATCATTTAAACTAAGTGTTACTTTCTACATCCTATAATATTTTGGATAATTTTATTTCAGAGCCGCTGAATCAAGAAATAGATTAAGGATCATGAGATTACGGTACCAATCAAATAGGGTAAGATATCACGCCTACCGTATTTATCAGGCAATAAACCCATACCTGGTGATAAGCCCACTGATGGCTATTGCAGTTCAGTAGAAGAGCAAACAAATCATATTTCATTGTCCTGTAATAAGCCCACCCCTACGTACTTACATCATCCTCAAAATTCCAGGGGTTGCCTTCAACTACGTTCTCTGCAGCCCTGGAATATGGCATAGCGAAATCAAAGGCTTAATCTGTATGCACCACCTTGTGGAAGTTACAAGAGGTCACTTCATAGCTAGCATAACAGTAAAGTTGAGCGGCTTTGATGTCAGTTGACAGTCCTCAGTAATTTACAAAGAACAGGTATCAGCTTAACGATTGGTCAGGTTTTTATACTTGAAACCAAGAAAAAAATCAAAAAAATCTGGTGCTACTAAACTCATTCACCCCTGAAATACCATGATGAACTAGTCCAGCCTTTAAATTGGAAGAGCTCAAATGTGTCTTCAGGGGTGAATGAGAAAATGTGGCTTTTGAGAGCAATATTTGAGTGTTTCATTTATTCAATATTTAGGTGCTTTTTCACAGATTCCAAAACAAACAAAAACTTGATTGTTAGTATATGTCAGTTAACAACCTAGTACAATATCACTTCCAGTAAAAGTCATCACCTGATATTCTAAATTCTGAATACACAATATCTCAGTTGTTATGAAAATTCATGGTTTATTATCATGGACTGAAACAGTAAATCTGTTTATTTTTTTAAACAATTCCAACATTTCATCACTTTTTCTTAGCTCACATTTCGTAGTTTTGAGGAATTTTGATGTGCATACAACGCTTATTGGCTTACAACACAGCCACATTCTTGAACACTAATTTGAATTATGAAATAATAATACTGCAGCATGATTTTTATCTCATTTCATTACAACAGAGTCAAGAAATCAGTCATTTGATTGCGTGTCAGCCCACAGCTGCCAGGGCTGTACGGTTACAGGCTTTGGTTCCCTCGTACGCTGAACGCCGACAAAGGAAGGACACTCTGGATAAGTTATCGGTGAGTACATAGCATTGAAGTCTTGTCTGGGGCACTAAACTGCCAGGTGCTTTAAATTTCAGGAAATATATAATTTAAAACCTGAATTCATGTTTCATTAATTTGGGAACGATTTGTTCAAATAAAACTGTTAAGAAAAAATACAGAATTTGGCTGATTTGGTAATGTTTTTAAATGTTATCCAAATTTTCACTCTTTTGGTAAATGAAAAATTGCCAAGGTAGTGGTTGAGAAACAGTAAATTGTTTTATTGTTTTACAAATTGAGGACCTTCAGCTGTTGATTTAAATAGTAAGGAGGATGTTTACTTTTTAACATTTAAATAGTTTCAGAATAAACAAGCTAAATGTAAAATTGTTGCCAATTGGAACGATTTTGAAAGATTATATTGGTATATATATCTTGTATAGATGTAAGTGGTATTTGCAAAATTTATTTCTATTTGTTAATAAAATGCACTTTGTACTGATGTTGTTTTACAGAGGGAGCGCTGTGAAAGGTTGCTGGAAGATTCTCAGGGATTGCTCGTGAACAGAATGCACTGAGTCCTTCAATTATTTTTGAGTAATTTTCATATTATTTCATCATCATTTCATTTACTGTAGGATAAACTGACCAATGAGAATCAGAGTCACATGTGACCCAGTAAATATTCGGAGATGTATGTATAGTCAACTGGAAACACAATATATCTGACATATTTATATATCTTTCTATTGAAATTATCTTTTTGTTCTGATGAAATAAGATTTGTTTGATCATGTAGGTAATTTTAGACACAATGGTACTGGCTACACTTTTTGAAGTTGTACACTTCAGCAGATTGCCTGTTGTTAAACAAAAATAGAGTAGATTAAGATGGTAATCATGTAGATTTTTGGGAGCAGGAAGGGGGGGGGGCATGGTTTTAATTGATATACATATTTGAATTGTTTAAACATGTTTGACAGTACGTTTTTATGTAGATCTACACATATTCACAACTGTTTATACATAGTGTGATATCATTAAAAATTTCTGATTTAATATTTCATTCACATATTTTGTTGTACAGTGCTTTTATTTTTTTTTCATCTATATGTAATATTTTGTAAATATCTTTGTATATAAGTTTGTGTATACAATTGTGTGCTGTCAGTTATGTTTTGATATTTTCCGCAGTATTGGATGTTATATTTTGTATCATTTAGACAATATTTATACATATACATTGACCCTTTCTGTAATTAAACATGTTTTTATATACATTATATATACAACATCCACAAAGATTATTTGTTCCTTTTTGCTTACATTGTAACTCTATTCTGTAGATGCCATGCCCAAAAACGTGCTAAACAAAATTAATTTCGTAGTTCTTGGCAATTTTGAAAACTACAAACAAGGCTTATCTAATTCCGTGGTACAAACAAGCAGAATTATTTTACAAAAGTTTATGCAATTTTGATCAAATATGATGATGGAGATTTTTTTTATGGAAATCTGGCTGGATTCAGGAGTTGCTTCCCTTATTTCATATTGAGGGCTTCTGTATGCCCTATGTATCTACCTGAAACCTAGAAGACAAAAACCTAACATTCCTCTACAGTTACTGGACATTGGTAAAGCTCTTAACTCCTGAATTATAAATAAAAAGTCAGAATATTCATTAAATTATAGATATTGGTAAGAATACCAGCTTGTATTACTGCTGTTAATTGAAAGAAATACAATTCTTAATCAACAAAACATTTATTTGTACATGTATGTAAAAAAAAATCCTAGAAGTTTTCGAAAAGTAAAGGAAGTATTATATAGATCACCTTTATAAGAAAAATATACCTGTTTCTCATCCTCACTAGAATTCCCATCCCCCTTAACCCCACCATTTCATGTTTTCAAAATGTTCATACTTACTGTAGTTTATAGAACCATATATACAAAAGCTAAATTTAACTTCAAAATGATCAGATATATAGACCTGGGCCTGTATTCATTAAACCTTTCCTATGCTCAAGCATGAAGTCTGTGCTCAAGCCAACTTCGTTTCTAGTTACTTGCTTATATCATGTTACATGGTCCTAAAGGCAAGTGTAAACATTGAAAACAGGATTTGGCTTTACGTCTCTCAAAATGCTTCCATTACATGGACAAAATGTAATTTTATTATTAATTTATGACAGTAAAAAGATATTGGACTTGCGCACAGAAACAGGGTTTGAGCATGAGAACGGTTTCATGAATACGGGCCCAGTATATGTGAATAGTCACTAAATCCGTCCAGGAATGCTGCAATATTAATGAAAATGATTTCTTAAACTCCAAAGGGGACATGCTAAACACCAGGCCCCAGTTACTTGAAGGTTGGTTAGAGTTATACAACTGGTTAACTCATTCACCCCTGAAAACACATTTGAACCCTTCCAATCCAAAGGTTGGAATAGTTCATTATGAAATTTCAGGGATAAATTAGTTTCAACTTAAAAAAAAAATAAAATTGTGTTACAACTTGAGTAATCACAAAAGAGCAAGCTTATGTTTTTGACACATGCTTATTTGTTTAATACATGTATGTTGTATTAATTTCAACATCAAAGCAATTAAGTAAAACGAACTAGACAAATTGGCAGCGACTTTATGACATTTACAGTTTACATAAGGTATTTCAGAAATCATTTTCACTTTTGGGGGGCTTGTGCAAAGACTGCAGGCCATGGTGCATATAGGCTAATTCTGTACATAGTTAAATAACACAGACGTCCCATTTAGGACTTACCTGTGTAGAAAGTAGTCGAGATTTGTAGCTAGAATTATATAACCTTCCATTGTTATATTATTTACCTTGCTATATCTTACTATAACAAAGTGAATATTTTATATGTGTAATTTAAAGTACCCTACATACATGTACTGCATACTTTCCAACCCTCCCTATTTAGGAGGGAGACTCCCGATTTTGGACCCTTAAATTTAGTATTTTCAACCAGTGAATTTGCTAAACTGTTCCTATATTCTAAGATCTAATGATTTCATCTGAAAGAGCAACTCAAAATATGTCATTTTAAAGGGTTCTTTTGTATCTATTAGGGATGCATACACACATTTTATTTATGTTTTTATTTTGAGCATGCAGAATCTCCCCCATGGAAATTTAAACAAGTTGGCAAGTATGGTACTGTTTAAATTTTCGACCATGTATGTTAAAGGCAGATACACATACGATTAATGTGTACAGATTACTGCATTTCGGAAAATTATTTATGTCATTTGCATAGAAAATCGTGTTGATTATACTGCAGTGAAATGAACTCTATATACAGTACAAATTATGCAAGTACCCATTAAGGTAGAGTCTCACCACTTTTCTATGTTATACAGGAAAGAATAGTTATTTTCATGTTATTTTCTCAATATTCATAGAAAATCATTTGTACAATGTGTCATTGTATTCAGGGTTTTTTAGGAGTTAAAAAAAATTGAAACAATTCCCAGTAATCGGAATAAGACATTTAAGGTAATACTGAACTCGACCAAGGTATAAACAGATCTTGGACCAAGATTTGAGTGTTTTTTGTGTGTTTTACATGTATACAGATAATTCTTTTTCATCATGATGTCATTAGAAATTGTACATTTATGTTTACATGATGACTATATGTTTTGGAGTTTGTAGACAAATATTGTAGATCAAATTGTTTTGTTATTTAGGAACTGTGTTATTACTACTAATTAAAAAAAAGTGGAAAAATGTATCATAGAGATCATCATCATATAATTATAGTATGATATATATTATTATATTATGTTACGTTACATGGCATTATATAATTAACTGGGTATATCTATGTGATCTTATAAAAATATCATAATCTATAATTGCCTAGGTGTTTTCAAGTGCTAAATTAACTCATTCACCCCTGAAGTTTCATAATGAGCTATTTCAAACTTTGAATAGGAGGAGTTCAAATGTGTATTCAGGGGTATATGAGTTAAGCTTTCACCTAGATCATGTGAAGACTGGTAGATATCAAGCTACAATGTACATATCCCGTCTTTTCGTATTACAGAGTTATCTGCTCCTGTGAGCAGTTATTGAATGTTACGTTATTTGTATGTGAGAGTAACATCATGGATTTTTGAGAAAACGAAATAATTTTCTCGATGATGTAACAATCAATAACTGCTCACAAGAGCAGATACCTCTGCAATACGAAAAGACGGAATACCGATAGTAGATTTGTTTTTGATTGTGCGGCGTGACTGTTATGGAATTTGTTTTACCTGCTATAAAAGAAACATTTTTTTGGATTTTTTTTTTACATATGTATATATATAATTTCACTGTTGAAATATATCAGTTAGCATAGTGTTTAGATATTTGAAGTCTGTTTAAGGGAGGTTCACTTTGTATTGATAGTTGAATACTTTTTCTATACAGACTTACCTTCCCACAGTGTAATTATAGCATGTCATATCATAATACTTTGTTTCGTATGTTAACATTGTTGTATTTCATCATTAACTCATTTACCCCTGAAATTTCATAATGAACTCTTCAAACCTTTGAATTGGAAGGGTTCAAATGTGTCTCTAGGGGTGAATGAGTTAACTCACAATCATTAGAAGATATGTATTATTAAGGTTTTAGATAATTGCTGTGATCAGTTTCTCTGGGTGATAGCTATATAGAAATTGTAGGGACATTATAATATAATCATGAGGATAGTTTGATCAACATGTATTGTAAATTTATTGTGATATTCTCTAATATATATCGTACACTGCCATTACATGCATTGTACACACTACTCCATAGTGATACAAATAAATGAATGTCTAGCTTCTCTTTGACTAAATCAACCTTGATTACATGTTTGCTTAAGAAAATATGTATATTTTTAATAGAAGGAGCAGTCTGAATATCCTATGTAGACTTTTTGTTAAGTAATAGCTACATTTTAAAACAAGGAAAATAAACATAATGCAAAGGTCAATGCTGATCAGGAAACAGGAAAATGTTCATGTACTAAATGGGATGTTAATTGGTCCCAATCTGCCATAAAATTGAGCTGAAATACAATACATGTACATGTACTTACATTATTAGGTGAGCGACTGAAGCTTAAACTATGGGATCATGCAAAACCATTGTAAATTTGACAATGTTTTTGCAATTTTCCATTTGCATGCAAAATAACCCAGGACATTTACATTTGCACCTACATATGTTGTAATACTTTATAGAACATGTAGTCAATAATTTGTTTGACAAAATAAAAGTATCACATATCTTTTCTTTGTTATTATATTTCCCTGTTTAATTACTTGGGAGTACAAATATTTAACTGTAATTCAATGCACGTTTGATTAAGCTCGCCTACCCGTGGTACAGCATCCCTTGTACATCCCTCTGCTCTTCCTCAATGGACATTTACTTTAACTCATTCAACCCTGAAATTTTATAATAAACTCTCCCAACCTCTGAAATGGAAGAGTTCAGATGTGTCTTCAGGGGTGACTGAGTTAAGCAACATATTTTAAAGAACCAAAAGGCCTATTGTCATGTTATTAGGCATGTAGTTTCCTGGAATGGTGTCTATGAAAGTCTGCCAATCAACTTACCTTGAACTACTGTCAGTGTCACAGGAGTCAAATATGTAAAAAAAAAAAACTTCAAACGGCTTCTTTTGAAGAACCAAAAGGCCCAGAATCATGATGACAGAACAAAGTTTGAGAATATTACGTTGGGGCTTCCTAAGATTGAGTCAAACACATCCACCGTTTATACAACATTGAATCCCCTTGGTCTAAGGATGCTTCAGACCAAATTGGGACGAAATCCCTTAATCCCTATGGTAGAAGAAGGATTTCAAAGGCTTACCTCTATTTCCCCTATTCGGCCCCATCCTTCTGCCCCCAGTGGGGCCACACGGTTTATACAATATTGAGTCCCCTACCCCCAAGGATGATCCAGACCATATTAGGATAAAAAAAAAACCCCTAATTCCTACAGTAGAAGAAGGATTTTACAGGTTTTACCTCTATTTCCCCTATTGGGCCCCACCTACCTGCCCCAAGGGGGCCACACCCACCGTTTATACAAAATTGAGTCCCCTTGGCCTAAGGATGCTCCAGACCAAATTTAGTCCTAATCTAATTGGCCGTTCCGGACAAGTAACGTTTTAAAGGAAAAGTTGACGGACGGACGACAGACGCTGCGCCATGGCATAACCTCACTTGGCCTTCGGCCAGGTGAGCTAAAAATGACCTCGACCGACTTTTAATGCCACAGGGGTGAAATAAGTAATAAATTTCAAACCATTTCTTTTGAAGAACCAAAAGGCATAAAGTCATGATAAGCTAGACAAAGATAGAGAACTGCTTGGATCTACCTTTTAGGTCACAGAGGTCAAACGTCCTAAATTTTAGGAAGAACAGAACAGCCTAGAATTATTTTAGACAAGAATCTTGCCCAACAAAGTTTAGGAATAAAAAATACCTTGATCAACTTTCAAAGTCACAATAGTCAAATATATCAAAAACTTAAAATGACATCTTCTGAAGAACCAAAAGGCCTACGATTATGATATTTTGCTGGTTGCTTTCTTTGATGGAGCCCAACAAAGGTTACAAATGAAACTGCCTTTAAAGGTCACAGGGGTCAAATACTTTGAAAACGTCAAACAACTTCTGATAAACGGAAATGCCTAGGGTGATTATATTAGGGCCGTAGCATGCTTTATAAATTATGTCTGTCAAATTTTTGGTGACACATTTTCATGTTTACAGAGGTCAAATGTTTTTGACATTTTCAAGTATCCCTACAACGCACAGGATCCATTGTTTTGGGATCACACGATTGTGCAAGTGAGTTGTTGCTATTGGTCTTTACATTTTCAACATCTTCTTCAGAACCAAATAACTGATTGACTTCAAATTTCAATTAGTTTACATTCCTTATGGTGTCCCAATCAATTGGTCTTTTTTTTCTCAAGCATATCCGATTGGCTGAATCATTTTGACTCCCTCTCAAGAATGGCTTTCTCGACTGACTACATTTGGTACACATGACCACCATTGCGTCTGATTTGCGGAGACATTTTCAAATTCTTCTCAAGAGCGGTTGTATCGATTGACGCAAGATTTGGTACAAATAATATTACTTGCATTTCCGATCCGAAACATCAATATGCTTAATATTGTCTCCTATTTAATTGCTGAGGCATTTTCGATTAGGACTCCTGTGAGGATTAATGCCCATTCTGGCGCCTTAATTGTTTCTTTTTTCGAGTGCATAGAGTTTGAAGCACATTCTAATGTCAGATTTCTAAACATCAACTTACAGATAAATAAGTGTTTTAACTTTAGTAATTTTTTATGTTCTGCCTAGGAGGTAGAATTTTGAGAATGTCGTTTCAGAACTAAGCACGGAGTGCAAATATGCGAGACCGATCTAACGGGAGTACTAGTGCTCCACACTGGGAACATGAAGAGGTGAAAGAAAAATATGGCATGTACACTTACGTTAACATTGATCAAATATTTTATTAAGAAACTACTAATGTCGAAAACACTTACTGAATGACCCTGGGTCAAACAAAATCGACTTTTTTTGTTGTGTTTATCAGATGTGACATGTATGTCAATATTCTATTTTTAATTGGAAATGAAACTGCGACATGCGTATCTTTTTCATTACAATCAATATAATACTGCGCATGCGTGTTTCACAATTTACACGTGTTCATGATGTGTATCTGTACTCGTCTTAACGAAACACAAAGGTAAGTGGAAACATATTTCGATTACACGGCGTCAGAGCGAAACTTACCGGCTTAAAAAACGTTACCTGCAGATAGGATTACAAAACTTAACAATGAAACGACTGTTTATTTATGCAATTCTCTCTTAATTATTTGCGCTATAATTTAATAATTAATCATTGACATGTCGTTTAGATTATAGGTATGTTTCTTATAAATTGATTTGTTATAACCATATATTAGATCAAAGATCGTGTACATGTAGTTTCAAATTGTAGAAAATAGCAGAAGAAAACATATGTCAGGGGATACACTAGAATGAGAGAAGCTTTGTAGTCAAAAATAGTCGAGCAAGTGAATGATAAATATCTCAAGTTAACATCGAATGGTATGGGGTACGTACTGGGGGTAGAACGCCATATCTGCTTTGTGAATTATAATCTCTGCTGGCCTTCTTTGCGTTGACCCCCATTCAATAGAAGACGGGTCGTGCAAAGGCCTATGATTAATAGCAAATGCAGGATATTTGACGTCCCTTCCACTAGATGAGAAACCTTTTAACATTAGTGTACACGTAAACGAATGTAAGCGCAATTCGTATTTTCTGCACCCCCCCCCCACACANCTGCCACACACAAACGCCTTCTGTTTCATCCCCGAAGAGTCCTAGAAGAGCGAAACAGATTCATTATGCAGTGTAAATCATTTCTGACATACTGTATGTACTTCTATATTTTAAAGGTACGTTAATCTTTTAACATATTGAACTGCTAAGTTTTAGAATGAATTTTGTGAGTCACCATACGTGATTTGACAAATTGAATTATCACTGATGTAAGTCTGTTCAACAGTGGCATACAATTTTTATCTTAAACATTCCAGGTGTTTTTCGACCCCAGCAACACGATTTAAGACCTCATTTTAAATAACAATTTATGTGACAAACATTTTAATAATCTAAACATGTTTTAAAATGTAAACGATTTGCTTTGTATTGAAAGAATACAATATGCTAGCGACACGAGACTTATTTAAATGTAGCATGTTCTAGCTTACTTTTGCGTACCTGTTCATTTCCTTTCTATACCAGAACACAAGGTATGCAGTTTTACCTGTATATATTACGTAGTCATGCTACGTCAGATCCGGGTAACGCTGTTCTCGAACCACTTAAGTAACAGGTGTCTTTGTGTTCTCGGCAATATCATTTTATCACAGTGAATCAGTGGAAATGAGACTTCAATATTGACCGCGGTACTACTAGGTGTAATACTGTTAAGAAATTGGATATTTACATATATTGATTAGGACATATAAACGCCAGCTGGTGCATTGAACAATAAAACTACACGATGGCGTCTTATTGTTTTTTTACAAGTAATAGCTACAGCAACATTGATTTTGATAATCCTGAATTTATGTTGTTAACGTGTGCTCAGTACTTATCTGCAGCTATATTTAACAGCGACATAAGTCAGCTCTGCTTGGACGCCATACTGTCGACATCATCAACTAAGACTCGAGAAAGCTCTTTCGCTGATATACAGCTACTGAAAAGCCGTGAGAACTTAATTATTCCGTAAATTTATTATGTAAATATGTTGGTTCCAATATTTACTTCATCCACTTCATGTAAAATCAATGTTTATCTTCGACTTATTTCAGAAACAAAATGAACTGAAACAGATTATCTAAGATGTCGGACCAAATTGATGAATCTCCGCACCCCAATGGTGACCAAGAATCTGGCGAGGTCACAAAGTCTTCACCAGATAAGGATTTGGGATCCGAAGAACCAGACATGGAGAAAGATAGTTTAGATGGTGATTCAAATGATTTGAAATATTATCAACCCGAGGCACAAGAGACTAATTACGACGGAGAAGCTTTGGATAAAAAGAATCCATTTCATGGCGCAACCGGATATGACGATGCATACAAACATTCGCCCCATTCTCAATCTGACTCTTTTGACTCGCTTAGCCAATCAAATTCAAGCACAAACGAAAATTCTGAATTAACAGCTCTTTTGCCTTCAACAGAATCGCAAGAGGCACACACCGGAAGAAACAAAAATGAGTCAAAATCACGACTTCCGGTGAAAAGTGCGTCGGGATTAATTCGAAAATCGTCATTGCCAAAACAAAAGATAACAAGAGACATCAAAGTTTCAAAAAACATGACAAGGAGTAAAACAGTTGATTTAGCAAAGGGTGTTCTTTACCATGAAGACAGGAAAAAGCTTCCTCGCGGAGAATCGCAGACATGTTTAAACGATAATCACGGTGTGCGTGAGACTGTTACGAGTCGTATGCGTTTTGAAAAACGTCACATTCCACACGAACAAGAGTGTGACGGTGATGATTATATGACGCCAACACAGAGAAGGGACCAGTTGCTTAAGGACTTAAAAGTTCAGGTCAAGGAATTAACGAGTGAGATAGAGGCTCGAGATCAGCAGATAGAAAGACTGAAGCAGGATATAGATGAAGAAGCACGTAAGATAATTGAACAGAAGAATGAGGAGGCAAGGCTGCTTCAATCCAACCTCAACAGCCTGAAGACTGAACATGATGATCTGAAGATGTCTTATCAGAAATCCTTATGTAGCATTGTCGATTTGGAAGAAACCCTTTCCCAACTCAATGTAAGTACATGCATTTCGAGAGTTGAGAAGAGCAAGGGTATGACATGTCATTGCCTGTACTGAATGGATTGATTGCAGCATCTTTTATTACCCACGTCAAGAAATGACTGTTAATATTGAGTCAGTGTTCAACGAAGTCATTGTGTCCATTTTATGCGATGTTACAATCCAGGATCATCTTGTACGGGGTTAAACAATGCTCAAACAAGACAGGCGTGCGCGTGTCCTCTTTTTAAATCATGGGCATTTATCTCCCGTTTATTCATTTTTAGATGTTTTCTCGTCTCAAATCTCAAAAATCAGTGAAATCTCGTTAATCTGTCGGCAGCTTTAGATATTGACTCTTGTTATTCAGTCCAGAAAAAGTTTCAATTACGTTCCCAATATAATTTATATTGGGAATGAATTATCAACCGATTTACACAATTCTTGTAACACTTTAAAGTGATCTTTCTTAAAGATAACGAAAACAAATACATCTCTAATAAAAGTGCATTTGAGTAAAATCCTACTATTTCTAGTAAAATTCTAAAACATGACGTCAACCACAATGTTGACAAGTGACCCAGCTGTGAACGTAGTGTATTTTTATTTTTTTCAAAAAACATTTTTTTCGAGAGTACTTTATAACAACATAAGGTACGATAATAAGTCTGAATATTTTTTTGGCAATCCTCAATATAAATGAACCAAATTGACTAAACGTGATTACGTGCTGTAATGATGATCTGTATTAAATATCATATTATATAGAAAGTATTCGAAAGTCGAACTAGAGAGTTAAAAGCTCAGCAGTAATGAACATTAAACAAGTGTCAATATGTTTCCATACTATTTGTGCAGTTCAGTTTTTATCGTTCAATACATGCTCCATATCAGTTAATACGTGCATGCGAATCAATCCTATTCCCGAGAGTTAAGGGTGTGGTCATTTAAATGCATGTTTTTATCACTTTAAATCTGGGTCGATCTAATCACCTTGTTTCAGGAACGTATTGCGAGCCAGGAGAAACGGAATGAGCAGATTTACTTAGAAATGTATAAAAAGGGCCAGGAATCTTCCCAGTTCGAGCGGAATGTTGAAGTAAGTAAAACATAATAATTACTACATAGGGCACATATGTAAATTGAATTTTTCATACTAATTGCATGTAAATAGTACGACTCCATGTAAATAGTAGGACTCAATGTAAATAGTGGAATCCGTGCAAACTAAACAATATTGTTTTTCTGAATTATTGATCTGATATCTCTATTTTTATGGATACATACCACCAAGAGATAAAGAAACCATGTACAATACACAATACGCTTACACGAGTATGTTATATATCACAGTAGGTAAATATTGATCTGGTCCATTGACTATAACACCATTAACTGGTTAGCTTAACATCAATTTATCAAAATTTAGTTAAAAAACAAATTACCACTAACGTTTTTATGTATTATGATTCAAAATGCCAATCCTTAGAAAAAAGGTATACACAAATATTGGTAACTTATATTCAATAGTATTTTGAAAATTTACTCTTAACAGTTTGTTAAGCAAACAAGACTTGAACGACCGTGCTCAGGTAACACGTGCAGTATATCTATAGACAACCCAAACAAAACGTGATGTTTGTTCTCCATCTGGGTTTAGTATTGATGGCATTATACAATGACAATCTAGTCTTGGCCTCGAACTACTCGGTAGTGAAACAGACGTAAAACCAATCAATTAATCAGTTGGCCTCGGTTTCCTGAGCGTTCCTTAGCTAAAGTTACGATTTCCCCTTAATAAAAGCAATTCTTTCCCAATATATATAGAGAAATTTACGTCAAAGAAACAACCTGTATCGATCTGTTTTGTTAAACCCAAGCGTAGTGGTTTAAAGTATTGTTATCGCGCTACAACTTTGGGAGCCGGCATAACGATTGCGTTGCAGTCGATATTGCATGGTTATTGAAATTCAAATTATAATAAATTACTTTATTAAGAAAATAAATAAAAAAGTTTTACTGGTGACAATACATATGTGTGGCGATAAAGCGTTCATTCAGGTATTTAGTTTGCAATTATATTATTGATCTGTATTCAGGACTATAAGATGTATATCCGAATACCGTACACGTGAATGCTACAGTGGAAACGAGATTTATGCGATTTTCGAATTATTATTCTGTATTATGTCGTAACTGACTAACTGGATATTGTAAAATTTATCAGTTTATCGTATGCAGCAAATTATGATAATAGTAGAATATGGTATAGGTGAATCCCTTTGCTTCGTTAACAACGCATGTAGACCATTCTCGAGAATACTTGAACTCGTGATTTAGCGAAAACAATTTCTATATTAATAGTAATTATTCTTGGAATTAATTTGTGCTGAAAATTTCCATTCGCGTAAGAGTGTCCTCGAATGCTTGCATTCGTGATATAGAGGAGGCTATTTCTTATTGAAATCTTCCGCACAAATTAATTCCAAGAATCCGCGAAAATTAATGCGTACATTAGTATCTCAGCAGAGTGATTTATAGTGTCACAGCTGTATGATACAATGAAGCTACGATCGAAGTCCGACATTGTGGACGATACGCTAATATATAGCTACGCTTACGGTATTAAGATGCAAGCACCCGGCATTTAAACGATCTAGTTGTGGTTTTAAATTGGGATGATGTCACTTCTGAAAGTGAAATATGATATAAAATTCGATTTTGATAATATGATATCCAACAACTCATCGTAAACCCATATACTAATATTCCCATTTCGCTGTATTTCTATATTAGTTTCGAAACAATCCAGACTTTAATTTTCTCCTTTTACCTCTATACCTCTGATGATTCGTTATGAATGCGAAGGCTATGCCCATATGGTACAGTGAAATGCTATTTACTGACTTTCTGCATCAACCAAAGAAGTTCTTAAATACAGTAAAACCTCGTTATACTGCCACCATTTGTACCAGATAAAATTTGGCGTTTGGCGATAAATTGAGAAAAATGTGTAAAGGAATTCTTAAGGAAACGAGAAAAGGGACATTGACATATATTGACGGTAAACGAGGTGGCAGATGAAACTGGGGGCATATTATATCGATGTTTCACTCTAAGTGTTTCGTTACTTAGTTATTTCTAGTGCTTAAACAAATTCATAAAGACTGACGTAGAATTATTGTTCTCTTCTGTCTAGCTGGAGCGTCTCGCTGTAAATGCTGAAAGTTCCAGTATGACAATGAATGAACTCATTAGAAAACTGGTGGTCACGGAATCCGAGCTGGCGAAATGGCAGTCTATTCGACGTCATGAGTCGTACGAGTCGGCAGAGAAACCGGAAACACAAGCGGATGTGACGTTGAGGTTCCTCAAAGACTCGTTCTTTCATTACCTAACAGATGTGAAGGAGTCCGATCACCATCTTCGAGCCATGATCAGAATATTTAGCTTTACTGACGTACAGAGGAGGAAGATATCGGCATGCGTTACAGAAAAGCAGAACAAAAGTGCATGATCCTCCTAACTTGTTGAATTCTTTTGTTTTTGATATTTCGTCTTTTCGTATTGCAGAGTTATCTGCTCTTGATAGCAGGTATTGATTGTTACGTCATTTGTTTTTGAGAGTAACGTCATCATTTTTTGAGAAAACGACGTAATTGTCTCACACAAACTAATGACGTAACAATCAATACATGCTTACAAGAGCAATTAACTCTGCAGTACGAAAAGACGTAAGAATCAATACATGCTCACAAGAGCAGATAACTCTGCAATACGAAAAGACGGAATAGTCACTTCTAATTTGAAACAATGAACACGCACCTTTCAATACAACTGAATGCACTTCTTTTACTCACCGATTGTTTGGTAAATCCTGGTATTTATATCACGGTACATAACATTACAAGGCCTCGGGATCATGCGTTGAAATGTTGTGTAATGTCTCAGCTAGGTATCAAAATGCTATTTGATACACAGGTACTACTGTATTGTAAATATGGATATTTTCACCATTATATCATGAAAAGGAGAATTGCTTTAATTGAAATTTGACTTAAACCTAGCACTTATTTTTGATCCCAGGGCTAAAACGTAATAATATTCTATCACACCAGAACTCCAATCTCTGCTTTCTAGAGTACCACTTGTTCTATAGCATATATGTTCTCGTTTTCTACATTTGTGTGTTATCTTCAATTATTGTTCTTTTCCTTAATTCAAAAATTAATGATGTTTCTCGTCCTTCTTGTTAGCAGCCCCATTACGCGTTTCCATCAATTAATCCATTAATTTCTTTATAACGCTAGTATTTCACCTGATTACTGATGGCAGTGTAACGAAATTTTAATGCATTTCGTTTTTGTTTTATGCAGGGGTCGACAAAGTCTTTATATCTTTTTACATATCTCCGATTTCCGATGATTGCTTCGCATCTGCCTACTGTTTATATTTTGTCCTTGCGTTTTTAGCTCACCTGGTCCGAAGGACCATGGTGAACTATATGCCATACCGTAGCGTCCGTCGTCCGTCCGTCCGTCCATCAGCTTTTCCTTTAAAACGCTACTAGTCATGAACGACTGAGCAGACTCTGACTAAATTTGGTCAGAAGCATCCTTGCGGGATAGGGAACAAATTTTGTATAAATGGTAGGTGTGGCCCCCCTCGGGACTGAGGGGCGGGGCCCAATAGGGGAAATATAACAATGTCTATAAAATCCTTCTTCTGTAGGAATGAAAGGATTTTTTTATCATATTTGGTCAGAAGCATCCTTGGGTGAAGGGGAACACATTTTGTATAAACGGTGGGTCTGGCCCCCATGGGGGCTGAGGGGCGGGGCCCAATAGGGGAAATATAACAATGTCTTTAAAATCCTTCTTCTTCTGTAGGAATGAAAGGATTTGGTCCATACTTGGTGTGGAGCATCCTTGGGTAAAGGGGAAATAATATTGTATAAACGGTGGGTCTGGCCCCCATGGGGGCTGAGGGGCGGGGCCCAATAGGGGGAAAATAACAATGTCTTTAAAATCCTTCTTCCTCTGTAGGAATGAAAGGATTTTTTTATCATATTTGGTCAGAAGCATCCTTGGGTGAAGGGGAACACATTTTGTATAAACGGTGGGTCTGGTCCCCATGGGGGCTGAGGGGCGTGGCCCAATAGGAGAAATATACCAAATTATTCTTTAAAATCCTTCTTCAGTAGGAATGAAAGGATTTGTTCCATATTTGGTCTGAAGTATCTTTGGGTGAAGGGGAACCAATTTTGTATAAACGGTATGTCTGACCCCCCTGGATGCAGTGATGCGGGGCCCAATAGGGGAAATAGAAAAGTCTTCTTCTACCATAGGGATTAAGGGATTTTATCCTAGTTTAGTCTGAAGCATCCTTGGGCCAAGGGGACTCAATTTGGTATAAACAGTTGGTATGGTCTCCCAGGGGGCAGAAGGGCGGGGCTAAATAGGAAAAATAGAGGAATAACCTTTAAAATCCTTCTTCTTCTGCAGGAATGAAAGGATTTGGTCCGTACTTGGTGTGGAGCATCCTTGGGTAAAGGGGAAAAAATTTTGTATAAACGGTGGGTCTGGTCCCCATGGGGGCTGAGGGGCGGGGCCCAATAGGGGAAATAGAGGTAAAACCTTTATAATCCTTCTTCTCCCATAGGGTTAAGGGATTTTATCCCGATTTAGTCTGGAGCATCTTTGGGCAAAAGGGACTCAATTTTGTATAAACAGCGAGTGTGGCCCCCCTGGGGACAGAAGGGAGGAGCACAATAGGGGAAACAGCAAATTCTTCAAAATTCTTCTTCTTCTGTAGGAATGACAAGATTTGTCCAAATTTGGAATGAAGCATCCTTGGGTGAAGGGGAACCAATTTTGTAAAAACGGTGTGTCTGACCCCCCTGGAGGCAGAGATGCGGGGCCAAATAGGGGGAATAGAAAATTCTTCTTCTACCATAGGGATTAAGGGATTTTTTCCCAGTTTAGTCTGAAGCATCCTTGGGCCAAGAAGACTCAATTTGGTATAAGCAGAGGGTGTGGTATCCCAGGGGTAAAAGGGCGGGCCCAATAGGAAAAACAGAGGTAAAACCTTTAAAACCCTTCTTCGGCCATTCGGATTAAGGGAGTTTATCCTTTTTTTAGTCTGGAGCATCCTTGGGCCGAGGGGACTCAATTTTGTATAAACGGTGGGTATGACCCCCTTAGGGGCATAGGGGAGGGGCTCTGTTTGAAGTTTGTTCTCGCTATATCTCAAGTACTGGATGGATCTTTCTGAAATTTCATATGTACTTACAGCACCTACCATGGAGTGCTATATCTATATATACTTCGTTCCGATTATTTTAAACATATTCAGGTGAGCGATACAGGCCCTCTTGTTGTTCTCTCTTCTTCATTGAGAAAATGACAAAAAAAAAATGTAAAATAGTTTTGTTTTATACAAGCGTTATGTATTCCTATGACGTATGTCACGAGCACTATTTAAGTATGCAAGTCTGGTTTTATTCAAAGATCAGCAATCAAAAGGGAGCAGGGGCTACAGGATAATGTGTTTTAAATGTTTAATCATTATATTTCAGATATTTTCAAGGAAGGATAATCTTGATATGTTCTTGAAATTTTTTAATTGTGAAATATGAAACTTTGATGATGATCAAACCCGTATGCTTTTGTTCTGTTATTTTTAATCATTTGCACAATAGTTTCTTTACAAATTAATATAATCACATTGATATATCGTATCACTTTATAACTTACTTGTCTGTTGGTTTGAGTTGTGCTACTCCTGCTTAAATACTTTGAAAATTAAAATAGAATCTAAGACCGTCATTGTTGTTTTATCTATAAAAATAGGCCACATAAACCTGTTGCTTTTAAGCCATTTAGTATTTTTTTAGTTTGAAGTTTGTTTTTGAATTAATTTGGAATGAAGTGTAATAATAAATTAAACTAATATGGGCACAGAAGAATGAAATCAGACGGAGTAGGAACATTTTGCATAATTAAGTAACAGATCGCCTCATAGGTTCATCCGTCAACTCATACCAGGAAACGGGGTAGGAGTGTACGACGCATACGTTATCCATACACCCTGTTCTAGTGGGCACTTTTATTCAGAGACCGTCTGTGTTAAGGCACGGACTTAGATATATCTAATCTAATTCCGTGGTTAAGGGAACACTTTTTGGAGTCCACGGCGATGGTCTCTGAACATTGGTTCGACTGTAGTTTATGTTAACGTAAATGGCTGCTATATTCCTCTCATTTAATCCGTATTCCATGACACCATAATATACCGAGAAATTTAAACTATGGTATTACCAATCATTTAGACATTCACAAATGAATTCATAAATAAAATTGCATTCCATAAACGACGGTTGCATCACGAATGACTGCATGCTAATTTTAATAGCAATTTGATGTTACAACGGCCGTGGAAAGTTGATATCATGAGCCTCCTTACTCTATTCAGGAACCTGGTTTCACATTCCAATTGGTTTGAGGGCTAATGATTGTGATGTCTTTCATTGGGAATTTATGTCTCCTAAATTATTGACCTCATTTCAAATGACATAAAGAAAGGATGTCTTCTGTGACATAAATAATTATTGCATTTAATCTCAACAACAAATTACATACACCAATGAAATTCGCCGACTTGTGCAACATTATTTCGGCGTGTTCGATTATGCTCATTGGTGTGTCTCATGGTTTCATTGCCATTACCCCGGTACCCTCCTCGAGAACGTTACATAATTTGGATTTGACTTAAGATTTCTGGCGAACTTCGTCTGATAAATTTGTTTTTGACATTTTTTCAAGAACTCCCGTGTCATTTTTTCCTTCATTTATATTTTACTCTGTCAATCTGAAATGTAGATTTTTAAAAACAACAACACAATACAGCGTTCTCATATTTTAACTCTTCATCAGCTAACATTACAATATAGCAATGCAATATACCAACGGCAAATAGAATCAAACAACAAAAAACACGTGCTTACTTGCATATACGACCAATGGATAATGATAAACATACTGCCAATTATATTTATCAAATTAACCCAACAACATCCAACACATGTAACGTTGGATCACGACACAGGTATGGTTTCGGTGTATGCTCGAAATTGACGATCTACCAGACAACATGTTGACATATCAGGTCTTTTACTGTAGTCCACTAAAACTGATCATACTTTTCAGCTTTCAAAATTCTGATTAGATTAAAACTAGCGACAAAATAAAATGTATAAGCCTGTCATTATGGGGAATCCGACCGATTAGAATGTTTAAGTCTGCAATTATGGGGTATCCGAGCTACTCTAATGCTTAAATAATGTTAGCCTGCAATGTTTGGGGTAGTCGACAGATTAGAATTTTTAAGCCTGCAATTATGATCAGTTCTTGCGGATTACCGTTACTTTAGTCGTACGGATGAGTAACTGTAACATTTCATACATTGAACATGTCTTAAATATTGCACATCACAATACAAAATGTAAATGAAAATGTACACATCCATTGCATCGCTGAAAAATAGCCCAATAATAAATAATGCAGCCTGAAGCTAAATGAATTTTAAATTAAAAAGGAAAATAATGAAAATAAGAATAAATCTTAACCATGAGGTTTTTTTTATATTACAATTCGTGGTTTTTTTAAATAAAATAAAATAAAAGACAGATAACATACTGAAAACGTAAATAATTTAGCGGTGATGTTATTTTAGCGATTTTTCTCTTAAAAAATTGCTCTTTATTATGACTGCACTAATTGAAGTTTCAGTACATTTGTATATTGCTTACTATACATAAGTAATTTTTGACATTTGTTTTGACTATTGTCCAAGTCTTTTCGTGATTATAGAACATGTTATTGAAACTATTAAATAAAACAAAACAGTTAGTTTACATGCTTCAAGAGTGGCCTAATACAATCAGCTGTATCCACACCAGAACAGGAAACATGGAAAATACGGTAAATAAGCTCCCAACATTTGTCGATCAATAAATTTTTATTTAACACAAATGTTATCCATAGTGTATAATATGCTATAACTCTATAACGACACTTTACGAAAATTGCGTAATGCAAACGAAAATTTCAATATAATATTTGGGTAACAATTAAAACAATACCAATCATGAAAATCAAACAATAGCCCATCGTAGCACTACTGGTGCTAATATAACTTACTAATATATAAAATAGCGTACACAACTGGTGTATAAATAGAAATGAAACTTATATAGATATATATATATATATATTTAAATACTTTATGTGATATTTCAAATCGGCAACATAAATTTGTTTTCTGCTACTTATCAATGATTTATATATAGAAGACTGTTGTCTTTAAAAGAAAGTTTATCACAAATATTTTGCATTCATTTGATAAGTGCTTGGTGTAGAAACTGTTGTTTTTTTAATTCGTGCAATTAAAACGTAGACATTTTCGTGTTTATTTGATACACTGCAGAAAAAAATAAAAATAAACGACAAAAATATAACGAACAAATTGGAGGACATTTTAACTGGAAATTCATGAGCATCGACACCGTTTCAAAAATATTTCAGTATTTGTCGCGTCTTTAAAAATAAGGAATAAAGCTAACGACTAACTATTAAGGACCCAATGAATGCAGTGCCGTTTTTCACTCCAACAGAATAACTAAGATGATAACGAATTAGTTTCGTATTTAGTACATAATTCATATTGAGCATTAATGAGTTTTAAATACGAAATATCGTATGAATATAATGTTCTCGTTGACATTATTTAGGTAAGTTACAAACCATTTGATATCTTAAATTTAAAATAGTCTTAATATTTCATTTTATGGAAAACAAACATTGCATTAACTGATTCAGACAAATGCGAAAGGAATACAAGAAATTTATGGAACTTCAAGTTTCCGTCATTGACCGTTTCAATGGTTCTTGCTTCGAATCCTTGCAATGCATGCGTGTACAAATGCAGATCATCAAAACTTGCAACATTAACTCTTCTCAGACGTGTTAAATAAAATATTAAGAAATTAAATTCCAACTCGCTTGCACTAATAAATAAAACTGAAATCATACGTCTATATCTGCTAAATAATAGTTAGCTTATATATGTACTACTTATCTATAAAACATGTTTACACGACATAAATTCTTGGTTAAATGTAATATAATTATAATCTCTTCAATGATAACAAATAAGGTCAAGGTCACTCAGTATTGCAAAGGTCAAATATGTGTTTAGTTCTAAGCATGAGTCAAATAAAATGTCGTGTTGATTTCTGACTTCAACAAACAAGTATTCCAAGACTGAATTCAATCTGATTTTTCTCTAACCTGAAATGTCAGAAAATGGTAGATGTGTACATGCAGACTACAATGAACATTATCAACACATGTACATCTTCTAGTCACACAAACAATCGTCAGGTATGACAATTGCATTGTGACCCATAGAGCAATATCTATATAACGAACTTCTGACCTTAGCTATACTGAGTGCCCTTGAGATAATCTTATAACAATAAATTATGACAACATACATAACATTCAACACAGCACAACCAGTGCAGATACAACTCAAAACACATCTGGAGACCAAATAACAAACGCTATAGCTTGCATCCACTCCGCTCCCCATATAATATTACTGTATACCTGGAACTGATCCAGAAATGTTGTAAGGGGTACTTATCACCTTTTATTCTATTTTTACCTATTTGGATTACAAACATCCTGTATAAGAATAAATTTTAAAGTGAGTGATGAAATAAAAAATGAATATTGATGGAAAAAATGTAGTAAGTTTCAATGTTTATGGGTAAATAACCATTTTAGTGTCTATGCCGTTTCATTTCTTTCATTTTTATTCATTTATTTATTTTAATAAATGTATGGAAGTATGAAGCTGTACCCAAGACCCCAAGGTCCCTCCCACTAGATCCAACTCTGTTTAGCAAATTAATATACAATGCAACTTTGTAATAAAAAAAAATCCCTAGTCCAAACCATTATTACTTCTAATTAATAGGGCCGTCAGGTTTACCGTCAATAAGCCAATAAGCCCAGTGGTAGATACCATTATTTCGCCCTAATTGTTGCCATTTACCACGTAACTGTATGCACATGAGGGCCATTTGATCTGGGGGGTAAATGCGAGGAGTCACTTGAATAAATGCCTTCAGATATACCTAGATGAATAGGGAATTTAACTACAAACGAGGCCCCTACAACAATTTTGAGGTAGTCATTTGTTGCCACAGGACAATAGCCGAAATATCCTCCTGGAATTAATACTACCCATGAATGATTGAACGATTACATGGAGTTAACAGCTCTGGAAAGGTAGTCTTTAACCCTTTCACCACTGTAGACCATAATGGACTCATCCATATCAATGCATGGTAACTAGAGTCTACTCAAATTACATAGGGGTGAAAGGGTTAAAATATTCAATTTGGCATGTGTATTGTCCTCGTCTCCGAAATCAACAACTTTCAATCAATCCTCACCCAGATGTGCTGTTCCTTATACTCACTTACACTGTAAATATTACACTGTAAATATTACACTGTAATGTAAATATTACACTGTAAATATTTACAGTGTAAGCCAGTGTAAGGAACAACAACTCTGGGTGGCGACTGTTCTTTATTCCACTTGCATGGACAAATTATAAACATTATAAACAGTATTTTATTTAATCCATTGGTGATTACCAGGAAGTGTTAATGTTTAACTTTCTTTGTTTTAATGTATATCAAAATATTTCTCAAGTTTGTATGCATTATGTCATTAATTAAACTCATTCACACCTCGATTTTAACAATAGACTGTCCAATTCATTGTCTTGGAAGAGTTTATGTGTGACTTTAGGGGTCAATGGATTAAAATATACCGTGGCTACCATTTTAACAAACAAATTACTAACAACAGCTCAAACAAACACCATCATTCATGTAGGTGAAATGCAAATACTCTAACAATGTTTTTTTTATTTCAAAGATTCTTTGCAATGTTTAAGTTATTTTAATTCTTTAACAAGTAAGATTTTACTAATGGCAAACACCATCAATGTTGTAAGTTAAATGTTCGCCATGCATACACATTGTCTACATTTACAAACATCTGATCTTTTTCAACTTCTAAAAATTTAACAAATACTTTTGTATCAGGTACATTTTTTTATTTCAAAGTTCTTTGCGATGTTTAAGTTGACTTAATTCCTTAATAAATAAGATTTTACCAATGAATTTCAAATTTGTTTAATTATATACACCAGTTCTCATAAACTGGCAATACCTGAACCAGTCTCTTATACTGTTTACCGAGTTGGATCCATGTACCACATAGCTGTTGTTCTTACTCCTACTAAACAATACAAAAGCTTTAAAAACATTTTTTGATGATAAGTGTGAAGGGATGAAGTTGATGAAACATGCATTTTTGAAAAATTATTTCAATTAATAAGATTGTAAAGAAGAATGCATATGAACAACCCTTACAGAATAGGATATTTTTTTCTATGGAATTTAGTTTTCATGATTTGTGTTCAGCTTTCTCCATTATTTCAATAACATTATCAACATGTTATTATCTAAACTTACCATAGACAGAAATTATCATTATCATGACAATAATGATAATAAAATATGAAACTATAAGCACATCAACAGAGCTATCTGCATTCAAACTTTATGAGCTAATAAGTTAGTGAGGTAAAACATATCTTCACTTTCTAATACATTTTACGCAAACTATTTTGTTTTTAAAGTAACTTTTCCATGAATATACACATATAAAAGAAAATAACTGTTTTTAATTTTAATGCAGAATAGGATGATAAAACAACAATTCAATTTTGTATTTGCGGTGTTTCACATTGTAAATCCCATCATTAGAATACAAAAGTACCTTTGTGAGTGCTGTGTATTTATATAACAATGTTGAACAAAATTAAATTCCTGCGAAACTGTTTTGGGTTGTATCCAGCCCTTGTTTGGCGTGGATTCATTAATTAAGGAGTGGGTCAAGGGCTGGACTTGATAGGGACACAAGCTTCAGGGGTTGCAAAAAGCAAAAGTATTTTCATGTTTCAAACTTTAGTGGATACCGGCGTACGAAAGTATAGGCAGCTATCCATCTGTTTTGATAAAGACAACCCTGAAATATACATGATGTAGTCCCCCCCCCCCCAACTAAACAACTATACAGTACCTCCTTCAAATTCCCAGAAAAAATGAGTCAAATTCAGTTTTTAGAAAAGACTTAATGGGAAAAGAAATGAATGGTAATAGAATAAGAAACTTTTTTTTTCTTTTCATTTGGTCGTATGAAGGAAAAAAACAACTTCTAACATTGATGCAAATTAAATTAGCAGAACAATCGACCGCTGTGTGAAACAGTTAGGAAACACAGACAAAAATATCACTAATTCTGTAACTGGCAAACACGAAGGAATATTTAGCTATACATAGGTTTTTATAAATTAAACAAAGAATATCTTTCTTATCACAAAGAAAATCACACCAATAGATATTTTGAGCAAATAATACTGAACATAAATAAATAATTTAAATATCTTTAACACCGAACGTGATTAAATTTTCAAAACGTGAACTTTGTGTGTCAGAGTAAACACAACAGACACGTATACGTAAGAACTATGAGAATTATCACAAGAAAATATTACACAATGACTAAAAATATATGCACTATTGTTAGGGAAAATAACAGGTATGGAATAACCATAAACATGTATATATATAGGTTGTTTTTGAAACTTAAAGTTAAACAATAAACACTCTGTATAAAATGAAATATTTGTGGGTATTACGGTTTGTAGTTTCACGTTTACAAACCATTTTGTAGAGGGATTTATAAGTGATTTAAATTATTCACTCCCTACGACACATTTGAACTCTTCCAACTCAAAGGTTGAAATATATATAGTTCATTATGATATTTCAGGGGTGAATGAGTTTAGTAAGTCCATGAGTGTAAAGTTAGTTAACCCTTCTCCCGATGTAAATTTAGTAGATTATATTCTACCATGCATTGATCTGGATGTGTCCATTATGGTCTACATTGGTGAAAGGGTTAATTTTTACACATATTTGTAAAACCATAATTTTGTTATTTCCCTGTATCGGCAAAACTCAGGAATGAATGTAAATAAATACGAATATTTCAGATTATACAGCATGAGTTCGCAAAAACAACCTGCTCAATAGTTGAAAAATACATGAATATCTGAATTTATATATTAGATCAAGATGACCTTCTCATGAGTATTCCTCATTTAACCATCCATGGTAGGTTCGAGGTGCCACACTAAATGTGCCGTGAACTCGAGGCGATTCCCAAGCTTCTTCAAGCATTTCCTACAGGTGAAGGGATCCGATTCATCCGCGGAGTGAAGGGAATTGTGCAACAAACTCATGGCATAATCCTCAAACCATATACAGCAATGCTCGCACCGCATCATCTTTTTCACCTGAGTTCCTGCAGGTACTTTGTTGACCGTACTTGGACCCGCTGGAAGTGTTGTCAGGGTGCTACCCCAGGCTGTTCGAGTGGAATTTACCAGTTTTGTTACATTAGAACTATTTTCTGTAACGCCTGTGGTTATTCCGGGGCTAGAACTGACAGCGTTGATGGTAGAAATTGGAACGTACGACTTTAATTTGGCTCGTAACTTCTGTTGCATGGCTGCCTTGTAGCTTGCTGGTCCAATAACTTTAAATTTCATCTTCTTCACCCCGGTGGATGAGCGAGGCCCCACCACCACTTCCTGAAGCTTTGGGGTCGTAGAATCATTATTTTGAACTTTAGAATTTGAAATTTCTTGTTCATTTGTCTTTGATACTGATTTTTCTTCATTTTTATCGTTTATCTTACTGCCGTTGTTTTTAGATTTCTCACCCTCGTCCGATTCGTCATCATCATCATCCATAGTTTGACATTCCTTACTTAAGTCACTTGACGTCCCGTTACCTGCAGCATCCACAGGTACTTCAATCTCATCAGCATCTTTTGGTTCCTGTTTGATTTTTTTCAGGTCTGACGGTAAAATAAACATGTTCATATCATCAGTGAAAGTAGTCGTGGACTGATATTCATTGTATCCGTCGCCATTGTTTGCTTCGCTCGCATTATTCTCACCAAAAGATTCTACTTCCTTCTTCTCTGAATCCCCACCTCCATATGAAGAGAGTTCCATCTCATTCTGCACAGCGTTTGAAATGGCATCTTTGATGATGCTCTCCATAGCAATATCTTCACTGAGTTGGAAATCGGCTGGTAGACCATTGGCTTTTTCATCTTTAGCTGCGATGCGGTGAACATTATTCTGAGGCACTGTATCCCGTTTTCCAGAGAAATCTTCGGGAACTTGGGGCTGGGGGCCCAAACTAAATTTAGCAAGGCCAGTGACAGGATTTTCATCATCTTCTGGTATACTGGGCTCTTTTTTGATGATCACACCATTTTCTGTGACCTCAGTTGTCGGGGGATACAAAGACAGATGACTTTCCTTATGAGTATGAAGCTGCGTGATCAAGTCGAACGCCTCGCCGCATCGGTGACAAGTAAACACTGTTGAGACTCCATGACTCTGCTGCAGGTGGGAGTGTAAGGTTTGACGGCGCAGAAACTTCATGTCACAGAGGCGACAAACATTTCTTTGTTTCTGAGGCATATGAACCTTCAGATGTTGTTTGACGTGATCGGAGCGAGTAAATCTGCGACCACAGATATTGCACGCGTACGGCCGTTCTCCGCTATGTACTCTAACATGGCGTTGTAATTTTGACGGTGTCGAGTAAGTTTTCCCACAAACATAACAAGAATGCGATGTTGACTTACCCCTCGAGTGTGTCGCTATGTGGTTCTGCATTTCGACTGGCGTATCAAACTGCCGTGCACAAAATCTGCACATAAATTTCGTGACTACCTGTACTGTATACTTGTCTTTATTGGAAGGTGTGGCCGTCGCAGTAATCATCGACTTCTCCACACTTGACCTTGTCCAAACACTGGATCGCGTGGCAACAGACGATGTTGACGCCTCCCCATTCATTGACTGATCATCCTCCTTGACCTCTTTCTTAATTGCTTCAGGGTCAAGGTTACCTGTTGTGGCCTCTCCATTCATTGGTTGATATATATAGTAAGCTTTCAGGTAGTGGATTTTAAATCTTCATCTGAAAAGTGAAAAAAATGACTTTTTTAACATTTTGAACATGTATATATGAATGACAAATTCTTTCTCACAAATCTGAACCTCTTTAAGATTCTAGTAGCACTGTTTTAGTCACGCTATTTACAGGGGAGGAAACAGGGGCCTGGATTCCCCCGTTCTAGATATTCCGGGGGTTTCTCTCAATTATGTTCTCTGCACCCCTGGAATGTCATAGCAAAAGCACACAACTAGCTATTTGATTGGTGAAAAAACCTGACCAATCAATAGGCTGATACCGGGTCCTTTGAGGATTACAGAGGAGCGACCCCTGACTTCAAAGACAGTCAAAGAGCTATGGCGGAAAACTGCCCGTATTTCCCTAAGTCGGCATTTTTGAAAACGGAAAAAAATATTGATGAGTTAATAATCTTTAGTAGCAAAAATGCATGGAATAGATATAAAACCAATTGAATATGAAATTTTGAACTGTTGAGATATTCGATATTGTTAAATATAATACTACAAATATAGCCATATTCACTATATCTATGAAAGTGAAGGGGTTTCCTAGACTTAAAAAAATATTTTCAATACTTTCCCATCCTGGGACCAACTTTTGAATAAACTTTTTGATTCCGTGATGTAAAATGCAAAATTAAATTGTATGACGGAAAAGTGGTCCTCCTTATTATCACAAAGATATAACCAAACATGCGGGAAAATTCATCGTCGAGGACAGTTTCATTTGTTTTAAATGCAGGAAGACTGCAGCACAAAGTTAGGAGCGCAATACACGTGTAAGACATGCTATTCGAAAACTGTATGTAATTTTATCATTCCAAGGTAAAGGAAGAACAAAATCAAAATGTGTGTTTTTAAGAAAACAGGTAACGGCATGAAGTAGGCAGTAGTAATGACAAGAGGGCCTGTATCGCTCACCTGAATATATTTAAGCAGTCATAGCAAAATATTCTCATTAAATATTATATTGCATTAAAAATATTTCCCTCGCAAACTTTGTTGGCTCCATCTGTTGAAACTACCAGCAAAATATTATTATAAGATTCTATGCTTTTTTATTCTTCTTCAGAAGTTGCTTGACATATTTTTCCCTGTGACCTTGTAAGTAGGTCAAGTCATTTTCCTTCTCAAATTGGTTAGCTCTATTACTTAAAGCTACCAGCCAAATCTTATGAATCCATTCCTTTTAGTTCTGAAATACAAATCCTTTAAAATGTTGTTGACCTATCTGTGACCTCTAAAACAGGTTGAGGTCATTTTCATTCGCAAACTTTGGTGAGCTCTATCCCAGGAAGTCACCAGCCAAATATTATAATTTTATGCCTTTTAATTCTTCAGAAGAAGTAGTTTGAACTATTTGACATATTTGACCCCTGTGACCTTGAAAGTAGGTCAAGGTAATTTTCATTCTCAAACTTTGTTGGGCTCTATCCCAGGAAGCCACCAGCCAAATAAAAAGATTCTATACCTTTTAGTTCTTCAGAAGAAGTCATTTAAAGTGTTTGACATGTTTGACCCCTGTGACCTTGAAAGTAGATCAATGTCATTTTCATTCTCAAACTTTGTTAAGCTCCATCCCAGGAAGCCATCAGCCAAATATAAAGATTCTATACCTTTTAGTTCTTCAAAAGAAGTCGTTTTAAGTTTTTGACATATTTGACCCCTGTGACCTTGAAAGTAGGTCAAGGTCATTTTCGTTCTCAAACTTTGTAGGGTTCTTACCAACAAAGCTTTCAGCCAAATATCATGACTCTAGGCCTGTCCGTTCTTCAGAAGAAGTTGTTTAAAGGAAAAGTTGAAGGACGAGGACAGACGGACAGACAGTCGACGGACGCCGCACCATCACATAAGCTCACTTGCCCTTCGGGCAGGTGAGCTAAAAACTAAATCCTTTCAAACGTGTTGGTAAGGATTGTACAATCTTGTGTTTTATACAGCATAACGCGAAATAGGCATTTTGTTGAGTCTTTATCGTGAAACGCATGTATTAGGAGCCATGGCCTTGAATTCGTCTGTTTACAATAATCTATTCTTAGACAAGGGATTCCGATAGAGCTACCTGTATAGAAATACCTGAGAATGCATCATAACAGTGCACGGTTGGAAGCGCGCACTATAGCTTTGGGGAAATAGGCATAGCAACTCGCCATAGCTCTTTATCATTACAGGACAGCAAAATGCTTTTGATGTACAATCAAAGGATCAAACTGGTCTTCTTGTCTCATCCTCAAAGGACCCGCAAACTGATCCTTCGATTTTGTCATTTACATATCCAAGGTGTGCAGAGAGCGAAAGTGAGTTAACCCATGGATATCGAGGATGGGATTTCCCAACCTTGTCTTCTTGTAGCATTATTAACTCATTCACCCCTACTGAAGACACATTTGACCTCTTCCAATTCAAAGGTTGGTATAGTTCATTATGAATTTTCAAGAGTGAATGAGTTAAAATAAAAACAAACTGAGCTCTGAGGCTAACAAAGAAATACCACCCTCCATGCATCCCCCACTCTTTGCCAATGACCTTTGACCCTTTAACCTTGACTGATGACCAACAAAATCTAAACAGGTGTAGAATCTAATTTTACCACACTATGGTGTAAAAATAAACTTACATTTGTTTAGGGGTTCATGAGATGTCTGGTACACAACTTGGTTTGGTTTAATTTTGTTAAACGTCCTATTAACAGCTAAGGTCATTTAAAGACGTGCCTCCTTATGTGAGTGTATGCCTTCTTACGTGAGTGTATGTAGGAGACAGAGTATGTTGGTGTGTTTGTCTCCTTGTGATAGCGCGGATTTGGTGCCGACTTTAAAGTGCTATCTCACTGAAATGCCATACCGAAGGCACCAAGCACAGCGTTCCGCCCGGTCACATTATACTGACAACAGGTTAACCAGTTGTTGACATTCCCCTTAATGCTGAACGTTAGCAGAGAATAACAAAGTTCTACCATTTTTAAGGACTTTGGTATGTCCCTTCTTGGGGACAGAACCCACTGCCTTCCTCACCTGGGCGAACGCTCAACATTCAAGCCAAAAGTAAGGTGTTGTCAAACAAGGCGCTAGGAAATAATAGGTAGGGAGCAGCAGATTTATTTTGGTCGCTATTGTGTCCCCAAATAGAGGACACCAAAGCAAATCCCCCATTCTGCAGGGGGTACAAACTTTTTACTTCAACAGCGGAAAAGTGATGATTGACTGTGACCTTTGACCTTGAACCTTGACAAATGACCAGCAAATTCATTTAATTGTTTCCTATCAGTGGCAGAAATCTATTGCCAAAGTTTGCAACTGACATCAGCTCACAGAAATAGTCATAGCAGACAAATCTGGTTTTTTTCCCCATTGTTGTTTGAATTATTTAAGCAAAACTATTAGTAACCACGTCATATGTTTTTCCATTCTTTTGGGATATATTCTTGGTAAATAATTTGTACCCTTTCTAAAATATCTACATTACGTCTTGTTATATTTGCAATATCGGAATCAAATTTTCGTAAAAATCTGTATTAGAAGTTGGAGGAAAAGATTTAATCATTCTGTACAGTTGGTATGGGGAGGGTCATCCTGGATATCCAGGGGCTATGTTCACTTTTGCACTCTGCACCCCTAGAATATGTCATAGCAAAATTGAAGGCAAAAAGATAGCTGTTTGATTGGTCTCAGGTAAAAAAAAACTGACCAATCGCTAGGCTGATACCTGTCCTTTGAAGATTACAAAAGAGACCGCCCGACTTCAAAGCCTGTCAGTTTTTACCATTTTGATGTACATCAAAGGATCGAACTAGTCTTCTTGTCTCATCAACAAGGTGGCAAAAACCAGCCTCCAATTTTGCTGACATATTTCAGGGGTGCAAAGAGCGAAAGTGAGCAAGTGAGCGTAACCCCTGGATATCGAGGATGGGGAAGGTTATGGAAATTCTAATTAATTCAGGTTCATAACTCCAAGCTGCAAGCCTAAGATTTGACAGGGTTAATAAAAAAAATTATATTTAAAAAATACTAAACTAATTTAAATTTATTTTTTGAATATAATTAAAATTAAGTACTAATGATATACAATAATTCAAAATCAAATTTTTAGAAATCATGTTTATCCTAATTTAAAACCATAATATTTGATTGAAAAAGTTAATTAATAACAGAAATAAGTATTTTAATAGTTATCTTAAAAATCTATTTCATAAACTGAAATCAAAAAGTGATCCATGCAGATGAAATATACATTATTTTTCTCTTATTCTGAATAATTTTCATATATTTTCCCTCCGCGGCCCCCTTTCTGGACTTTATACAACAATGGGCTATAAATAGATACACTGTATATTCGGGGATTTTAGCTCGTTACCTCGACGAAGGAAATAAACATGATCCGGAAATAAATGGACCGATTTCGATGCAAGAAAACAAGTGCTCTATCTAACTTTACATATTTTAATTTAATTAAGATATTCCGAGCTAAATTTTAGCCCTATTTTCCATAGTTTTGCAGTCTATTTCCGCAAACTTGTATATATATTCAATACACATACGCACACAGCTACATATACCAGTGACCTCACTTTGCCCTAGGGGCCAACTACACAGCGCCACCTATCGTGGGTCACGGAAATAATTTATGCGCTATGTTTATCCCCGTAATGACCGTAGCAAACTGCCCTTTTTATTCTAGAACACAATGAAACTCAAAACTAGAAATTGACCCAACACACGTTTAAAAACAAGCTTGGCATTTCTGTGATAGATATCAGCTGATATGCATAACATGTGTAAGGTCTGTCGCCGTCAAAATGAAACCGAACCACAGCCCCTAGTAGGCTTATGCACTGCGTCTGACAGCAGTGTGTCATGGCGTCGAGAAGGGACCCGACCCTTTCTCAACATTTGCTTACGTTTTCAATGAAAATAAGACAATTTTGTAACTAAACGTATATACAAGTATCAATATTGTGTACTTACGCTGACGGAGAGGCCGTCTAGGGGGCGAATCCACGACCCGGTGTATGCATGGACCCTGATTTACCTACGGTAGCCACAGGTCCCTGCCTGTTTGCGAGCCAGCTAGTAAACCTGTGAAGCCAGCTCGCTACCAACTAGGGATTAATAAGGGAGACCAGTCAGCTCGCTCAGCCGGGATCTATTTCCAGGATGGGGTCTTGCAGGGGGGAAAGGTATCGGAATACTTCAGGGGCTAAATAGAATAAAACCCAGCTACATGTAATAATTATTTTACTTTTAAACGTACATGTTGTGATGCAAAAAGGCACGAATCTGGATTGAACGTTAATTACAAAATATATCATATTAGATAATTGCAATTTTATATTGCAAAAAATGTATAATAATATACAATCAAGTTTTTTGTTTTCTAAAACATCACCCATGAATTCAGCCAAGAAGTTTTCCAATGAATTAAATATGTTTTAAATAAAATATATACATATCAATACTTTTTAAATGACTAAATATTGGAGTCACAGAAAAATGTATGTTTAAATGGCGAATATAAATTCAGTTATTATAGACATTTTAAAATTGTTTAAAGATTATATTAATATCCTAAAAATGTCCAGAGGTTCACCTCCCTGAGCTAATATTGCTCCCGTATGCAAGTCCTTCCTTCCGCCCACACATGCAACCAGTGATACATGCGTACCCTCGCGTGGAAAAACCCGCTTTCTATTCTCACTGAAACCATCTATCCTTCTGTACATACGATACCCTTCATCCACACGCACATACCCTCACACACATGCATATTCCTGCTGCCCTCATGCATATTAATCTGTCACCCCATCTCTCGTGCTATCCTTCATACAGGTATACATACACATCTTAATTGTTTCCCCCTCCTTCATACACACGCGCATACCCTCTTCCAATATACACTGATTCACACATGTGCGTTCGCAGTCATACTTTCTGTATGTCACATACGTGCATGCACACGTCATTCACATGCACGCGGATCACATACATACATACGTACGCATACTGCTTTCCTTTCACACACGTAGATACCCCCAACCTAAACACGCGGATCACATATGGTGTTCTGGTATATATACACTTATACTGCCTTTCCTTCACACACGTGCAAAATTGCCTCATCGTATAGACCACAAACATTTATTCGATCTCCGTTTCACACACATGTGTACACACTTTTGTATTACTCCTATCCCCATTGAAAGTCCATAGTCCGCATTAAGATTACCCTCACTCGTCAAAATAACCCCCATTGTAGACCCTCTCACACGCTTATGTAAGCATAAGAATGTTCTCATTTCCACACGAATCCACACATGCACGCATTTCTCCCTCACACTCACGTCACCCTCACTAACCCTCTCATTGACGTCTAACGTAAAACGTTCGTTTGCCCGCAGACCTTGAAACCTTCCCACCCATCCCTGATATATATGTACATATGGAAGCTTTGGCCAGTGTCCAGCTGGCGATCATAATCACTGGTGTCCGGTTAACATATCCTATAGACCTATATATACATGTACGTTATGTCCACGTGGTCTGTACAAGATATGACGTATATCTGGCTATTTAGAATAATAAAATCATCATCTTAGTTTAAATAAAACGGCGTTTTATTCAATATTCAATCATATTTGTTTATATTCTATATACAAGTCTAGAACTTATATATGTCAATTCTTCTCCCAAAACATTTGATTAATTTGTTTTTGGGGAAGAGTTGGGGTTGGGTAGGCGTTCACATAAACATCAACAGTTCAACAGAAAATCTGCGCTCAATGATAAAACATTAAAAATATTACCCTCACTTGTATAAGAGTTTCAGTTTCTTATTCAACTTATGATAGAGTTTGTTTTATTTTACACTGTTCAGTTAAATTGTAATGAGATTATTAATGAATACTAATATTACCAGACCATGAAAATAGAGAGGAAATTGTCGCATAACAATGTTTGAGAGCATTATGATTTTCACAAAAATGAATAACCTTTTGTATTAATATGTTATCGCTTCCTACCGACTCAGCTAAGGAGAACTCATCTCAGCTTTTTCTCTGTTAAAAGCTAAAGCTAACTGGTCCTCGGACACTTACTTATCAATAAAATGATGGAGCGTAGCGGAGTTACCCGAGGTTTGCCGATTGAGTAAACCAGAGGTCCCGGGACCGACTTATAGAAAAAAAAATAGTTACCTCTGTGACAAAAAAACTCGGCGATACTTTCAAAGGAATCGCTATGACCCCTGGAAAACTCGGGACGATTTCTTTCCTAGCTAGAGGGGAGTTTGTCACCCTTGTAAAATACTAGCTGTTTCCTACCGACCCACTTGGAGAGAATTTCTCTTTAGCTCTTTCGGTAGAAAGTAATTTGAACCAGTGGTTCAGGGCGGAGCCATTGATTTTTTTTACCTGAAGTAAAGCTTCAGAATGGATTAAAGAGTACATAGTTTTAAAAAAAACCCACCTCTGCCGGAAAAAAACCACACCCATGATTTGGAGGGGCGTGGTTGATATATTGGAAGACCAAACATTCAACAAACCAATAATGGAGTTGATATGGTTAAAGAACATTAATAGAGGTATGGAGAGACCTAACTGGCGTCGTGATGGACTGAAATAAACCCGTCCTCGTCACTTCTGATACGATTTAAAAATGGTCGCCATCAAAATTGAAACTTGCGAGATGTGGCATTAAGGAAGACATTTCATATTTGTTGATGTTTTTCAAATATGTTTTTTTTTTCATCCCTGAAATATCCACAGTTTAGTTATTTGAATATTGTGTTAAAATTACAGTTTACTGTCCGATTTACATGCACGTACATAAGAGTTATTTCCCTTTTTTTGTTTCGTTGCTGGTATATTTGAACATTAATTATAGCTAATGGCCACGAGAAAACTTTTTAGGCTTTGCAAGTCTTTGCTATTATTGAGCACGAGGAGCACTTCATCCAAAAGTTTACAGAGAAGAACCAGCTAAATCATTCTGAGTATCGAGGAATCCAAAATGAATTTTCATGTGGTCCTACGAATCCACAGTCGACGTGTAATGGTGATCTAGGAATCCAGAGGACATGTATCCGAAACCAGAAATCCTAGTAATCCGCAATGAACCTTTTCCTGGACAAAGAAATCCAATGTGGACCTAGTAATCCGCAATGATCCTATTCCTGGACATAGAAATCCACTGTGGACCTAGTAATCCGCAATGATCCTATTCCTGGACATAGAAATCCACTGTGGACCTAGTAATCCACAATGATCCTATCCCTGGACATAGAAATCCACTGTGGACCTAGTAATCCGCAATTATCCTATTCCTGGACATAGAAATCCACTATGGACCTAGTAATCCGCAATGATCCTATTCCTGGACATAGAAATCCACTGTGGACCTAGTAATCCGCAATGATCCTATTCCTGGACATAGAAATCCACTATGGACCTAGTTATCCGCAATGATCCTATTCCTGGACATAGAAATCCACTGTGGACCTAGTAATCGACAATGATCCTATTTCTGGACCTAAAACTCAACAGTGGACCTAGGATCCTAGATCCACAATACACCTATTCTCTGGACCCAGAAATCCACTATGGACCTAGTAATCCAAAATGCTCCTTTTCCTGGACATAGAAATCCACTGTGGACCTAGTAATCCGCAATGATCCTATTCCTGGACCTAAAAATCAACAGTGGACCTAGGATCCTAGATCCACAATAAACCTATTCCCTGGACCCAGAAATCCACTGTGGACCTAGGGTCCTAGATCCACAATAAACCTTTTCCCTGGACCCAGAAATCCACTGTGGACCTAGTTATCCGCAATGATCCTGTTCCTGGACCTAAAATCAACAGTGGACCTAGGATCCTTGATCCACAATAAAACTATTCCCTGGACCCAGAAATCCACTTTGGATCTAGGCATTTTACCGAGACCCAGAAATCCCAGTAAGCCTAGAAATATGCAATAAACATTTTCCAAGGACTAAAACAAATCTACAGTGGACCCAGGAATCTATAATGAAACCATTCCTGATTATAAAACTCCAGGTAGATCTCGGGACCCGGGGGTATAGTTGGATCCACGACTTCGTACGTATCCACAGAGGAACCATTTTTAGTCTGCCTTTGTAATTAAGATGATAATTTGTTTGAAACTTAATTCCTTTCTGTTTCTAGACCCCTGACCGACCTAATAGTAGCCCGAGTTTTCTGAATTATGGTTAAGACCCTTCCATCTGTAAAGAGGATTTGATTCTGCCATATCTGGATCTTGAAAAGAAGATTTTTTTAAAATGTTAGTCAATTTGACCCTTTTTGGCTCCGCCCTTCAGCCTCCTGGGGGCTTGGGACTATATACTTCTCAATTTAGCTATAGTAAAGTTTACACCCTCCCCAGGGGGAAACGTGACACCCCAGGGTTATGAAATTCACAATTTTGGTAAAGCACCTTCAGACCCTTCCATCTATGAAGAGTATTTGATTCTACCATATCTGGGTGTTGAGGAGAAGAGTTATGAAATCTCAGTCAATTCGACCCTTTCTGGCCCCATCCATCAACCCCTGGGGGTCAGTCTACAGGGCTAATATGTGCCTATCATGAAACTGCTATCCAATACTGATAATGCTAACCAAGTTTAAATGAATTCCGATGAAAATTAACCAAATGCTGGTCCAAAATATGATAATAAGAGCTGGTTTAGATAAATAAATAATTTATTTATGTGAGGTATGTGTTATGTCATAGTAGATTTTTGTTGTCAGCACCTCATAACTCTCCGAGACCAAACAGTGTCTGAGAATTCCACGTTTTAATAAAGTAGTGCGCTCTGGCCCACACCAGACATATATGTCAAAATGTCTAAGTCTGGTGTTAGGGCCAGAGAAAACTCGGGCTAGCCTAACAGGTGACGTCACACAATTCCGCTGAATATGGTCTTTGTAACACAGGAACCCGAAACTAAAGGTTTGTTTGGTGACACATGGACCCGACATAATATATATATAGAGAGAGAGCCGACTGGGTACCCTATATATTCACATTGAAGCACGTACATGAATTTCTATTCAAACTCTACCTCAAATATGTTTCATGTTCATTTTAAGTTGCATGTAAATTTGGGATTTGAGTATATAGGTTGTGAGGTTATTTGGATATTAAGGGTACATTTACACGCTACCTAGATATGATTGATGCGAGGAATTCCTCTTAAGCAGCCCTGTCCCACTGCAGATAAACCACTGATATTTCAAACTATAGTAATCCCCCCTTAATTTCGTTTTAGATATAACTGAAGCGAGACTGGATCAGGAAACTGCTGCTGATCACGTATGTGTAGATCAGTGAGTAAGAACGACAGTGCGAGTTCCGAAATATATGTGCGTCTCTTTTCAGAAAGGAATTTTAAAGCGGTTTCCATGCCACTTATAACTTTCAAAGTTATTGGCAGCGGTACAATAATCCTTCATTTAACTTTTTTTTTTTTTTTTTTATCAAAATTCGATCATTTGTTAATTTATGTACTTTTCAAGTAGGGCATCGATTATGACGTCGGTAAATATAATTTCATTAACTCTTTTAGGAAAGAAATTATATGCGATATGTGACATTAATTAAGGTTGTATGTCTGTTCCTTCGCTCTGTGACTACATGTACCCGTGTCTGACATTGGACCATTTATATTAAGGCTGTATGTTACCTTACTGTGGAATAAATCTCCCTTCAAAAAGAGTAACACAAAAAAGAGACAAGAAAATATCAACATGTTTGCGTTGATAAGTCTTCGGTTATTCTGAAATAGTCGATCATACCAATTACATTTTTTCAATTAACGCAAAGTGCAGGGTTATTTTGATATAGTATAATATCATTGACAAATCTCAATAGAAACCGTGAAAATTGTTTTCGTTTATTCAAAAACGAGTTAACGTATAGAGAAAACACCTTCCTAACGGAATCTTAAATAAATAGGTACAGGAAACAAGTTTCGCGTTTCAAGCGAAGACTAAATTAATATACAGTGCGAACTATCTCTGAAAATATCGTCCAGATTTTTTTAATTTTTTTTTTAAAGATTGCTCCTTGTTCTTGTTCAAGGGTTATACTCTTCTTTTATAAACGAGCAGAAATGATATATCAGCTAGAAAATCTTGTTTATATATATCATATAATGCATAGTATAATGTTGATGATAGTCATATATGTAAATATAATAGAAATTTAAAGTATTGGTCAATCGTGTGTTTTACTACTTTATGTTTTTCTGACTTTTAAACAATTTGGAAGGGAATTCCCATTCGAACATTTTGTTGGTATTTTCACATGGCACGAGTTTGATGACATCCTTCTTCCCGGAACCAACGTCATTAGAAACTTGCGAGGCACATTTAGAACTTACACCGTCAGTATACACGAGTAACTTCCCTTTCAAGGCCCACTTTCCACTTTCAGCCGTGCACGGCGCCACAACTAAAAGATCCTTTTCGACTTTGATGCATTTCCCAACCGTCATTAAACCACCATTTTCCAGCAAGGCGACACATCTGGCCTGATAGTAAAAGAAACAATCACACGAAACTAGTAAAGGGTATGTATTAAGAACAGCAGATTCTTCAGGCCCAAAACAATTCATGGAACCCGTGTTGCGCATGTGTCCAAAATATACAGTTCCTTCCGGTGGAACTTCTAGTTCCGGGTATACATTTTTCAGAAGCCAGTTGAAGTCTTTACATTTGTAATTCCTTTTGACTGTATCCATTATATCGAACCTTTCTGAAGACCCTGGCGGTTTGGCAAATCCATCGTTGAAAGAATAGAAGTATTTCCTGTAATCCCCAAGCCACATCTCTGCTGTTCGTCTATTGTTGTAAACAAGATCGGAGTAAGCCATTTTGAACGGGTGTCCTTTTTTGAAAATGTGGGCAACGTGAGAGCATGGCGCTATTTTCATACTTCCGCCACAAAGCCAAACTCTAATGGAGAGCTCAACATCTTCCCCGCCCCATGTGCGCATGCCCGTGTCCAGTCCTCCGACATCAATAAAGTACTTCCGGTTTACTGCAAATGCACATCCTACAATGGCAGGGGTGTCGAATGCTTTAGTAGGTTGCGATTCAATTTTAGATTTTTGCATTGGTGGAACCGGAACAAATTCGAACGCCATACTCCATTTAAAATGACCCCGGATATTGTTCCGGAAGTAACTTCTGTATTCAAAAGTTTGCGGGTCAACGATGTCAATGGACGGCTGGACGATTGCCGTGCGATTTTGACCTATTTCGTGCATTAGGGGTTCCAACCATCCAATGTTAACCTCAGTATGAGAATCAAGGAAAACCAACACGTCCCCTTTGGCCAGCTTGGCACCAACGACTCTAGATTTCATTGTTCCCAGTCTTTCATGTGCTCTGTGTACCCGTATGAAATCGTACTGTTCCACATACTTATCCAAGGGGGCTCCCAAATGTTCCAAATCACTCATATCGTCTATTATAATGATTTCGTGTATGAGCAATCGGGGCGAGTGCTTGAGAATGCCGTTTATAAGTCTCTCGAATGTGGACCATGGTTCGTTATGGAGTGGTATAACAATGGACGCCGTCGGAAGTAACTTGATAGCATAGTTTTCAAATGCGCACTCACGATGACGATAATCCGGTTTCTCACGATTCACTGAAATCTTGTGAGTTCTGTTGACGTTGATATGGAAACGGCTTGGATCTGTATCCTTATATAAGGAAATGCCGAAATCTTTAATTATGGAGGAAAACCTGCGTGGATTGACAGGCTTTTTTTCTTTGTCGATGTGCTTAATTTTACCAGGGACCACGTATTTCTGAGAAGTGAGATTTCTAAATGGCGCTTTGCTCAATACAAACTTATCACCGCGGAGCGGCGGTCGGAGTTCCTTGGCGGACCACGTCACCATGGTAGCCCAACAGATCACCAGTGCTAACAGGAGAAGGACTCCAATTGTTCTCGGGAAACATTTCCTCGGACGTGCTACCAACATAGTTGTTATCGTTGTTAACTCCTGTCGAACTGTGACACGGTGTCGCTGACTGGCATACTAAGTATGGAAGATCAAAACCGCAAACAGACAGAAAGGAATAAAGATATAAATACATTACGTGAAACCTCATTAAAGCGATCTCTGGTTATAAAAAAAACCCTTCAATGTCTGAAGGTTAATGAAGCAAATGAATAAATTATCGCTGGCCAGTTATGTCGTGATGTCAAACTCAATATTTGACCCCCGAATGGTTTCCGATTGAGTTCACATTTACAATATAGCATGGTAATACCGAGTTCTACGGATGATTAAATTGCGGTCGTCACCGGTCAAGACTAAAGGGTCAAAGTTCACTTTACCACTTTTGATGTAGATAGATGTGTTAAGAAATAAACTTGTGTGTCATATGTCCCCAAAAACCTATTCTGAAGGATGCATAATGGAATATGCAAGTAAACAATTTGGTTTTAAACCATCGTAAATATTTATGATTTGCAATTTAATACTTCATCATAAAGCATGCACTCATTACGTAAACCTACCATTGAAATCTAAAAGACTGACATGGGTGCATGAGCTAGCATGTTACAACTGATCTGACGGCAGGTTCGGGTTCGATTCCTGTCGCCATTTCTCTACACGTGAGGCGAGTACACGTACGTGGTTGAAAATGAGGCCAGTACGTGCTGCCGTACGCAATCACCTGTCAGTAATATATCGAACACGTGTATCTCGGGTAAGCTGACTTTCGAGTGCCCGTGCGTGTTATACAGTTGTTCTTTATAGGTGTTTTTCGCTACGCTCGAATACATAATTGAATAATATAAAAAAAAAAACAACATTTTATTGTTCATAAACTGTACACCATACAATCCATTATCATGTAAGTCATTCTATTTTGTATTCAATAATTATACGCTTTTTTAAAATACACTTCAGTGACATCAGACCGTCGTTCTCCATACGTATATAATTGATATATATTGAGGCTGTTTTTGAAAGAAAAACCCACATTGAAATATACTTAACCGTGATTTCTTTTTAAATCATGAATCATATCGGCACACTATAACTGGTCAAGTCGGGAAGGGAATACGCTTATTATTACAATACAGATCGATATGAAAAATAAACTTCTACAGTTGACAGTGAAAAATATGTTCATTAATACTTTAAATTTGAAAAGAATACAGTGAACTGTCTATCAGAAAATAAATATATTGTTTTTTTATACGATCATCATCCTCGATACTCCGAGGGTTTCGCTCACATTCGCTCTTTGAACCCCTGGAACACGTCAGAGCAAAATTGGAGGCTCAGTGTGGATGAGACAAGAAGACTAGTTCGATCTTTTGAGATACATAATTAATGGAAACAATCTCGCGGTCGCGTAGCGGTAAAAAATACTGACTTTGAAGTCAGGTGTCGCCCCTCTGTTATCTTCAAAGGACAGGAATCGGCCTAGCGATTTGTCATTTTTTTTACCTGAGACCAATCAAACAGCTATTGTTGTGCCTTCAATTTCGCTATCACATATTCAGAGAGCGAAGTGAGAGTAACCCCTACACCTCACTCTACTCCGACATTGGTATGAACTTAACGTTTACCCAGGAGATCGAATATCTATCAATATATCGTTTACAGTATATATCTGATTCTAATACCCTATACTCCATACCCTTTACCCTCTATTCAATGATTAAATATAAACTTAATGGTATATTTTACAACAATTAGAAACCAAGTTATTTCAACTTATATAAAACGCTCTTGTTCGCCCAGATGTTATCACGCGCAGGTCTTACTGTGGGAGGAAACTGGAGTACCCGGAGAAAAACCCAAGAGTTTGGACAGGTGACCCCCTACCTTTTCACGTCCGATCAGGGAATACACCTCTACTCTTTACCCTCCACTCTGTACCGTCTACCCCCACCCCCTACCTTATACCCTTTACTCCCTACCCTGTATTCCCTGCCTTTTATCCTTATCCATGTACCGTGTACCCTCTACATGTAAGTCCTACCCTGTACCATGTACCACAAACCCTTTACTTCATATACTGTACCCATTGTACTTTAGCCTCTACATTCCACCATGCACCCTGTACCATATACCCCTACTCTTTGTCCTGTCCTCTCCACCCTGTACCCTTCATCCTGTACCATGTACCCCTACTCTTTACCATGTACTCTCCACCCTGTACCATTCATCCTGTACCATGTACCCCTATTTACCCTCTATTCTCTACCCTGTACGTTGTACTCCATGTCATTTACCCTCTGATTTTTACTATGTTTCATCTACCCTCTACTTCCTACCCTATAATTTGGTCCATGTAAAATGTCCCCCTACCTTTTACCCTCTATTCCTTACCCTGTATATTGTACCCCCTGTCCCTTACCCTGTATATTGTCCCCCCTGTCCTACCCTGTATATTGTACCCCCTGTTCCTTACCCTGTATATTGTACCCCCTGTCCCTTCCACTGTACCTTGTACCCCCTGTCCCTTTCCCTGTATATTGTACCCCCTGTCCCTTACCCTATATATTGTACCCCCTGTCCCTTACCCTGTACCTTGTACCCCCTGTCCCCTACCCTGTATATTGTACCCCCTGCCCCTTACCCTGTATATTGTACCCCCTGTCCCTTCCCCTATATATTGTACCCCCTGTCCCTTACCCTGTACCTTGTACCCCCTGTCCCTTACCCTGTATATTGTCCCCCCTGTCCTACCCTGTATATTGTACCCCCTGTCCCTTACCCTGTATATTGTACCCCCTGTCCTACCCTGTATATTGTACCCCCTGTCCCTTACCCTTTAAGGTTTACTACTGTATGTTTCCTGTACCTTCTACTTGTACCATGTACTCTGTACCTTGGACCCTGAACCATGTCCATTGTTTCTCCTTCCTTTTACCCTCTACTATCCAGCTTGTACTCTGTACCTTGGACCATGTACCCTGTACCTTGTTCCTCCTTCCTTTTACCCTCTACTATCCAGCTTGTACTCTGTACCTTGGACCCTGTACCTTTTACCCCCTATCCTATACCATATACCCTGTACCTTTACTTCAAAATCTGTGCCCTGTATCATATACCGCCTGTAATTTAACCTTTACTTTCCATCCTGTTCCGTGTGTCCTCTTCTTCCTACCCTGTACATGTACCATGTACCCCTACCCTTTCTCTCTACTCCGTATTATGTCCACTAGAGACTACCCGATACCCCTTTGCTTCACGCTCTATACTATAAACCCTGTACTTTCTACCCATTACCCGCCACCTGGTGTTGGGAATTGTTTTAAAATTCATGATTAATCATTTCTATTTCTGAAACAATTGATTATTAATCATTGATCGTTCATAAAATGAAGGAAAAAATAAATGGTGAAACATTAACTAAAATGGATTAAAAGTGGCGGATTCTTTTTAAATATACACGTATAGTTATACACTGAAATGCTGCTGAAATGCAGTTTAAAGCAAAATCGCGAGTACAATTGTGACAGTAGAGGGAACATTGTACAGAAAAGAGGACTGAGAGTAAACAATCGGGCTGTAGAGGGTAAATGATCGGGCTGTAGAGGGTAAGTGATCGGACTGTAGAGGGTAAGTGATCGGACTGTAGAGGGTAAGTGATCGGGCTGTAGAGGGTAAGTGATCGGGCTGTAGAGGGTAAGTGATCTGGCTGTAGAGGGTAAGTGATCGGGCTGTAGAGGGGAAGTGATCGGGCTGTAGAGGGTAAGTGATCGGACTGTAGAGGGGAAGTGATCGGGCTGTAGAGGGTAAGTGATCGGGCTGTAGAGGGGAAGTGATCGGGCTGTAGAGGGTAAGTGATCGGACTGTAGAGTGTAAGTGATCGGACTGTAGAGGGTAAGTGATCGGGCTGTAGAGGGGAAGTGATCGGGCTGTAGAGGGTAAGTGATCGGACTGTAGAGGGTAAGTGATCGGACTGTAGAGGGGAAGTGATCGGGCTGTAGAGGGTAAGTGATCGGACTGTAGAGGGGAAGTGATCGGGCTGTAGAGGGTAAGTGATCGGACTGTAGAGTGTAAGTGATCGGACTGTAGAGGGTAAGTGATCGGGCTGTAGAGGGGAAGTGATCGGGCTGTAGAGGGTAAGTGATCGGGCTGTAGAGGGTAAGTGATCGGGCTGTAGAGGGTAAATGATCGGGCTGTAGAGTGTAAATGATCGGGCTGTAGAGGGTAAATGATCGGACTGTAGAGAGTAAATGATCGGGCTGTAGAGGGTAAATGATTGGGCTGTAGAGGATAAATAATCGGGCTGTAGAGGGGAAATGATCGGGCTGAAGAGGGTAAATGATCGGGCTGTAGAGGATAAATAATCGGGCTGTAGAGGGGAAATGATCGGGCTGAAGAGGGTAAATGATCGGGCTGTAGAGGATAAATGATCGGGCTGTAGAGGGTAAATGATCGGGCTGTAGAGGGTAAATGATCGGACTGTAGAGGATAAATGATCGGTATACTTGACGGTAGATTGTAGATGTACATGGTAGGGGTAAGACGATGGAGTGTAAAGGGTACAGGCTACATGATCGAGGTTAAAGGTAGAGGGGTAGAGGGCTGAGGGTAGAGAGTATATTATAAGGAAGGGGTAGACAGTAAAGGGTATGGGTAAAGAGTAAATGGGTACAAGGTAGAGAGTAGGGTTTACAAGGTAAATAGTAGGAGGTACAAGGTAGAGAGTTGGGATACAAGACAGAGAGTAGGGTTACACGATAGAGAGTAGGGGGTACAATGTAGAGAGTAAGGGTGACAAGGTAGAGAGGAGGGGGTAGAAGGTAGAGAGTAGGGGTTACAAGGTAGAGTGTAGGGGTTACAAGGTAGAGAGTAAGGGTACAAGGGAAAGGGTAGGGGTCACAAGGGAAACGGTAGGGGGTACAAGGTAGAGAGTAGGGGGAAGGTAGACAGTAAGAATGACAAGGCAGAGAGGAGGGGTACAAGATAGAGAGTAGGAGTACAAGGTAGAGAGTATGGATACAAGGTAGAGATTAGGGGGTACAAGATAGAAAGTAGGGGTATAATTCAGAGAGTAGGGGTACAAAACAGAGAGAAAAGGTACAAGGTAAATAGTAAGGGAACAAGGTAGAGAGTAGGG